AATTATATTCACTACAAGTTTTCTATTCATCACGTTACGCTTATAATTTTTTAATCAAAAATTCATCTGCTACGCGATAAGCGTAAATACCGTACAAATTCCTATCTGCCGTCGTTGGATTATTTAAATTACTTTTTACAAAAAAATATCAATTACAGAATACCGTATTCTTCGAGGCATTAAAAAGAAAATTGAATGTTCTTGTATGGAAGTTGGATGGCGATACGTGTAGTTTTTGTAGGTGTTACGCCAATGTCCAATCAATAAGCGAGAAATTACAATTTGGATCGAATCGTTTAGGTGTGGGGAAAAAACGGAATCATTATGGTTACAAAGAGCTCGGACGAGAGAGAGAGTGTAAAAAGTGAAAAAATTATCTGTATCTACATCCAGGATCGAATTAAAAAAATTTCTTCTATGATTTACACTTAACATTTTAAGACAGCCGTTTTAAGAAGTATTCACAAATTTTTCTTAGAGATATATCATTTTATTGAGATATTTAATAATAACTAAAAAAAAGTAAATCAAAATTAATATTTGTAATGGTTTTATCGAAAATAAAATTGATTCGGTCCTGAACATAATATTGAAAATAACAACGCTTTTCGGCCAAGCGAGAACTGAATTGTTGTAGCCCGAAGTAATTTTTTTTAATCTTATTCTCGGACTTCCTGCTATAGTGTTTCTAAGAAGATTTTAATAGCTTCCAGTCTTAACCGCAGCAGGGTGTTTATAATGGGATAGCTGACTTTTTTTAACTTTTTTTTGGATCAGATAAATTGCTTATATAACATTTTCGAGGTGGAGTCGATGTTAATATTCTGGTATTAATAGAACGAAATAGTTAATTACCTATTAATTTCAGCGGGTCATTTTAGAACTTGGGATATTAAGATTTAAACTAGGTTTTTTATCTTGGTCCCCGGACGTTCATTACTATAATACGCAATATGTGTTCTTGTAAAATTAATATTATTTTATTACATTAATAAGTATTGCAACAATAGTTTTTATAAGACATTTATTACTGGAAATTATTGGTTATTAAATCTATCACCAGGCTTCAAAGAATTAAATCTGAATGATTAATTTATATTCTTATTAGATATTTAATAGGAGTATTACAGAAAAATTGTAATGTTCTAAATAAATCAAGAAAACCTCAATGCACGTCAATTCAAAAGGGAACTTAGAATTTTATTGGCGATATTATGATAAAAAATGAGGACAGCTATTACCGAAAGTTTAGTTACTAATGAAAAAAGCTGACAAAAACTAAATTTTTTGCTGAAAACCTTTCCAAACCCTTTCAGCGTTCCTTCCAATTTATTCGAAAAATTCCCTCGTTGAACCACAAATATAAAATATTATCCTTATTAATTTAAGCCTCCCGGCCAATTTACACACCAATTTTCAAAACTTAGGCTTCGATCTCAAATTATAGATATTATTCCAACATTAGAAGAACCAAGATATAAAGCCATTAAAGTTTTCCACCCCGACACTGCTCATCTCCCAGGCCATAAACCAGCGGTTCGGCATCGAGTTAGCGCGCCTCGTCTGGTCGTACTTTATTTTCTGTTCTACGGCCATCTTCGACTTATAAATAAGACATTATCTTGGGCCGTAAGTGGCGGTTATGGCGGGACGTGAGGTGTTTCCGTTTTTTATACTGGCGGCTCTCATTTGAATACGACGAAGGAGTACAGCACCGGACACGAGTTCTCGCACCTCGGCCGTTCCGAAGGGATCCATTCGATCGTGACCTGATCGACGTCGATAAAAGGAGTACCGGAGTGCCTAGACAAAACTGGGCGTACGTTTCCAATGCTTATATAGGTACTATAATAATCGTGATTCTCTATCATTGTTGTATGTTATTCACAAAAAAATGTTGCAGTGTTATTCTCTTTATTGCTAACCTTTGAAGATTCTTTTCTACTTTTACTTACAAAGGGGATACTAACTTCTACATCTACTTTACGAATGGGAAATTTCGCAACGAAATGGCACGAAACGAAAATCCATCACAAGGACAGATGTCAGGGGATCGTTTCAAAAGAAAACGGACGATTTTCTGGCAATCCGTCCTCATCAATTTTATTTCTGGTGGCGTTTTCTAACAAAGGCGCGACATTGACAAGAAACACACGTTTGCGGACACCTGATGAGCTACCGAGAAAAGCGACGCGATGAATAGATCTTCAATTCCACCACCATAAAAGCGATCTCGACGAAGGAGAATCTGATCCTTTTACCATATGCAGGTGCACGCATCTGGCGCAGAAACAAGGGATGCTATTGTTTTTTCAAAGAGTTGATGCACTTTATTACCACCCAAGTGAACAGCTGGAAATTTAACTAGATATTAAATTCATCCAAACGCTTGAAAATTAATATCTATTCTACCTATGCTCTCACCAATACTCACCAATATTCCATTGAATATATTTTTGAATTATTTGCCATTTCAATGAGTAATACTTTGGTTTTCAATTAGTATTTTGTAGAAGTCCATGCGCATTCCAATCTTTTCTTACATTTCAATGAGTACTAATTTAAAATTTAAATAAGTATAATTTAATTAATTCTGAAAGTTTGTTAGACATATCAATGAATATTAGACACTAATGGTTGATTTAATGAGTCTTTCTACGATTTTGATTTAACACCGCCAATGCTGGATATATTTACCTATCTAATGTGCTGATAGTCGTAGATTTAGATTGTCCAAAACTTCAACAAACCTGCACCAAACGAAAAAATAATTGGGTGCAGGTGCAAAGAGAGAGAGCGAGCTTAACGATTTCACGAATGCGATGCTTTTCCCGTGATTACGGTTTCTTTTGATTGCCGAGCCACTTGTTCCTACGAAGCTATGGCGCGTTTTTCTCGTGCCTTTATGTAGCTGTTAACATGCGCTAATAATAAATGATTTACTGCGACGGAACAACGCCGTTCGTCGAAAGCGTTTCGAAGAAACCGCCATAACCCGAAACCGATTAAAAACGAGTACAGGGTGCGTCACGTAGCCGGTCGCATAAATGTTGAGTTATTGGGAAATAATTGCTGCGACGAAATGCGCAGGAAATATTGCAAATAGGTTGTGACTTCGGTAATAAGATATAAAAAACGTTTGGGAACTTAACGAGTCGGTTGCTGGTATTGTTATGGATTTACTAGGGTTTCTGCACTTGTTGAATCTCTCCCTTTATCATTGGCTCGTTTCTGTTTTACATTAGCTGATCACTAAGTTTCAAATTCTCCATTTATAGCCTCACTCTTTAATACACTCTTCTAGCTTTCTCTTTGATCTCTAACATCGATTGAACCTTCCATAAATTTAGAATGAGAATTGTACATCGATTATTAGAAAATCGTGAAATAGCTGAACTAATAGGGCTTATTACTTACTCCATTTGATGGATTAATCTTCTACAATCGCGAAAGTCTATGTAGTCAATGGGCTAAAAGTAACTTAATTCTTTAAAAATATAGTTGCCTAATATATTTGTGTCTCTAGTAGACCAATCCAATTTTAGAGGTACCATGATGTTCTTTAATCTCTTGGGTAAGTAATAAGGGCAGGAGTTTGCAGGAGATTATATCAGACCAATTTAGTAATTTGTCTAGAAACGGAAATTGATATAGAGCTTAATGATGAAGAGCTTATTTGTAGATAGGAGTTATTATATGAACAATTGTAAAGTTGTCCCTCTGACTATGTTAAGAACACCCAGATTGTCAATCTCTTGGCTAATCAAAAGTTCATAAGCCACGATTTCTTCATAAAAATCTCGGAAAAATACTGCTAACGGTAATGCTGGTGCATCCAACATTCGAAAATTAAGTCGTTAAGACCGAAGGGGCCCGAGGCGAAGCAAGATTGTATCGAATCGAGCGAAAACAAAAACGAAAAGAAAAAGCCATTTAAGGTTCAATGGGAGGCCGGCGTTCGCCGATGGCGCATTTTGCATGTTTTAACGGAATTTATGATCTGACAGAAAATCTACTGTGCACGGAATATAAACGGTTATCGATATAATGTGCACGCAGACCGGGTGTTTTAAAAATTACACGGCCCACGCAGATAGGCCGGGGCGCGCCGAGTCCGGCAAAAAGTTTAGTCCGTCTCTTCCTGCATATGGCGAACGCCAGGAGATCTTCAAGCAGAAATTAGAGATTAGAGTTATACAGGGTGGTACATAATGACATGCTAATACTTTAGGGGGTGATTTTTGGACCTAAACCTAAAATTTATTATTTTTTAAATTTAGCACAGCGGCTAATATAGCGACAGCGTACAAATGAATGCATTTATTTTTTAATGCGAAACGATGAGTCGTACGGAAAAAAGTCAAGAAATCAAATTTGTTCTAAATTGAATGAGGATTCCGATTTTATTTTAATATTATGCAGTGGCGAACCATTTTTTTTCTCCAAAAATATTTAATGTAAAATCCGTGCGGACGCCACTGCTAAAATTATTACAGTTATTTGTACATCAGAAAATGCATCTTGATTCATAGAAGACGTGTGCCAAATTTCATAAAGATATCTGCAATATTATCACAGTTATTACAAAAAAAATAATTTTTTCTTACAACTTCACCCTGTATCTTAAAAGACGTTTAGAACATTGGTTCATATGAAGTTTTTTTCTTAAAATAGGCCCAGGAATCACCCCTTTAAATATTAACTTGTCATTTTGGAACACCCTGTAGAATTTAATAACATTTCATCTTATAGTATTTCATAACTAGAATTATTATTTTTAAAATGAAAGAAGAAATGGATTTTTTTTAGGAAAGCAAATAAATTCCTTTAAGGAATTCATCATTAGGTAAATTTTATTTCCAATATACATTCCAATAATCTATGATCAAAATACAGATTTAATGAACGAATCGATCAATGACTTCAAAATACATAATTCGAGTGACCAAAATTTGGTAATCTTCCAATAAAAACCAAAAATAAGGGTAAAAAAAATCAAATAAGTTTTAAAACAATTTATTGTCTAATATATATCCATAATTGCTAAATAAATACTATACCTACATATTAATAGTTAATCAAGATAACGCAACAATAGTTGTATTGTAATTTACGTACTCCCCTTACAAATTTTAAAAATCTATAAAATATATTCATCATGTAGAAACATATCTGAAGCACTAGCTTATAATCTCAATTCGTAACTTCTTGGTGAGACCTACAATTCTCGAAATATTTCTAATTGTTAATATGTAACTAATCAACAAAAGTCTGTTACTTTCGTCTGATATGCTGGAACGACGCTTGAAAATATATTCGAGGTGATGTGGTTACAACTAATATAATCGCTAAACTACAGTGTACAACAAAACTTAATTCGGAAGCAGTTATTTTAAATGTTAAGTACCTATTAGTTATTATTTAAATTAACAGTTTTCTGGTGGGTACACTATTACTTTTTAGGTGGAACAAGCTCGAATTTCCATACTCGGTTCGGTCCTATTTCTACTACGTATATGGCAGAACCGTTTGGGCAAACCGCAATGTCGTGTGGATTTCCAAAACCCTTAAAAAAAGAAATTTGTAAGCATATAAAAATCTATCACTGAAACGAATTCGATTATAAAACGCGACCTATTGCATATAGGTTACTTGAAACCTTTTTGGTATCGACAATTCGCCATCCATAAGTTTATTCGCATATCAACGAATCACCCTGTATAAAATATATAAAATATTCATTAGGAATGCACAAATACAAGACTAGAATAGTTATGGATGCTTCTATAGAAGATTTGTTGCCCCATCATCAGACCATCTACAACGTGTAATTTGTAACTAAATTTAGTATTGTCGAAGCATTTTAATGCCGGCAATTTGACTCGAACGAGCAAGTACGATTAGTATAAAAATTTTTTCCAACCGGCATCCAAAAACCTTCACGGTCGTCTACCCGGTGCGCCTCTCGAAGGCGCTCGTTGATTAAGCAATAATACGGACCCCGCCACTAAGGAGAAACGAGAAATAAAAAGAAACGAGGGAAAAAAAGGAAAAAATCGGTATTTGTTCGGCATTGATTACCTCCTCGGGTGCCCAATGATCGATGACCGACTCCGTCTGTGGGTCGATGGTCAGGCCCTGGACGGAAAGCGTGGACGTTGGGCCGTTCACGGCGTAAATGAGCTTACCTGAAACGAATAAACGATATTTTATGTTACTCAACGTTCGAATTTATTGGCGTATTGAACAACGTAAATACGCAGAAAAGTAAGCTAATTTTTTAATAGCTCCACTTACTTGAGAAAACAAAATAAGATTTTATTATATTTTATAAACGCAGAAAGAAATAAATAGTTTTAATTACAAACAATGCATTTTCAAATTATTAATGCATTGTTATCAAATTGAAATTAACAAATAACTAGGTACTACTCTAAGCACTCGTTTAATAAAATCTTCAACATTTCTATCAATTACTTCTGCTTTCTTAAGCCTCAGTTCTACAACATAGGCAACTCTTAATACACAATGCATGAATTGCCATGAATAAAAATGCATTTTTCCCCGAACAAGAACTTTCTTAGGGAAACATCAGTATCCCATGATCCCCCTTATAAACTTCCCTCTTAAACCTGTAATATTTAATGAACATTGCATAAATTACTCTATTACTCTTAATAGGACTCACAGCCCCTCCAGTTATAGTATAATAATTTAGTAAGCATGATATTAGTACCTTTAGCAGCTACCCCAAATACTCGTCCCATGTCTGGTTGAGTGATGGTAAGGGCAGGTTCTTTCTTGCCCTGCAGAGTGTAAAGTCCTGCTCTTGGACAAACTACTCTCATATTTTCCCTATCAGCGACGCAAATCCTGTCCATTGGCTCGATGAGCGCCAACCCATGGGGTACTTGCAGAGACAACGCTTCTGTAATGTGAAATTATCATATTTGGAACTCTGCAGTCTGCAGTGTTAGTCTAAATGGATAAATTACTAAGTGCATTATACCTGGTGGTGTAGGATATATCCGTAGAAGAGTTCCTGCTGCATTGTATTTGAGTATTCGAGAGTTACAATACCCATCAGCAATGAAGATCTCTCCAGTCAAAGCGATTGCCACCGAAGTTGGTTTGCAAAAACGCTTCTCGTCCGATCCAGGTTCAAATCTATAGCCGAAGGTGAGGGAGGGTTGCAATTCTCCGGGCTTGAACTACAGAAAAACGGGTACGCATTAATTTTGAACTTATAACTATAAGAATATTTTCTACAAATATTTACCTTAAATACTTGATGTAAAGCTACATCGGTCAACCAAATATTGTCATGCCTATCGACTGTTAAACCATGGGGCATGTAGAACAAATCAGCTCCCCATTTTCCCAGCACTTTCCCGTTTAGAGGATCTAACGTAAGAACAGTGGGTTCTCTTATTGGTCCCAAATGTGCCTGTTGAAAATGATGAGTTTCGTTGAATGTGCTGCAAAAATATTCGACATTTACTACTGTTAATTCATGAAGAATTATAATTCTAGTTCTACGTTATATCTGAATTCTTACACAGAGCAATACATTCCCTATAGCGTTCTGTTAGAATAATCAGGCAATACGGTTTGGAATTTAATAGAGAATAACTTACAATTGATCCCAAACGCGATCAACTCGATGGAATATGACGGGTTGTAAAGCAGCGTTTACGGAGACGCCTGACACTTGTCCCAATTTCAAGTTCTCTTCTGGCCAGTTTTTCACTGCTCTCGGAGTATCTGGTTTGTCTGATTTAGTGGCCAATTCAGCTTGGGGGGCGTCCTGAAACAAACTCAAAATAAACAACACGAAATCATTAAACTGTGCATCAATTACAATGTTTTACAGCTAGTTTGAAGCTTTGGATGTTTATTTGGATCATTGTATTTGAAATTGGAAACCCATATAAGTTTACTTTCGTTTAGTGTAATGCATGTTGATAAAACCTATAGGTACGAAAATAAAGCTTTGTAATGCGATAAAATTTCCGGCTTGAAATCAAATCCGCGTACAAAAGTCAATTGAATTGAATGCCCTTTTTAAAGCCGCTTTCAATCTCTGCGTTCTGATTGCAGTAGAAACGGAGTTAATGGTTTTTCCGATGAAACTAAAGTAGGTCGCCAATATCGGACAGAGAAATATCGATAGTTTATTCTGAAAAGCCGAGAATAATTCGTAAGTTCTCTTCGTCCTTCCATTAAATAGATATTGGCATTTTTCCAACAAATTTGCTAGTATAACGAGTAACATAATTGCAAGTAATTACTACTTATGCCCCAACGATTTGCTAAATTATCCAGCTTATGAATTTCTGCTATAAACTTATAAAGCTAACAAACAAAAATTCAAACAAACAGAGACTTTTTCTAATTCTGATCATTTGTAAACCACAGAAAATAATATGAAATTGCATACTTATCTACCTCAAACTCCAGTAATTAACAAATCCTCAACCAGCGATGCAACGTAATTTATTTACAAACAGAATTTTTCTCTAATACGGATTACTAAAGCAAATATTCAATGAACGCGACGGTTCATTGTTGGAAAATTCGAAAAACACTCCATTCCGTATTAAATATCGTAATTTATTGTTCGATTTTTGTAATTGGAATACGTGGTTTATTGCTCTCGATATTAATAAATATTAATAATGAATTTATTGTTGGATACGAGCTCGGACGGAACGACATATTGATGATATAATCTTTATTATATTTCGCACCTTGTCCGATTTAATTAAATTCTAAACTACAAATACACCCACCCGTATATTTCGTATTAACATATCAATATAACAGCAAAAAATACGTTAATAATAATTATATTTTCAAACAAACCACGAACCAAACATTCATCTACTACAGCAAATACCAGACAAGTAAATTAATATAAAATCAAAACTTACATCTTGTATATTACTAGATTGACTGACACTAGCTGTTATAATTATAATCAGTATAAACACCGATAAAGTGCATCCTGCTATTATATAATTTCTTCGACTGGACATCGCATTTACAGTGCAACATTTTTATTAACACTGCATCACTCTGCCAAACTGTATCACTCTGGCTGGTTCTTTGTTAAGGTCAGTTAGTTTATGTAACGGGATCTTCAACTGGCAGTACTGAGCACTGTATGTAGCCATGTGAAACTTACTTACAGCGCGCAATCATTCCTCCGGTAAAGGCGATATTTCGTAGTACGACTGGTTATATGCGACTCATTGTTATTAAGGAAGGGATATTTCCAGGTGATTTTTTTTTGTTTGGCGTATTTTCGAGCTCTTATTCAAATGACAAAATCCAGAGTTTATTATAGTATATCTAAAGTAAACAGTGCTTCAATAACCACTCGAAAAACATACGGCGTTCTTTTAGATATTATAGATAAGCTCTTGTGGATATTACAATGAATTATGGATAAAAAAATAGCGCTAATATTAGTAAAATAGAGAGAATATAGTATCTTGATTTCGTTACAGACACTTGTAAAATATTATTTTATCTAAATTGAAAATTTTATTTGATGCTCAGTGAATAGACATCTAGATTTTGTAAACAGTAGAAATGTTATAATCTAGAATATGAGTGTACCTTTGGTAATATTTTATGTTATATCCAATAATGTTATATTATCTTATACCTATGCTGGTTATTTAAATAAATACTTGATTCATCTACTTCGGGCTTTATTTGTCTACTAGATGGTCATTATTTATTCAAGAAAGTCAATTTCTACACTATAAATTATAACAATATCTTTCCAAAGGAGTCAAATATCTATCTTATTAACAAAAGATTTATTTAACTACCGATAAGAGGTACCCTTTATATGTATTAATGTTTTTAGAGGTATTTTAGTTCAGATGGACAAATGCTTATATTTTTACAAATTGCTTAAATTTTAGAATAATGTATAATTAGGTATATTTAGATGTATAAAATTTGAAGTGGAAGCGATTTGTTATTCGGAAGTCTTTACTATTTTAACATAAATTAAGACTATTTATATATTTTTAAGCATTTCGATGTTTGATGAATATACTTATCTTTCTAGCAAAATAATGTACAGTAAAAGATATTAATGATAATTTGGCCACCCACTATTTTTTGAAACGCCCACCTACGTATTACTAGGTTTAAAATATGGCCAGGAACAATATGTTTGCGAGGGGACAAACCCTCATTCTCTATTAGTTACCATTTTCAAAAATATTAACACCACTAATTATTTTAACTGTCAATTAAATTGAACGACCGTATTTTATTTTATTTACCCAATAATATATTATGATACGCCAATACTCATTTTAACCATATCAAACACCACGTGGTTCCGTTCTAAAATATGTGCTTTATTATCATTAGAAATGCGTAACAATAATTATCAAATATCGAAATATCGCCTGTTTTTTATTCTATACATACGTATTAAAAAGATATAAATTAATAACTCGTACTTTTCATCACTTTCGAACAACTTCCTTTTAATAGGTTCCTGGATAATTACCTCGCATTATACCGCAGCACTTCAGGTATAGAGCTAATGCTGTGAGTAAACAAACATGCTGGCTATCAACTCACTCACCTGCAAATACCCCTGGTTGAGGTTCAGCAATTGCCGGACTTCGTCGTACAGGGCTCTGGTGGCCCTGCGGTCGTCCTGGTCGTAGGGCTGGCCGGATGCGAGCACCACCAGGAGGCCGAAAACGGCGGAGGCGGCGACTATTGGGGTGACCATGGCCGACTGAATGATCGATAGAGGAGGCCGCTGAATCGCAGAACTGGCGATGGTAGAGAGCGCACGTTGGGAATAATGTGACAGGTCGCTAGGTTGGCAGGTTAGGAGCGCCGGAGGTCAGATGCGCCATCCGGCAGGGGTCAAGGTTTCGCTATATAAGTCGACAATTTTCGGCGATTGTTGGGATTTGTTGTGAAGAAGAGTTATGGACTCGAATGGATGATGAAACTATTTTTTTTAGTTATTTTAAAATCTATCACTCAACAAGGCTTTAAGAAATTATTTATGTAAAGTGTAAAACTTATTGAGGAGTAAAATTGCGAAAATTCTCTTCTGTAGCTTTCAAACTAATATTATTCAATATATTCCACAAACTCACTGAAAATAGTAGTAGGTGAAATCCAAAAATAGCTTAAAAATTTTAATTTATGTAAGTATGTAGGTATATGCAGGAATAAACTTATTCTCGAAGTTTGTCCATATATTAAGTAATATTGCTATTATTAAAAGCAAAGTTATTGGAAGTTACAATAGATGACGCATTGAGGAAACTCCGACAAAATCAATAGTCCCGGAGCGGCTCTAATTCCGCCACCGGATTGAGTTAAAACAGTTAGGTAACTGAAAAAAAAATATGCCACAAATTCTTAAAACAATGTAAAAACTATATTCCTCTACTTTTTTTTCTACTTTTCTTATAAATTGCTATTTTCAACGACTTAAGGATTAAAATTTACAATTTGAATACCCCTATAACATTATCCATTAAAGTAGTATAATTTTTTTTTATTTCTACACAACACAATTTTTTCATTCCTTGTTCCTTGTTGCGTGTTCATGTCCATTAATTTATTAATCTCTTAAAAAACCATTAATTAAAATAATCATTTCATAATTATTAAGTTATTTTTTTCATTAAATAAAATTTCTTACTCTATCGAATGAACTTTGACTCCTCTGTTATCAAATAAAACATGTTTGTTTATTTCAGTATTATTCTGAAAATGAAAGTATCTACATTTATGTAACCGAAAACTTCTATTGTTTAATTTACCGTGGCCGGTGAAATAGACACGGGCATTCCACATTGCCTCCTGGAAGATGTTCAAAATATCGCTACAGGTGAGCGTTTCCCCAATGAAAGATTTTATCACTCCAAAAGCGATTTATTTACAGCTATGGATTCTCGTTGTCCTGGTGCACGTTTCGGAAAATAGAGTCATTACCAAGAGGAGTACCGATAGTTCCATTAGAGGTTATTTAACGGAGGTAAGCAGTATAACCTACCGATTGCTTGTAGATAATTTGGAAGGTTACAAGTTGTATTATTTTGCAGAGAATTTGCTGGTGGAACGAAATATGTAAAGAGGAATTTCGCAATCAGTTCCGCTGTAAGTGCCCGGAGTGGTCTTATTGCGGTGCTCCGGGAAAATACTACAATGCTTTTTGTACCATGACTACCACTGGTTATATTTGGCAGCAGCCTGGTTGGAGGGAATCCACAGAACCCGAAAGCCAGACGTAAGATTGATGACGTTCTTATTTAACAATCAAAAATTTAGGGTAATGCCTACTTTTATCTAATAATGGCAATAGAAAAAGGAGTATTCATACACAAATACAGGAATTTACATAGTAGATATGAGACTATAAGATTAGTCTATTATCAATAAAAGAGGCAATCATGTTCGAAAATTTTATTCTAAATAATAAAAAAACTGCCTAATATTTATATTGGTAGATGTAGAAGTTAATAAATTTTTGGCTGTACTGGATAAGTGGTTGAAGCTTCATTGAGAAGTTGCTTGTTGGCATTGCTAGTTTCATTTCTAATAAATTTATTTGAAAAGTTTATACTACTTTCATTGGTAATTTATTTTCATTGGAAAATTGGTATATCTACAATGCTATTTAGTTGATAAAAATAGGTGAAACTCTGTCTAACTTTACTAACAAAAATTTCAACATTCACGGTCAATTTCTCAATAAAAGTTTCAGCCAATTACTTGAAAAAAGATTTCCTGTTTTGACTTTTGAAAAACATAAAATTGTAAAAAATGTATTTTTCTCTTTGACATTGTGTCGTGAGGTAAAGTTTTCACTTGTCAAGAGAGTTTGAAATCGAAATACTGTAACTGAAGTTTGTTAATAAAAAATGATGTTACTCAGATTTGTTTGATATTATTATATAAATTAAAATTAAATAAACTATAAATTAATAAATCGAATATCACGAAATTGCCTGAAATGAGATTCCTTTACATTTTGATATAAAACAAGGCCTAAGCTTATGCAACACGATTTACACTCAACATGATACATATTTTATTTTCAGTGCCTTTCATTTAACTTAACGAGTAACATATTTTTACGTTGAATTAGGTTTTAATAATACAGTGGAACAAAAAATTGTCAATAACCCAAATCCGCAAATTTGTCTATTTTCCCATGACTTCAGTGAAAAATGAATACATATCAACAGCATCTTGAATTATTAAAAGGAATCGATAATGTCAATATTTTATTTAGAAAAGAATACGAACTAATATTTACTTACAAACAAAAATGTATTTATTATAGCCTCAAATTGCAACAATGGGTGAATTTCGAAAGAACAACAAAACCCGTTGACCTTTTATGAGGCCTTTGGGACACTCCTGGTAATTAAGGTGGAAATTTAATAACCTGGTTTATCGACAGTTCATTTAATTTTTCAACAGCAAATACATACACACATGGTCAATAATAAGACTGTGGATATTAACTGTCGTAATTTAATTACAAATCGAAATGTTACAAAAATTCACCAACAAATTTTCAGCCTATCATGAAATTTATATACTCTATCACATTCCTACTTCAATTCTTAATTATTTCAGTCTTTAATATCACTTTCTTACTAAAATTTACGAAGTTATACCTCCTATTAATTTACCTATACCATTGCAAAACGGCCATCAATCCGAACCCGCTCAAAATGCAAATGGCTCTAGATATTCTCCAACTTCTTCGTTCCTTTTCCCGATTTAGGACTTCAAAGAACGTAATATACAAAATAGTACCGGCTGATAGACCTTCGAGAAGCACAACAGCTGTTGATCTTCCTTTAGTTTCCACATTGTCGTCTAAAGTAACGAGTATTCCCAATGTAACGCCCAGAGGACTGGATATAGCGAGGCCCAAGGAATGAAGAATGATTGCTTTCGATTTCACTTTAGCCAGAACCATTTCCAAACTGATGCAGAAAAGTATGGTGGCGGAATGGATACAAACCGCTATAAACAAGTACCAAATATTCCCCGCTTCTTTTTGCAAACCAATAGCCAATCCTTCGAATACAGCGTGGAATGATAGAGCTAAAATTACTAAGCAACCTCGCATTATCTGCTGCTTGGACTTAATTTCCTCCTCCATGAGTTCTTCTTCCGGCGCTTCTTCGGCCGATATTACGCTGTCATCGATTTTTTCCACGTTTTGCTTTTCCAAATTTTCCATAATTTCCAAATTTTTCTGGTTGTGATACACCACCTCCTCCGAATTGAAACTCAATGAATCGTATACGATATTTTCGTGTTGGTTGTCGATACTTAGCACTTTGGTTTTCATGGAATTCCCAACGATTTCATCGGTTATCAAAGAACTTTCTTTGTCTTCCTCGTTGTTCATGGCTTTCTCGAATTCTTCCTCGACGATAAACGCTTTGACGGGCTTCAAATCGCCGTTCAAAGGGGTCACAGAGGCGTTGGTGATGTTGTTGAATAGCTTTTTATTAGATACTTCGTTCTTTTTATCGGGAATTCTCGTTATCGCCCAATGAGATATTTCCTCCATGAAATACACCAAGAAGAAACCCAAGCATATCGCTAGCTGCGACAGAGGATAGTCAATGTTGAGCAGACCGAATTTCTTTAAATCCTCCATTGATTTTTGCACCTGGAAATATAGGAGTAACAAGTTAAGTAAAAGAAATAAACAACATAGGAAAACCAATAAAGAATGAGTTTTGAGTAAATGGCTCAAAGGATAGAAGAATGTAGTGTACCAATAGAGTGATGATGATGATTAAAGATTTTGATGAAATAATAATTAAACGAAGAAGCTGAATTAAAAGATTATCAACAACAGAAGTAGGCAATGATTACTAAAAAAACAATGAATATGTAGATGAAAATAATAGAACAAATAAAGAAGACAATAGAAAATATGCATCTATAATTATGTAAGTACAAAAACTATAAATAAATAAATGTATTTTAGAATTTAAAAATGGATACCTCTAACATCATGTGCAAAAAACACGTGGCAAATAGTACTCCTCCGCCAAAAGATTGGCACAAAGCAATAGCGACGTTAACTTGATGATGTCTCTTCTGGTTGATGAAATGTCCAGAATCATCATCACCTTCCCATGCCCTTAAAACGTTGTAAATTTTAACTGGTAGTATCCCGAAGAAGAACCGGATAAAGAAAAATAGCACAGCGACTAAGATTTTTGTCGTTAATAAGTTCATAGTTTTCCGTTCGGTTTACAAAACGAAACCGCCGTGTCGTAGCTTTTCCGATTGTGAAAATATACTAACTTGAAAATAAAAGCGATGATCGGTAATCAACCCCTGTACTTACAAATACTTTCCGCGCATGTTTTATTGGTGGGTTATTTCAAAAATTTTTACAATATATTTAAATATTCTAAAGAATAAGCAAGTCATTAGTATTAGAACAAAAATTAATTAGGTACTTGCGTTTATTGATTGTTAACAATAAATTGTTATTTTGGTATTTTTTATTAATGGAAAATTCGAATTTTTCATATTTATGAATCAAAATTAATAAAAGATAAAGTCTACGTACAGATGCTCATTTTGAACTGACCTAAATAATAGATTTTCTGTTTTAACTCTTTTGCTCTCAATAATCGTGGGTATTAAACATTCATATTAAATTGATTATTCTTCATTACGGACTGAATATTTTCTAGTTCGTTCTTTAATATAATGGTCGTAATAAAACTGAAAAGATATTTTTGGATAAATTACGCACTATATTCGGCGCTTCGTAATTAAAATCAATTATTTAAAATAGTATCTAGTGAATTAATTAATTGATACACTTAAGAAAACTAACAGTAATTTTTAACACGTCTATTACAACATTTACATGAACATTTGTAAAATTAGTTTTTCTCACTATTCTCACAAAAATCAATAAATAAATTATTTAGAAGATTTATAAGAAGTAGGACTATTACACACCTACGCAAGCCCCAATACTATTTTCACATAGATTAAATCCGATGGTCTTGCCATTCACTAATTGGCGATAAAGAGGTGACGCAAGGCAAATAAACAAAAAATAACGGCCAATTTTTTCGGAAATCTATTCAAACGGCTACATTCAATCACTTGTTGAGCAATGTGACTAGTAAAAGCTCCGTAGGATGATCGTTTTATTATTCGTTACACTATTCCATAAAGCAACAAATCGGTAAATATCACTTCAAAATCCTCAAGCCGTGACCACGCTTCTAAGCGCTAAATGTGAGAGTGGATTTTAGTTAATTGAAAGGTGCTCGTCTCCTAAACGCTTGCATGCTATTAGTTTCAGAAGAAAGTCATTTTATTTTAGTTACCGAACGAAAAAAATGTAATTATTTCAAAAGTGAAATGATAAAAATAATTAACTTTTATAGGCAAAAAATATTCTAATCTCCCAATATAATTTGAGTGGTATTTAGAATGCAAGTACGTCTCAAAATCTGTAGCATTGCTACCCTAAAAAACTGGAATTTTGTTCAATATGGATTTAGGACACTCTATATAAAAGTAAATACGTATAAATGTGAACCTTGAATATTGCTAATTTAATGTTAGAAATATTGAGGATTGCCTTCGTTTCATGTAGTAATAGTTATAAATTGAATTAAATACGAAAACTTCATTAACAAAAATACTTAAATTGAGCAATTATAGGTAGATTAAAAGCATTGCAACATTTACTTCAATTACTTCAAGAGTAATCTCGTATTTTAAACATTTAACTCGTTCATTAATAGTGTTTACATTGACAAATCGACATGACTGATCGTTTTACATTCGCCGTATTTAATCGACAATTAGGATTTCTGCAATATTATTAACAACCACTAAAAATTGACAACATAATGAACAATATTGAATTGCATTATTATGAACTTTTACTTTTCTCTCCATTAGATAACCAACATGTTGAACTCGCATTACTAGGTTAAACGTATTTAAACAATAATTTACTCGAAACGAATGTGCACTTTATCATGATTGGTACAAACAGTACTAAGTTGAAAGGTACAAAAATAGTAAAAATGTTTTATTAGGTGTATATGTATATCAAATTTAATAAAAAAAAGCATCGTTTTTATTTCGGTTGATCAGGACATCGGCAATCGTAACGCTCGAAGACTCTTCTGAACGGGTGTTTGTTGTACGGAGTTTCCGTGTGAACTTTAATAATCTCTTGTACCAGCTTCTTGTAGTATTCTTCTTCTTCTTTACCTTTCTGCAACTGTCTCTCGAGTTCTTCTCGTTCGCGCTCCTACAAAAAGCGATTGGTTAAATTACTAACTTCCAAAATTAAAGAAACAGTTTTAAGTACTCTCAATATGTTGTTGTATTCGATTTGTTCTCTCAAATCAGCTCGATATTGTTGAATGGCCTCCTTCTCGATTCGATCGCTTTCCTCTTGCAATCTCAAATTAGCCTCATAGGCAATACGGGTCAGTTCGTTTTCGGCTTCAATAGCTTTCAGTTGATTCTCGGCCTCTTGGCGTTTCCATTCGACTTGCTGTGCTCTACCCTCAATTACGCTCTATAAATATTAACAATTTAGTTACTCAAACTTTTTTAGTGTATAACCACGTTTACCTTGTGCAATTGCCTTCTAGCTTCCTTGATCTTGCATTTGGCCTCCTCGTGCTGCTTCTGCACCTCCTTCATGTGGATGAGTATCAGCTCCTGGATGCGCTTTTCTTCCTCTTTTTTTTGGGTCTCCAAGTCGCGCACGTACTCCAGGTACAAGGCGGTTTCCTTAATCGTTTGCTGCCTCTTGGCCAGGCGTGCCGCTTTCTCCTTCTCCAATTCGATCACGTTATACTGTTGGTAGACGTTGACGATTTCTTCTTCCTCCTCCTTTTGCTTGCGCGCCACTTCTTCGTGGATGCGGATTTGTTCTCGAAGCTCTTGCAGTCTGGAATCGCGGTCCTTTCTCTGCTGTTTCAACTCTGGAAAGAGGAATTTTAGATATTTGTCTTAGAAACTAAATTACATTCAATTGTATCAATCAGCCAATATATGTTATTAGTCAACACCATGAGTTATAAAGCTGGTTATGATCCTGGTTATAAACATAGTAGTGGTCGAACAAAGTAATATTGTGGCTAAACAAATTATTCGTACTTTCCATTTCCTTTCGTCTCATTTCCTCGTTTTGCCGTTTAATTTCCAAATGATCTTCCATTTTCATTTTCATCTCTTCAGCTTTGAGTAGTTCCTTTCCTCGAACTTGCTTCTCCAACGTCTCCACCACACTTAAGTCAAGAGCTTTCTTAGCCAAAGCTTCTCTTTCTTCCCTCTCTTTCTGTAATAAAACGCAACGTAGATACATAATAACAGAAATAAATAAAATGTAAAAAGTTAAATGAAATATTTGCCTTTGCTTGGGTTTCCTTCTCATTCAACTCGAACCACATTCTATCCAATTCTTTGTCTGCCAATCGTCTTGCTTCGTTTTCTCTTATCTGTTGAAGTTGCGCATTTTTGGATTCAATCAAGTGCCTCTTGAAGAGAGCGGGTTTCAGCTCGTTGCAAAGACCACTAAAAAAAATAATAATGACCCATTTAAATGGATATAAAAGACAGATCGCTCTTCTTCAATACATTCTAAATTCGCCTAATGTTTCATAACAAATTGCTCAATTAGTACTCGTAACTTTTACTTTAACACAAGAAATTAAATAACTCAAGCACGTAAAGTGCGGTTTTGTTTGCGCGAAATATTAGAATTAATTCTTAGGCATTTTCTTTGAAAATTACGTACATGTATTGCTCAATTCTTTTCTTGTGCACGATTTCCTGTCGTTCCTCCTCTTTTCTTTTCTTGATTATATCCAAAGTCCTCTTCATTTCTTCGAATTTCTCTTGCTCTGTTTTAAAAGCTTGTTCTATGGTTTCGTTGTAGTATTGACGCTCTTCGCAGTAAAACAGATCTTTAAGCCTAATTCAAAAAAATAATTACCAAGAAGATATGTATGAACCTAAAAAATCTTACTTCTGTCTTCTTTTTTCTACACATTCTTCGTACGCACGGATTTTTTGCACGACTTTATTCTTCACATCTCTTTGAATCTGCAGGTAATTAACATGTCTCGCTACTTGCCCGAAAAACTCCGATTTGTCCTGCTCGACGCTCTCTTTGAGATCTTCCAGTTTCAAATTATCCATGTTGTTCTTCAGGAATTTTTCGTCGTACGCCATTTTCAATTTGTTCGTGTTGGGTTCTTTGCCATACTAAATACAACAAATAAACTGTGAATTTTAGTTAGAAAAAGCTTAATTCATTAAATGTGGGTTAATGGGATATAGAAGGAATCGTACGTATGGGAAGACTCCGGGATGGATAGTGGGGCATAGAATTGGATGCATTCTTTTTGAGCTTTTAGTTTGAAATTCTCTGCCAGGTAATTTTCTTCCGATCTAAAATGTGTTGTTAACATTGTTATAATATTAAATAAATCGTGGCCAAATATTTGTACAAAATTTTAGTGATTATTTGCTTACATATGAAAATACTCCAGGGTGTATGCTTGGGTGCGCCATTTTGCCAATATTTTCTCCACCAACTAAAACTTCTTCATTCAAAAAACTTTCTATCACTGTCAAGGTAAATGTCCGTTCGTGTAAAAATCAAATAGCAAAAAATGATTTGTTCGAATTACAGGCGTTCTTTGATCAACCGATAAAATTAGTTCTACTGAACAGCGATTACTTAGTTTAATCGATAATCAATGGAAACTCGGGGAAACCACCGTGCTGATAAGAATCTATTTGTTTGCATTTGCAGTAGACCCCTAATATTGGAGAAAATGAATTTCGACACGTACTGGATTCATTAATGTTTTGTTAGGACAATAATAGATTTGTTATGTGTTGAAGTACATGAGTAAATATAAGTAAAAATATTATTATTTAAAATTATGTTTTTACACAAATTTTCAAATAAATGTCATACATAATCATAATAATTATAAATCTCATACTGACATTGAAATAATGAATGTTTTATTACATGCTTTAATTTATGTACATATGTACTTCACAATGTAAATGATTTAAGTACCTTCAATAAAGTAATAAAAGTTTTATAATCATTCTGTTATCAAAATTTTTGCGAGGGAATTCTGAAATAAGTAGTAAAAAAAAGAACATTTTTATTATTCAATAAACACTAGATACAATGAATAAATATTAAATCTTTATCACTTACTATTTTACTTAGGTAAATAAATAGATATATTTTCCACTGTGCAGTTATCACATTTCTTCCAATTAACAATGAAATCATATCATATTGACTAGTTTTTTTTATTAATAATTCTTTAACATTTCTTGTATTTCATGAATGGTCTTTCCTTTCGTCTCTGGTAACCAGAAATAAATAATAGTTCCTATGGTCAAGCAAGATGCACCGAATATCCACATGCAGGAATGCATGCCAATTATGCCAGCAATGAGAGGAAAAGTGAAAGTATATACAAACAATATCAATGAACACAGTGTTGTAGCAATTGACACGGCAGATGATCGAACATCCGTGGGAAAAAATTCATTCACCAGTGTAAAAGGCAAGGGCCCTAACCCTAATGAGAAGAAGAAAATAAACAGAAGTATAAGCACAATCGGTAACCACTGAACTTTAGCTAATATTGGCGAATCGATTGAGTTTAAGTAGAAACAGATTCCTAGTAACGAAATGGGTATGCTACAACCGATTGATGAAATAAGTAACATTGTCCTTCGACCTGCTGTTTCGATCAACATCGATGTTAACAGATAGAAGCAAATTTTGAACGAACCCACTATGATTGCTACAGTAGATCCGGATATACCGATTCCTGCATTATTGAAAATAGGCGCCAATAGGGGCATTATAATTGTTATACCGCAAATAAATGTACCGATTAACGGTATCATAGCCAAGAGCATTCCAACTCTACCTTCTTTACTTTTAAAAACCGTAAAAAAATTAGCTTTCTCCCCATTGGCCATTGTTGTGAGACCCATGTTTATTTTGTCGACATCGATATCGATTTCTTTTTGGGATTTGTTACTCCTAAGTCTTTTTAATGTTCTAATACAATCGGTTTCTCGTCCTTTCGACAGTAAATGCATGGGAGTCTCGGGTGCGAAATTGAATAACACCATGAACAGTGCTACCGGAAGGGAGAGCAATAGAATATAGTTTCTCATACTAAACAAGGGCCCGACAACGTAGCAATAGAGTTGACTTAATGGCATACAAGTGAAGTTAATACACCCGTACTTAGCTCTGTTATGTTCCTCGCACAATTCAGTTATGTACAACGACATAATACTGAAACCTCCAGCGAAAAACACTCCGATTAACGAAGCAGAAACGACCATCGCAATTATACTGGTACTAAAAGCTAAACTGACGAAGTGCACTAGCATTCCGAAACCCATTATCAGCAAAAACTTTTTTCTGCCCGTTTTATCCGACAACGGCGGTAGCAACAGCGCCCCGAAAATCCCCGAGAAGTTCGGCATCGACAGTAAAAAAGACGTTTCCAAATTGGTGATGGGCCTGCCCAAAGGATTGATATCACTGTCGTTTGATCCCAACTTTACTAAAGCAGATGAATACCACACGTAACTTGAGCCTCCGGTTATCATAAAAAGCATACCTTAAAAAAATTGGAAGACATCAAGAATTTGTTGAGAAAAATTTCTTTAGAGTCCTTACATTTATTGTGTTATTTAAAGAGGTTTAAATAAATTAATAATTATTATAAATTTTACTTACATGATGCAACTGAAAACATCAAATAGAATGTATCGGGTCGTTTGAATTGCGATTCAGGTTGAAGTTCAGTAGATTTTTCAGCAACCGGCACATATTTAACTTCCAGAACAGTCGTATCTTTCTTGCGATCGGCCATTCTTATAAATCTATCTTAATATTAGGTGTTTTTTTTACATGTATCTTTTAATGTGCTTACAACTGAAAGTGTTAGGTAAAATAAAATTCACGCGCAATATTTATACTACAAATAGTTGGTTTATCTTTAATTCTTAAAACACAATAAAGTATGTGTTATCGTTTTATTTCTTTGTATGGTAAAAATCATTTTTATATAATACGTAGAGTATTACTTTAATCTGCAAAGGTAGTATCTATGGTATTTTTCGTAATTTTTATCAAATCATCAAGGAAATTCTAGCAAATTGGGATATCTTATTGGATGACTTGATACCATTAATTCCAACTAATTATACAGTAAACATGATCTTTGAGGACTTGTGGAAAAATTTTGTAACTTTAATAAAATCAAGCTGTATCAAAATTCAGGTTGCCACTAATTTTTAGCTGAATTTGTGTACAATAACTGGGTTGTCTTATTAATAACTAGCAAAACTTACAATATGGGTATTTGATTGATGAATAAACAAGTATTAAATCGATAAGAACACCTGACCATTTGACATTTAAGACAAAAAAAACAGATACATATTTGTATGCATAAAAAATCTAATGTCCAGCATATCATATACGTTTTAAAATCGATTTAATGACCACTATAAATTATTAGAGAGTATCGTTTATTTCCTTGCGATTTTGTACGTTATTATATCATCGACATCACGAATTACTTCACGATTTGATTTTTTGTAGACTTTCCAATAGATTAAGATGAATACATATTACACGTGTGCACATACGCATACTAGTTGCATAATTACTCCTACACCGGAATTAGAACAAATAATTATAACGAAGATGATGAGTTAGATAAAAAATCGACTAAAATCGAGCAATTATCATAATTATACCTCTATGTATAATTCCCATCAATTTCAATCGATAAGGCAGCTGGTCAATAGTCGGTGAGCTGTTTAAATTAGGAATGAAATTGTAATTCTAGTTGATTAGGTTTTGTTAACATTGTACTTTCTCCTTAGCTCATTTACAGGATGATTGCAGAATATTTAACAAATTTTTTTTCCAAATAATACTAATAATGATAAGTTTCTTCGAACTTTATGTGTAAATTAACCCATTCAATACAATAGAAGTTCAATTTAGAACTAGTTCAGAAACATGAGAGATAGATAGTTTTTGTAAAGGTTAATAATGTTCTTGATTAATTGTTAATGAAATTGCATTGGTTAAGTGTAGTTGTAAAATAAAACAATTATTTCATATAAAAATAACGCTTTAGTACTTGACATGATTGAGAAAGAACATTAAAATGGTTCATTCTCTAGATGTTAAGAAACGATTGAAAAATGAGTTTGTTCCAACTTTAGCTAACGGTTCGAGGGAATCATTAATTGCACTATATTTCACAAATTAACATTTATCTTGCAACAAAAAACTAGTTCAGTGTGAAAGGTGACTGGTAAATCTTGCACCACAGAGGCAAAGTTTTCTGCAAATGCGTTCTGAATATTTTGTAATTAAACTAATCTTCATGCGATTTAATTTAGTCATCAATACGGTATGTAGTGGCTTAATTATATGCAACATTAAAATGTTCATATCATTTGTTCTTAATCAACTGAAAAATCTTGAAGAGATTTTAATTTCGTTAATTCGAATTTGAAAGTTATTTCCATTCTCTATTGCTGTTGATTGGTATACAATAGAAAACTAATTCGGGTAATTAAACTAATTTGACTGATTCACAATCATTTCCTTTCATCTACCGAATTTTGGCTGTTCGTGATGTTATAATTAACCTGCTATCAGCATCTACTAATTTTTCTGGTTAAATATTTACTCAAATCTGTGGAAAAATCTTATATAATATCGATATAATATAATAATATAATATCGAGTTTATCGAGTGATAAACAGAATTTTCACGCAAAAGGAACTTGAAAATTGAGGAGCTATTTAGGATTCAATTTCTTAAATATACAGAGTTACTAAGTAATATGTATGTAAAATGCTATAAATAAACTACATATTACTTAATTAATTAAGTCATTAACGATATCACAAAATTGGGCAATAACGTAGCATCTTTTATATAAAACAAGCTATATCAATGTCTATGGTATAATGTAGGAACATCAATTATTAAAAAAATAATTAGTTATTTCCGTCTAGTAAACGCTCTCACGTACATTTTTTATGGAAGCTGTGTCAGTTCAAAGGTTGCGTATTTGCAAGTCATATATTTTTAATTACTTTCACCGCGAGAAAGAACGAAATATGTAACTGTGAAAACGATCGATTAGATAATGATCGGTTGTTTAAAATACAATCTAACTCATCCATAACATCAATAGTAGCAAAGCGAGCTTAATAATTATAGTATGTTAATATATTACCTATATAGGGTGTTTCCTAAACATGCGGCAAAAATTCAGGGGGTTGTTCCTTGGACTATTTTAAGAATGTTTTGTCCTTTGATGATTTTTGAAAAACCTCTTTGTTTCGAAGATACAGGGCGAACAACATTTTTCATATTTTTAAAATTAATAATAATTTAAATAAAAATGCGTACCGCACTGTGTTTACTAAGTAGGTACAATTTATTTTTAAATTTGTTTAACAACATTACAATTACTAAAAACGGCCAGTTTTTTGACTTAAAATTGATAAGTTCAGATGGTAAAGGAATACAGATTAAACTGAGGAGAAACAAGGGGATGAGGAGAAGATTGGATGCTTGTATGCTGGCTAGAGGTGGTCATTTTCAACAGTTTTTGTAGGTTAAGTTAAATTTTCATGTAATTTTTCATAATAAAATGTTATTATCTAAAATTTTGTTTCCCCCGTATCTTCGAAACAAAGAGGTTTTTCAAAAATCATCAAAGGACAAAATATTCTTAGAATAGTCCAAGGAACAACCCCCTGAATTTTTGCCGCATGTTTAGGAAACACCCTGTATAAGTACCTACCTAGATGCCTACATGTCATTTTTTAATATATTATTATATATAGTAAAGGCCTCTTAAATAATTTGAGCTGTAAGTTTTCAAAAAGGAATATTCTTTTATGGGAAAACGAAATAATGTATGAGTAAACTTAGTGCAATTTCTTACGTACCTGCAATGCGATATGAGAATGTATGTCAACAGATTCTCATAGCTGAGTTATAGATAATAGCGTTTGTTTTATTATTTTTTTATTTAGTTGGTAATTTCGCTACTTTTGTTTATTACACCATATGTAAATGAATTCATAAGCTTAAGCAATAAATTCGCTACAATAGATGCGGTATGACTGTAGATACATTTTTTTAATTGTTTTGTTTATCTAGAAGCTCGGGATATTTTTTTAAGAAATTAAGAATTATGACTTAAGGTTTCATCATTTTTATAAAGTGTTTTGTACCTGTGACAAAAATTTAGTAGTTTTACCATATTCGTTCATTTTATTAATATTATTGATGCTATTACGTATCTGCAATTTCGAATATAAGAATTGTCTTTTGTACGTATTTTCTTAAAAAAATAATCCAAATAAGCAAAAAAATATCCACTATTTAAAAAATATTTATTTAAAATATCCACATATATCCACAACATATACACATACATTCATTTTTATCGCAGGTATAGGAATTTAGAAAGTTGTGATATATTGATTCGTCACTTGTAGAAATTTTCATAATAAATCAGAACATGAATGGCTAATTTCATTTAAAAAAATAAAAAACCCTTATACCTAAATTTAATAATGCTTTAGATATACCTATTTTTGATTATATTATAAAATTTCCTCATTTAAGATGACATGAAGAATGAACATTCCTATACATTAAAATAATATTTTTACTGTAGCATATCTACTATATTAAACTTCTCCTTGAATATTGGAACGTTATGTTTACTTGTAATCCAATTAGTTTTTCGGAAACATCTAAATAAAATTAATTAATAAAAGTAATAAATTATAGCAACTTAGCGGATGATTGGTCATTGGCAATGCCAGATCGTTCTTAATTAGGGAGTTTAATTGATAATATCTCCATATGGTAGTATTTGTTTACATGCTCATCCGTTACTAATAATACATTCAATACAAATGAAACACATGAGATTAGAGTTAGATATATGTATTTGCAAAATGCCTATGTATAAACACGTGTTGAAAACAACATTTTGATGCTTAGCTCGTTTTTAGATATTATTCCGGTTTTCCATCTAATTTTCCATCGCTGCATTCAGAAATCTATTAGGAAACCAATTGGACACTTGGAAAAAAGGAAAAAAGGAATACAATATTTTTTTTCAAAAATTAATTTTAATCGGAAATGATGAACAATCACCAAGTGTAATAATTTTTCTAAATAGAGATAATTAAGTTTTCTCTTTTATTACCAGATAATTAATTAACTACCAGATATAACAGTAATCGCTACAGAAAATCCAATAAATCGAAGTTAATAACGCAAAATTACCTTCGAAGAGCTTTTCAAACACCTATTGGAATAATTACGGTGAAAAAATAGCGATAAAAATCATAAAATCAGTGCAAGGTGCGGATTTTTCTACCGTAAAAAATGCCCGCTAATAAAATAGGAAGCGTTAAAGCGATTTCTGAACATGTCACGGTTAAAGAGATAACACTGAAGAATGAATGGAATTGCGACACGACAATTAACATTACAAAAAAATCAAAAGTTCGCTAATGTTTAAGTACGATTACGGACGGACGAAAATGACTTTCACCCGTCCTTGGTCACATCTTCGTGCTTTCACTTCTGGTGGTAACTTGCACATCGCCAGATAATGCACTCTCTGCGAGAATACGGTGCTTTTGCGGCGAAAATGAAGCAACGAATTAGATCGCATTTCGAGTGCCGATATGCAAATTGCGAATTCAATGTATGGTGGGAAACCGCAAATAATTATTATTAGCGAGTTAATTAAAAGTTATTTATTATTAGCATAATTTGTTTAATGCGAGACAAATGTAGGTGGACGTTACAAAGATGTTAATTAGTTATACAATTGTGTATTATAGAGAATAGAAGATTTGCAAATGAACCAACCAAATATGGAGTAGGTTAAACCAGGTCATGTTAATTGGAGATGACACAAATCAATTTCTAATGAGCCTTAAAGTTTAATAGGATTAGTTTCTTCCCCAATGCTATAAGAATTAATTATAAGCTTTCAATAACCATTTATTCAAATTAAATTATTTATTTACCTGTGCGGAGCTTTTGCTAATCAGATAAGATTAACATAACACATTCGACATGGAATATTACATTGATAATTTCTTCATAGTGGTTCATGGTCGTAGGACGAAAATGTAAAAAATGTTCTTTGTTCGATTCCTAACCCATTGGTTTTTCGTAAAGTTATTTTTCGTGTTGTTTTCTACTTCTACAAGGACTACATACAACGATTCTTTAAAGGTAAAATATATTATTTACTCGGTTATTAATGACATTTATCGATCATAGTAATGTTAATTTTACTACTTATACGGCATGTTTTGGAATTATCTTATTATCGCTTCATATGATTTTTTTAACACTAAAATATCCAACAATGTGTTATAAAGAAATAAAATACTATTTGAAGCATTTGGAGTGAAATAATTTTACCATATCCAAGTGAACAGCAAACATCTCCAAAGATCTTATCCCACTAATATTTTTTTAATAATCTTGGCAACAAAATTTATATTTTTTCAAGTCATGTCCAGAGGAAACAACGTACAATGACATCGCGAAATGGCCGGAAACTGCAGAAGGGATGTGTTCACTTTCAGAACCCATTTGCTTGAAGACGAATAATGATGTGGCTCCGAGATGTTGCCTTCTTAACGAAACTTGGGAAAATAGTACGAACTGCAGTGATTTACAAGAAGCTATTAGTAATCCTTGTCCAGAGGGTTCTAGATTAATTGAAGATATTTGTATTTTTTTAATCAAAGCCACTAGCTATCCTTTCCTTTGTCCATACGAAGAGAACCTACCTTTTGATGAATATTGGAACCACATTAATGTTTTGAACGTCGCTCCCATTTGGTTGCCTGTAGAACGGAGTGTTGGAATATATGGAGAAGGTAGTAGAACCTGCTCTGAGCAAACAATTTAATATTACATTAAAATTAAACTTTCAGGATTATTTTATTGGAACGAGTTATCTTCTAAGTATCAATCACCGTTCACAGGGCAGCTTAAACTAGAGAAACATATTGTGAATAAAAATTGTCTAATCCAAGATGAAAATAATTATGTGAAAGTCGTTGCTTGTACAGACATATACACTGGAGTTTGCGCTTATAGACCAATTACAAAGAGGATGAAAAGTTTTTGTTCCCAAGTATTCGGCTCTTCGTGCAAACAGAGCGATTATTCCACAAAATCAAAGTGTTTTTGTAAAACTCATACCACAAATAACGAAACTAGAAAAGCAGAGTTATTGATACCTTACCAAAATCTCTTATTCGACTCTTTGGATGAAATTTGTTACATAGGTCTGGAGAAGAAAGGTGATAGGTTTCTGTGGATTAATTCAAACATACCCATTAACTATACGTATTGGTCAAATAATACCCACTTTGGTGAGAAATACGACCTGGGAGCTATGTCATCGAATGGATGGGTGCTAAAGTCGACAGAAGATGATGAAAATTGTACCATAATAGAGATATTCCCACCTGTTTTTAACGCATCTTTAATTTTATCCGAAATAAACAGTACAACTTTGGTAGCTATATCCAATGAAATGGCTGCCTGGAAGCAATACGAACACAGTTCAGAACCAATGATATTCTGTTTTACCGACGCCGCTAATGATGCTATAATCAGCAAACTGGATATGGACATTAATATTTTCAACAGTACATTGGAAATAAAATTTTCAGTCTTGGATAATGTGCCTGGCAACTATTGGTGCGAAGGTTTTGCATATCCAGATTTAAAAGCAGTGAAGTCAAATGTGTATTATAAAAAGTAAGTATTCTATATTTTCAGATTGCTCAGGTTTCAACTAAAACATTTTCAAATTTTCAGCTCCAAAAATTCGGAATTCGTTGCGTTAATTTCTGCTAAATATTTGGAAACAGTATACCCTCTATCAACAGAATACATAAAAGAAGTTTACGAAGGGTTTAGGGCTAATTTAGAATCAAGTTTACGAGTATTTAACGAATTAGCAGATTTCTTTCCCAGGTTATACAAAATCGTCGAAATCGACGAAAAAAACTGCAAATTAGTATTGAACTTTCACATAACAACTATAAAATCAAGCAGAATACCATATACAAAAATGTATGCCAATTTATCAAACGCCTTGGCAAATATGATATCACCTTACTTTAACTACACCAGCGCCCTATTTACCAACAGCTGCATTGGATTCAAAAGCGGTGATGTAATATGGCCAACGATTAAGATTTCTGCAACAGTCTATCAACCCACTATGTTAAGCGATGAAATGCAACCCGAGTGTGTCTGGTGCTTTGATAACAAAGGACATGTTGCGACTCAAACTTGCGGCGGTAAGAGTACTGAAATAACCCCTCTTATTTTCTCTAATTGTGGTTTTAGGGGATTACATCAATGGAGGGACTTGGATAGAAACATCAAATGAATGCAATCTAATGTATAACTTAGACTTGAGTCCAATGTTGGAGAGCGTAGTTCGTAAGGAAAATCCTGAGGCTTATATCTCGTTAGTACACGAATTAGTCGCTACTAAAAAATTTGAAACGACTGATGTCGAATATCTGGTTAGCTATTTGAAAAGATTGTCAGACACTAAAATAGTGAAAGAGCTGGATAAATTTGTCGATCTGGTTAATGAGATTTTAATGTTGGATGAAGATGTTTTAAAACAATCGCAACTTGAATCTGACAGTAACAATAAGATGTTACGTTATATGTATCGGATCCTAGAAAAAACTGATTTTCCATTCCAGGTTATAAAGCCACATTTCTCGATTGTAGGGCTTTCTTTAGAAACATTCGATGAAAGTTCAATTTTCTGGATAAAATACAATGACAGTATTAATGTGGACTTTTTAAATTATGAGAATGATATACTTGGAAACAACCCAAATATTCATGTAGGGCTAATCTTCAATAGACCCATGTTGAATAATCTAAAACGTAGCCACTCAAGAATAGCAATCGTCGCGTTTTTTAAAGACTCTTTATTCAAAGACAAATATTTCCAAACACACGCTCCAGCAATTTTTAGCATTATTTTTCCGGACCAACTTATTGAAAATGAAGAATCATTAGAAGGCCTCCTGACTGCAGTATACATTTGTGACAACCCCCAGAAATTTAGTTGTTCTTACTGGTCAAAAGATACACTAAATAGCAGCTATTGGTACCAGAATAGCCAAAGTAATATAAAGGGTTCCAAAATATTTTGTAACTTCGCAAAACTAAGAAACGTTGGTTTAGTATCGACGATGAATATAACAGATATATTGGAGGAATTATTACAAGATATCACGGAAAGTTGCATTACAATTTTTAATCGGATTAACATGATTTTGTATCGCTATAGCTCACAGTTACAATCCAAAGACATATCACTAATGATTCAACTGATTGAAAGATGCTTTAACGACACCAGCATGGCTTTACAAATTGTTGATAAAATTTTGGATTGGCTAAGCCACAACGATAGGATAACATCGATTGATAGTAACGAAAACGTCGAAGCTCATTTATTAAACACTTTCTATTTGATAGTAAACAACTCTAACATAAACAACATTAGTCAAAGAAATTTCGCCGCCTTTAAAATGGATTCAAGCTCTGCCGACATCGTTGGTTTTCACGTTAAAACATGCGCAAGTAATTGCCAAATAACCGTCGACCCTCAACAGCTCGATAACGAATTGCAAAACGACAAGGAAATACGAGTCCGGATGAACTCTGCTCTAATCAGACAATTTCAATCCGCAGAACAAGTATTCATATTCGTCGTATTCTCCAACCTCGCGCTTTTTAAAGCAAGTAATACATACAACAGGAGAACGAAAATTGTGGGTTTGCTCGCGGATACTTTGGATATTTTAGATGACGGAAACGTTACAATTTTGTACAGCGGTAAAGGCAACGCCGTTAATCAATCTTGCGAATTATGGTCTAAAGGTAATTGGAACCCAATGCAGCCTCCCCAGGAACCTCCTGTAAACACTGATGTCGTTGATTGCGAATTTTGGAGCCTTGGGTATGCATTTTAAAACACAATTTCTTCACCTACTCAAAATTCAAAAGCCTTAAGATTTTCGTAGCATTAATTAGGTAAATTGTTCTCAGGTACTACGCTCTGTTCTACAATGAATTAAACGTCACAGCCATAATAGAAGAAGTAATTTGTCAATCGTGGGAACCCGACGTTAAATTAGACTACTTAGGAAATATAGCAAGAGATTACAAGAATTTAATCAAGCCAGAAGATCTTGATTTGTTGGCGACTTTTGTTATCAACATGGCCAATGATAATCCAACAGCAATTGTTTGTAAATTAGCTAGACTTTTAACAACTTTAATGGATATTCCACCAAGTGTGTTGAGGTTATCTCAAAAACAGTATGGTTCTTCGGATACATTTTTACACAGTCTTAATCTGGTTAATCAAAAATTGACTGCTAATGAAAGCTTCTGTTCCGACGACAATCCGAAATTACTGGTGGTTAAAACATTTGAAGGGAGTAGAGGAATAGCATTGAACACGAACGAAGGAAATTGCAAATTTAATGAGATAACTGGTGATGTTCCTCTTAATTCAGATTCAGGTGTACTAATAATACAAAGCAATAACCGAGTTGAAAATAATGGTATTGTTATTACTGCGTTTCGATCCAACTCTCTATTCATTTCAGAGGAAAATGAAATAATACCTAGCAATATTATATTCGGAGTGCCAACTTTCGATGAGGAAATGGATAAATTAGAGATTTACATTAACAAAAATTTTAATGAATCCTTGTATTTGGAATGTCTATATAGAAAAGATTGGGGTGATTGGTCATTTGCTGGAAAATTCGAAAATAACAAATGTTCCTATACCGAGCCTGGATATTACACCTTATGGGAAGCAAATGATAATCAATTTAATATTACCAGACTATTGCAGTTCATTTTATTATCTGCTGAAGGACAATCTAAGGAAGGGATAGAAAAATTACAAAGAATTGCGGAATTTTACGACAGATTTCAGACACGCGATGTTTCCTTGCTGGTCGAATGTTGTTTAACCATAATATCACAAAAACAATATTTATTGCAAAACATAGAAGTAATTACAAATATTGTAATAAGTTTTTTCAAAATACCACTCGCAATAAAACAAGAATCTCAAATCGAGTTTAATGCCATCAAGCTTTTCCTCAATTTCGTTAGTTTATGCGGCAAAGAATTCTATGAAAAAGTCCAGTTTCAAGTAGAAGATTATTTACAAATAATAACTTGTTACCTTATTGATGGTAGTATCGATGTAACTATATCAAATAATGTATTAATGTGTAACGAAAAAGAAAACCTACAATACGAAATAAAAATCGAATATGCACATTCCGGATATTTAGCAACTTCCTTGTTCAAGGAAAACGAACTCTTCGTTAACGAACAATCATCGAAAACATCTAAAGTTGTGGGTGTTTCTGTTTCTGACCCCAACTTTTCTGTAACAGTAAAATTTTCGAATGCTGAGAATAAATTTTCGAATTACGTTTGTTCAATGTGGACATTTTCACCAAGTAAAAAAGGTCAATGGAATACAATTGCAACCGAAATAACTTCAGATGAAATCCTGTGCACACCTCCAGGAAATTCTGCGGATGACAGATACATTGCGTTAGCCCAATTGAATTTGAAAGATATATTAAATGAGATTTTAAGTTCGAGATTAATGGATTACAGCGAAAAATTGCGGAGAGTTTGGGATGCCATTCCTTACTATCGAAATCAGTTCGAGTCGTCCAATGTCGAACAAATTTACCAAATAATAAAAACTGGGAGATTAACAGACTCTAACAGTGTGAAAACTGTAGTTCAAATTATCAACTTTTTAATGGACTTGGATAAATCAATTTTAGTATCGGCACAAAATCGGTACAACACCACTGAGAATCTTCTCGATAAGATCGATGATATGATACTGGAATTTGAGGGTGAGTATTTTATTTTTTCTTTGATAGTTAAATAATTTAATGGATTCATCAGAACCAAGTAAGTCGATAAAAACATTCAAATCCAATTATTTTAATAATATGTACTAAAAATGTTCGAACAAAACAATAGTATTAAAACTTTGCAACTGGAGTTATGTTGGGAGTAATAATTGGACTTTGAGTTTCTAGTAGCAGTTCCCTTGTACCTCGTTAGACATAATATGCAATGATGAGAATCTAAAATTACCTGAACAATCAATTCTAATTAAAAAAAAACCAATATCGCCATATTAATTTTATTATTACATTCGATTACAGCATTAACCTCGTTTATTTCAGATGAAATTTTATTAACAAACTACAACAACTTCGCCATAGCGATCAAATCTAATTTGAATGGTATACTTTTCGAAGCAAACGGAGACGGATCCTATGTTATAAAAGATGTGTTACATGACGATTCGAAAAAAATTGCATCTTTGGATACATCATTAATTATTAGGTATTCTGGAAACAAACCAGTTAAATTATATTTAACGTTTTACTTCAATAATGCACTATTTAACGAAAAATGCAGTACGCGTATCAGGAATCAAGCGATAATTGTAGGAGTTGGAGTTTCAGATTCTGAGTTGAAACAGTCTTTGAGGTAAGAATGGTATATTATAAAAATAAATAATGTATTACAGGCCTACTCCACTTGCACATTTCTAAAAAAATCTCTAGTAAAAATAACTAGCAGTGATTAATTTAAAGAAAATTATGTGTTCATTATTTATTTTTTGTGTTTCGCTAGGTGTACTAAATGATAAAATAGAAAATTTCAAGTTAGCCTATTGAAAATATGAATAAAAGATAGTCAAAAGTTATCAAATATTAGTTTTGAGCAACAAAGAACAAGCTACACCTACTTAAAAGTAAAAACAAATCTTGACGATATTAATCATTTCTATTTTTGTCGCATTCCATGTCAATCTGATCCATAAATCTCTTCTATAATTGAATTTTAGGTATACTTTTCTCTATAAATTACTGCTCCTAATCCAGCTTTTTATACAGGGTGTCCCGTATAAAAACCAATCCAGATTAGGGCATTTAGAAGAGCCCAAAATATGTTATTTAACCCGACTTACATTTTACTTTCCCTATATTTTACGTACACTTTGGAATAACTAATATTGTTTCCAATAAACTGGTAGTGTAGTTCTAAGAATTAATATTATTGATTCTAATTTTTCAGCATGTTCTTCAACAATTACGAAGACAACTCGAACATTTGCGCTTACTGGAACCATAAAACTGTAACGAGCGACTCTCAGACGGGCTACTGGGAAACTATCACGGAGAAGCCATGTCACAACAGACAAAATCTAAAATATTTTGCTCTTTTAGAAAAATACAACGTCACGAGCGATTTGCAAGATATCTTCAATTCTAGCAAAGCCGTTCTGGAGAAATTGAAAGATGTGATCGACATTGTGCGGCGCAACAGTGATGTTATAAAACCATACGATGTGTTTCTTATTTCAGAAATTTTAGGTAAAAATGCTCAGCTTGTGTGAGGCTCAGTTCATAATAGATCAGTATTGATAATAATACACTCTCTTATAGGTCTACTGCACGATAAGAATATAACCAAGCAGCATGTTAATTTGACTTCCCAGGTAATCAGCGAGTTGTTCAATGTGAATCGAACAGTTCTTGAAGCAGCCCAGGAGAAATTCGGAGTTACTGATGACATACTGTACACCGTCGATGAAACGTTAAGAAACTGCGTAAGTGAAATAGAAAAACCCATCAGCTACGATGATTTTTCCACATTCAAAGTCGATGTAAAAAGCAGAAATTTTACCACTTTGATGTTTGAAAACTGCACCCAATTTACCTGCGATGTGTCTTTTATGAATATTGAAAATTTTACCGATATCACCAATAATTCGTTCAATACAATGGTATCATTCGATCAGAAATTGTTGAAACAAATTAAAAGAAACAAAGGGCCTGTTTACTTAGCAGTAACGCTGTATTTTCGTGATAGTTTATTTAACGAAAACAAAACGAGAGATGATGATAAATCGAATATTATAGGAATATTCCTCGAAGGTAAGTTAGCAGGAATAGGATTTAGAAATGCAGTGCCCAATTAAGTGGAAACTATATTTTTAATTTTGCAGGTTTAGACAAGGATCAGTTAGAGGGTAGTATTTATTTTATGTACAATATAGAGAATATGGAGATGTATGTAGACACGTATTGTGCATACTGGAAATATCGGGTAAGTTAGTAAAAAGTATAAATAAAATAATAAGTTTTGTGTTTTTTAACAATTGGTGAATTTTGAGGGAATTTTTGAAAAACTTATTACAATTGAAAAAAGAATTTAAAACCCCTCCCATTCTTTGAATTTAATGATTTATTACAGCACCTAATAGGTGATAAATTATTAGTCTCTTATAATAAGTAATACATCTATTCTTGCTACTTTTATTACTTCTATCATTCCCAATGTTCCACCGTAAATATGTAGGCATATTATTTTTCTGTACTTTTTAGGTCAACGATGACCCTTTGCGCGGTTTTTGGCAAAACGACTCCACGCCAACGAAACCAAACGGCTTTCCGATTTGTCAGTACGACCATCTAACGCACTTCGTGCTTCTTCTAGCCCCTTCCACCAGTGTCTTAGAGGAATTGAACAATTCACGCATCCTGGATATAGTTACGAATATCAACAGCGTCATGTCGCTGCTGGGGCTCTTCGGCATCCTGCTAACGGCTGTAATGTTCGATAGGTGGAGGAACAACACCGGCAATCAAATTTTGATTAATTTCTCCGTGGCGATTTCGATCAAGAACGTCATGCTGTATATCAGCGATGGGATTTACGAGGAGAACGACAAAAGCATGGCGTGCACGATCACAGGGGGGATTTTGCAGTATTCCATACTGTCGGAGTTCTGCTGGATGTTGATTATAGCTATATTGCAGTTCAAGAGGTTCGTTGAAGTGTTGGGTAGTCCGTTGAAATATGTTTTATTAAAAGCATGTATTTGCGGTTGGGTTTTCCCTGCTTTACCAGTTTGTCTTATTATTATATTAGATGTTAATAATTACAACAAAAGCGAAATAGGACTTTGTTATCCTTCCGGATTAGGACTTTATCTTGGAATTTGGTTGCCTCTGATCATCATAATTGGCATCAACTTCGTCATTTTCGTCTTTATATTATACAATGTTTTCCACAAAAAAGTCGAATATAGAGATCAAGTCAACCACGACATTATATTCCAATGGAGACTCGCCATCCTGCTGTTCTCCATGTTGGGCTTGACGTGGATATTCGGTTTTCTCAGTCTGTTAATCAAATCGAGCATCTTCGCTATTATGTTTTGCTTTTTGGCGACTTTACAAGGGTTTATTATATTCTTATTCTTTATTGTTTTCAACAAAAACGTGAGGTTCTTATACGTCAATTATTTCAGTTCGTGGATGTATTCTAAAGGATACAAGGATCGCATAAATTAAGTAAAGTACCTAATAGATAAAGTCCAAAAGTTATGCTTAAATAAAACGAGTTTGTCAAACTTGACAAATCTTTACTTATAGAAAATAAAATAACGAAATGTTATGTAGATATGTATGTGTATATTTAAAAGGATTATATTTTTTGTTCATATTCATAATAGTATAAATACATGTATTTTATCTATAGCGACATTTTTTCTGTTAATTACGACCTATATTTAGTTTTTTAGTAACTTTTATAATTTTATAATAGCTCTCACAGTAAATGATAGAAAAAATAAAATACTGGATTGTTCTAAAAAAGTGAACCACTAAAAATAGTTAAATAACCAATTTACACTTCCGTATTCGAAGCATTTATTCCGGAACTGCATGTAATTTTGAAACGAATCTCGCGCTAAAGTTCCAAACTAATGAAAGCAAAAACAATGGAACAATTTCCGAGCGTACGATTTGAAAGTGCGATTATCATTACCCGCACACTTTGTGTGGCTTAAAATCGAATTAAAGTAATTTAACGTGTATTCAACTTCTAACGAAAATCGTTGCCCGCCTGTCTAATTAGCCCGCCCGATCTCAAACGTGAAAAGTTTTTAATCTAGAAATAATTTAGAAGGTGTATTTAAAACAGTAGGAGTTCAAGGAAAACTGGTAGGTGCATGGTATAAGAAGTTTTTAAATCATCACTCCAACAATACATTTTTCAAAATATGTGTGTATTAAAAGTATAAATCAATTTGAATAATAAGGATTGAGTGGATTAATACGCGGTGAATTTCCTTATGTAGGTATAGCTAATCAGCCGCGATGGTTCAATGGAATTAATATTCAAACGTAACGTTGTCGGTGTCAGTGAAAAGAAAATGTTAGAATATACGGAGTGCTCGAAAAGGGGGTCAGTGGTTCGGTGACATACAGCATCCTAGAGCTCCGTCGAAGCGCCCAGGGCGAAAAAAATACGGTATATCATCGGAATGCTTATGAGAAATTGTGTAATAGCGAATCGCAACGAGAAAGTTTCGTAAATCGAAAAAAATATAGGTATAATTAATATACGAATCGCCGCGAAAACGGTTTTGCATAAATGTGTGGATTATGGATAAATAGATGAGCAATTTCGATGTAAATTCTAGTAGTAATTATTTGCTGAATTACCTAAAAAGATTACTAAATAAAATAATACAAGGGAGAAAAATAATACAATTCTTTTTTTCCATTTTTTCTATTTCACTTTATTTTGTTATTTAAAGTGTTTAAGTTGTTCTGCTTTTTTATTCGTATCCTTCAATGTCTTTTTAGTCCTTGACTTCTTGCATTTCGGCTTCTTATTTCTTCTTTAGTAAGTTTAAAGCAAGTCATGGAATAATGGCCTTTTAGACGTAAAAAAGCATCAAATGTAGCAAAAGAAAGCAATGAGGATATTAGGAAGATTATATAAAAATTTATATTTCATCGTCTCATCATTTCTCAATCATTTCATCTTCTGTCAATGCTTCGCTTATTCCTACTTCATGTAAGAAAATAGGTAAAGAACATTTCAATGAGGACTTAAGGAAAAATCGTACAATCAGTACTTTTAATACGAATTGTCAGTGAAAATGTATTAGGTACAAACTCGCAAAAGAAATCAACCTGTAGGTAATGACACAAATAGAAAATGGCTGTTAACATAGATTCTTGTAGTCCTCACGCACTCGAAACACCTTTATTTGGAAAATTTCGTTATTTGTATTTACGGTGCTGGCACTTTCTTCACTTTGATATCTCTAAATAGCGTCTCAATCGATCGGTCAAACGTTTCAGAAATTTGAAAAAGTGACATCATAAAACTCGTCATAATTTATTTCAATGTTTTTTCGAAGAATTTAAGAGAGTTTTGTAGTGACCTTCTAACAAAAAAGTACCCAAAAATTCTGATTTAAATTACTTGCACTCAATATTTTTAACGATTTCAAGTTTCTGGTATGTATAAGATAACACTGTTCTTAATAAGCATGCAAAAAATTAGAGAGATTGAATGAGCTGATTGAATCAGTTCATTTCAAAGAAAGGAGCAGAGGATTCGCAGAAGGAACTAAAAGCCGTACCAAATAGGGCCTATAAAAATGTTTATTTCATAAAGGAGCATATTTTTAAGGAGATATGTAGGTACAAGAAAAACTAAAAAAGATTAGAATTTTTGCGTTTTATTCCAATTTTCCGGGTACTTTTTTGGCACAGTAGTATTCTTCTAATTGAGTACCCTTGTTACATTCTCGCATCCTCGTACTCCTCCAAAAAATTTCTAATTTACCTAATCCCGCTCACTTACATAACGAAAAACCATAACAATAAATCAAGAGGAACCGTCTTCTTGACCGTCTCACGATCGCGAGTACCCCATTACCTCCCAAAAACGCAAAGAACCAGCTTCGAACCGCCGGCGAACGGGCAACTTTCACGCTTCACCTTTCTCCCCGGCATCGCGCCCTTCTCCTCCACCGAAACTGATCGTCCTCAAGAAGATTCCTCGTACACCGGCGGTCTTCAGTTGCGTTTTCTCTTCATCTCAGATGAGCGGTTCCGAAGGTGCCCGTCGATAATTGAGCGCGGTTCCATCGACGTAAGTACCGCTTTGCCGGGCGAAGTGATTCTGTGATTCTGTGACATTGTGCCGGACACGCGACCTCCCGCGAATATGAGAACTCTTGCGTTTTGCGTGAGTACCATTTTTTGTTACTTTCTTTCGCATCGTTTCTTTGTAGATGCTAATTGTAATTAATTTAATTCATTGACTTGTAATTATCTAGCAAAATAAAAGAAATTTATCGCATTAAAGTAAGCCCTACTTAAGTTGCAAATATCGTGCAATTAATCACACCTTATTGTGGGGATGATTGGAATTTATTGCACTAAATTTAGACTATCAAAGGTAAGTATGTATGTCTTGATCAATATGGACTTCCTTATCGAGGACAGGAAAGTTTACTTTTAATTAGCATATTTTCATATTCATTTATTGCCGAATTAAACGTTTGTTTCTAATTTTGCAGCTGGGTAACGACCGATTAATTGATATGGCTATCAGAGGTCGAAGGTATAAGAATAATATAGACGTAAAAATGCTAATTAGTTAAAAATTGCTGGAGCAATAAAGCTTGAAAATGCAGATTATGGTTATTGATGAGTATCGCTCGTTTTTATTCGGTTAGATTAGAGTTTAATAGGAATAGTAATAAAATCATGCATATAGACATAGACCATTAAACAGATTTGACCCAGTTGTGCAATTTTGGAAAAAACCGGGTAATTTACTTTGGGTTTTTTATTGCTTATATTGTTTTCGGCGTAATTATTTTATTAAAAGATCATTAAATATAACAATATTAATCGGACTAACTTCTACAAGAAATGATGTTTAAATTAGAATTCGTCGGAAGAAAGTTATTTAATATTTTATTACTCGTATAATAATAATACCTATTGAATAATTTTAAAAAAATATCTAATTTTTATTGAATAAATTCTTCCTATCTTCTACGCTCTTCGATTTTTTCCAGAAATACTTCTGTACAAGTTAAATAATTTGTTAAATGTTATGTTAGTAGAAAACGATAGGAAACAAATCTATTTCAACATCACAAAGCTTTTTTCTTACTGCTTAGCTAATTCTACAAAGATGTGCATTTCTTAATCGATTGTGCATAACAAGCACGGACCTTTCTCAACACTTGAAGAAAAATAAAATTAACATATTGCACTAAAAACTAAACCTACATCAACATACGCGCGCGTATTATCAAACTATCGTCTAATGTAATTCAGTTTAAACATACTAAAAAACCCAATCTTACATCAATAAATTTTAACATATTACAAGCATTCCTTTTACGGATTGATATGGGTGCAGCTAATCCCCAAAGGTTATTTTATGTCCATCTCATAATTTTCCAATACTGCATTTACTGAATTGAGACGAAGTTTACGTAACATCCTCCTCGCAATATGAAAACGTTCCTTCCTACATTATTTAAATCTATCGGATTCGCAGTAACACAATTTAATTGAAATTATATGCGAACATCGTAAAATTTTCGATGTTATAAATAATTGTTAATACCGGTCGTGTACTGATAGTAATCCTTTCACTTTCTAAGTACTTGACTGACAAAGCGCTATTTAAGATTAATTAATATGCTCGGTATGGCAGAGTGCACCGAAAACGTCCTGTGGCAAAGTATGAATAAGTAAAAGCATTGCAATGTTTCATTGTTTTAATCAGAAAGAAAGGCGTCCAAGAATTTTATTAAATGAGCTTACTTAACATTTAATTAAATAATTAAGCCAGTCGATGTATGAAAAATAATCATACAATAATTCTATACTTTATGTTCAGATTTAGTCAAACAATTTGTTAATAATCTTGTAAAAACTTATTGCACTTCACTGAAAGATGAGGATAACGATGAGGATTCATAAGCTACATTTCTACGTATCTATGTCCCAAAATTATCCGGGAATTTCCATCAGGGAAGCCTTCCATGATTATCCACTATCGTTCAGTTGAAGTAAAGATTACATATCTGTACAGGATTTTTTAAATTACCAAACGGAACTTCGCTTATGGACGCCTCTAGTATTATCCATGCATGATACTAAATTGTGTTGTATAAAAGGCAATTTACCATAAAGTAAGCGCACGGGAATATTTATAATAATTGCGAATCTTGCTCAAAAACTTGCTTAAATTCGACAACCTATCATTAAGGCGCATCTTTATCGTACGGCGGCGAATGATTAATCAAAAGAAAAACACTTAAAGCCGGGTCAACCCATTTTTTGTTTTTGGCGAACGCACGGAAGTAAATACAAAGAATTTCGTGTGTTAAAAATCGCGAACGGTACTCGGATACTCGCACCGCATGCCCGCCGAGAGACTTTCATTTTCTCAGTATTGATTCGCTCGTTGTGTTTCACCGCTTATTGAACTTAACCTCTTTTTAGATACCCAGATCCGTATAAAGACCTCTAGAAATTGACTCCGGTGCACTTATGAATTATGCATCTATCGAATTAAGTTTTTGGTTCAAGTATGGTTCATGCAATATTTACTTTTAACGAATTGGGTGCTTGGTTAAAATATACATAATAACACCTCCTGAGGAACCAAAATACGATAAGATCTTCATGCAATTTCTCCTTATAGGACAATAGACATTCCTTATTGATGTTCCCTAATTCATTTAAATTACTTTTCTTTCTTTCAATAACTGTTGAATCCATCTTTTCAATTTTTTAACACCCAATATTTTGTTTTAATTGCCAGTTACTGTAGAAATTACAATACATTCTAGCACTTAATCACTTTTGCATTATTGAGTTCTACTGCTACATATAATCACTACGTAAATTATTTCTAGTACAACTGTTTTCTTCTTCTTACATTCAATTATATCCTAATGTACTACAACGACATTATATCTAAAAAAAAATTGGCATTTTCATCATCGACTTAAATAAGTAGATACATAAAAATAACAGTCGCCTAACTTTCACAAATCTTTATTTATTCTTATTCACGAAGTATTATGGAAAGCTCAACTCAAACAAAACTTTTTATTGGTCATTAGCAGTTTATCGACTTATTGTTGTCGCCGTGTGTGAAGAAATACTATAAATTCGTTGCGACATATCGTCTTCATTGTTATCGTTGTCATTACGTGCAAAATTCTGATCGAATTGATCGACACTTTTTACAATAGGTTTCATAAATGTTGCAACATTTGAAACGCAATGAAAATCGTCAATTACTAATTAAAAAGGTTTTGAATTGAGTATAATTTGTTTAGTATTGCCCAGAAATGTACCATACGCGAATATATTACATCCTGCTCAAAAATCGGTGCAGATACCACCAATCCCAATTATTATCTTCACGTTAGTAACAATAAATCACGATTAATAAGTGACCGCGTCCATTTCTCTTTCGCTTGTAATTACAACCTACGTATACACTATACACCGGTCACTTCCATATCATCTCTTATCTGCAGTGATTTGTGTTGAAACTAGCAATTCGAATGTTCACTACTTCCCTATCAATTTTTTTTAGAACGACCCAACAAACCATGAAGCAATACTGATAAAATACATTACAGCTGTTGCTTAACGTAAGCGTAAGCGTAAGTACACGTCTCGTTGCGCAACCATATTAATCGAGATGAGTTTCAATTAAGCCGGTTAATTTTATGGGAAATTTTTTTTAAACACAATGCGCGAACAATAACACGTCAGTAGAGAAAGTACAACATGGGCATTATTGTGGTTTTGCAAAAAATATATTATATGCTTAGTTAATTATTTTAAATATTATATAGATTGTTGATTGTCGGTGTCGAATTTTGTTAATTATTTTATAAATATATGGTTGATGTTTTTATGCAACTATGTTTCATTTTCTTATTTAACATATTTTGAAGTTTAAGTTATGGATAACCATTTGGTAGAAATTAATAAAATACTCAACTCCTCATAAGTTGTTCTTCAATGCCGATGTTTACTCTAATATTATACAATAACGTCCTAATAAGGAGTAGATATCTAAGAATTTTCCTTTAATTTCATATACACATTAACAGATTATAACTCAATCAAAATAAATATAATCCTATAAACCCAAATTATCAGACCATTTAAATTATTCTGAATTTGTAGTTACGGTCGTTGATTCCTTCTTCTGGTAGTGGTTCCTCGAAAGAGGAATGATAAGAATATTTAACACGTCGGCGTCATCTGCGCTTCTCGTTTTGCTGGAACTCGTTTTAAAGATCGAAGCATAAAATTAGAAATCAGTGAAAATCTGCGAACAAGAAGCTTTCGTTGGGTGATAAAAAACTAATCCGATTACTTTTTGCGATGCATTCTTGTTGAAACTAGGCGAGTAATTAGAGGTAAGAACATGCCAAGGTAAACGCACTGCGAAATTGAGTTTCATTTCAATTTTATTCAACATATTGAATATTTACATACTATGTACTTCATGGTTCAATTTATCTAAAAAGGTACAAAAATTACAAGTAAAATGATGAACTACTAGTAAATGACGAAAACGTAGGTTAAACTTCCTAAATTCAAGCATTCTCTATTCAATTAAATAAATAAGTGACACAATAATAAGTCTTTTGTAATCTTGCAATTACTTTTGTAATGAATTTTCATAATATCCACGGCATATTATCAAAGCCGGTGTATGTTTTATTTAAGCTTCGAATTGAGCGTTTGAGATATTATCTCTGTTCCAATTCTATCCTTTGACCTAAGTATTTGTTTGCTTTCACACGCTTATTAAAATTGCTCTCTCGTGATTAAAAATTTGAGTAAATATTTCCCGTCGAATTATGCTTCACGTTTAATAAAGCTAGCTATCAATCAGAGGAGCGATATTAATCAACTTATAACAAAAAAACTTTTGCTTGTCAACAAATGCTCACGCATTTATCGTCGAGTTTCTTCAACGGATCAAAATGGTGCTATAAAACGTTTAAAGGCGAGGTGAAATTGCGTTTTCAACGGTCAAGGATTCGCCAGTGACACTGAAACTATGCACTGTTTTTAAAGCACTTCAACACTAGTATAATCTTAGAGGACTCGCTGAGTTTTTGGCAGGAAATTAGTTGGCTTCCTGCTAATAAATTTAGCAACTTTTTGAAATTGTAGCTTACGAGAATTACATATGTTTTGAATCTATCATTTCAGGTAATTAACCAACTGGGTAATTAATCTATTGTTGATATAAGAAATGATAACCAATGTGGTCGATAATCTATAGTATGTAACCACCTAAGTTGAAGTCGTACGGGTGGCTAAGAAAATTAAAATTACCCAAGAAATTTTAAAATTATCAACTTAACAATTGCCTTTTGCTTATAAATGTAACTAAATGGGTGTAAAAAATTATATATATACTGCATTATTTAGTTACTTACAGTTATATGTAAAAGCAATATTGAGTGTTATAAGTTATAAATATCCATTTCACTCTTCTCGAATTTTACACTTTTACTACTAATTTATAAAAAACCGGCGATGATGTGTAATAAATATTTATATCTTTATATGCAAAACAATGCGAAACAATTGACGGAGGATTTAAATTCTCACAAAGTGTTATATGATGAAATTTGAAAGTTCGTACGTAAAACGAATAAAAATTTACATTGCAAATTGTGGAATGCAGGTTAAATGTTATAATAAAAATAGGAAGAGGAAGAACTGATTTCTCGTATGTTAAAAGCATTCTCGAGAAGTGTATTGATTTGATTACGAGTAGAAAATCGAAAATATTCAAAACACTATCGTGAATTATGGATTTGTGTATTAGAGAATATGTGATAAAATATGTTTTTTAAACTACCTAAGCAGCATCATTCTCTCTTCATACTTATTTAAAAAAGCTTCCGTTCAGCTGAGGCTATACTTTAATGATCACCTCAAATTATCTTTATTATAGTTCCTTCGCTCGTAATTCAGTTGGCTATTCTAAATCCTATAGATTATTTAGGTACAGTGATTGCAATCACGCACATCAGTAAAAAATATCTACTGTTCCGATTAGGATCACGATTCCATTTCCCATAGTACTCTTCCACCATAATTACACAATTATAGTAAAATTATGGGCGAGGTTACCACTTGACAGACGAATGAATGGCTTTAGAGTTTAGAGTTTAGTAGACCCGCTTTTTATGCTAATGTCTCGTTTTAAATATGCTGCAGGAACATCAGTAGTAGTCGAAATAGATGTTGATTAGAGATATCTTAGAAGAAAGGAACGCGTGTGAAAAAGTAACAAAGCGATTGAAAATTTGATGGCTCTATAATTAAATGTCGGCGTTGAACCGTTGATTATATTTGAACAAACATAGAATTAGCGTTATCAAAGCGTGAATTTGTTTTGTGGACTTTTTTACAAATCATTCCTCTCATGGATCTGATTAGAAATTCTTCTATAACCTTTTTTTATAACTAAACCAAACAAGGTGTTCTTAAGTAATTTCAATTGAGAATATTAGATATACATTTAATTCTAATCTTCTTGATCTTACCAATCATTCCAATGAATAGAAATATAGTAGAAACAACGTTTCTGGAAGAACAAATGAATGTAAAAACGAATGTTTGAAAGTTCAAAAATATTAGGTATTGTCACAAAAATAAAAAAATAATTGAGATACAAATTATAGGCATTTGAACAATACTATTGTTTGAATTTGCATCAGGTTTATAATAAATTTCAAACAGGCATTGAGATATAATATCTAGACATCTCTGTACGTGAAGAATAAAAATCAATTATTGGAAAGGAAGTTTTAGAAAGTCGAGAAACGGGCATTAAAATAACAATTTGGTGGAGTAATCGACATATAAAACGAAAAAAGATTGCAGATATTAGACCAAACGTTTAGTAAAACGCTATTAAATTTTTAATTAGCTATTACTGTAGTATACGTTATATCGATTGTACGGAACAGTAAAAGTGTAAGTAGGTATGTTTTAGCGAGAAATTATTTACCGTTAAACACATATAACCTCTCAAGGTTGTTGTTAATATCCGTGACCTTAATACGGATGCAATTTTTTTTTGAATAATGAAGAACCTGCCGCAATTACCGCAAACTAAAGGTGTAGGAGTGGATACACTTCTGTGCAATTTCGTTCTATTTTCCTATTTCTGCTCATTATTTTATCGAACAAATCCGCTTATTAACGTTTTAATAATACATGGATAAAATGATTGGCTATTTTTGAACGACATAAAATTCTAAAGCATTGAGAAATGCTATTCTATTGATTTTTCACATAAAAAAATAGGTTATTTAATAGTTTTTAAAATGCCCTAGAAAAATACCAATTCAATCGATACAACGAAAAATTTTGTTTCAGTTGGTGAGCTGCTTTGTAGCCATCGGCGTCTCGGGGATTGATGAACACCGACCGAATAAGAAAGGAGAGGACCGAGGGAAGCGGAACTTGGAGTATCAAATATCCAACCACTATTCCAACATACCGACGTACCGATTGGAAAGGAGATTAGTAACGAGTCCCCAGTACCAAAATCCAACACAGTATTATTCCCGATCATATCGCAAAGGTAGACCGCAATCTTATCCTGTTCCTCCTTACGCTGTACAAATGGAACCTCTAGTCCAATATTCTCAAAGGGATCCTTTGTATGACACTAACATTTTGCCCGTAGATCCGACAAACGAGGACCTACTAACTGAAAATAATCGCATCCAGGAGAACGTCGATAGGTACGGTGGATATCATCATAAGCCCCAGATTATCGAAAGGCCTGTTTACATAAAGGAACCCGAACCGATTATTGAAATTATCATTAAAGAATCGAATGTCTCTTTGCCGGCGCCACCTTCTCCTCCGCCTCCGCCCAAAAAGAAAAAAGAGCAAGTTCAAGTGTTTTACGTTAAATATAAAAAGAATCCCGATCCCTATGCGAAGGATAACATTATTTACGATAAACCCGTACCGGCTATTGCACCAGAAATTCCAGATGAAGAGCCCGAAGAAGAACCAGCGCCATACCAATACAGTGAAGCCGCCACAGTTCCTCCACCACCCAGTACCACGCTCAGAACCATTATAAAACCTGATTCAGAGTTTTATCATAGTCCCAGTGGTGTAAAGGTTACCTTCGGTAAAGAGGGATTTGATTACGATAAAAGATCGAGCAAGCCTGAGGATTTTGTAGCGCCTCAAAATTCCGGTGTTGTGCCCCAAGGCAGGCAGCTATCATCATTTTCGAACGCTTATTTCAAACGACCAACTACTAGCAATTTTCAGTCTCTTCCGCCAGGTTTCAGATCTGACGTTAGACACGAATTCAGACCAGATGCTAGACACATTCAACCTTACAGGACTATAAATTTGCCACAAAATAACTTTAAACAATTTGGCAAACAAAATTCTGCTCCACAATCACCAAATTTCTCGTTCCAACCACCACAATCTGCACAATTAGGGCCTACATTTAACGGTTTCTCGCAACCACCGACGCCACCATCGCCACAATTCGCACACAGCATTTCTCATCCGCCACCACTTAGATTCCAAGCAAAGCCCAACCCCGTTCAAACAAGACAGCCGGTTCCTTACAAACCTTTCGACAATTACAGACCTCAACAACAATTTTCGCAGCCTACACCCCTTCAACACCAACCTATACAATTTAGACCTGAGACACGTTTCCCCGTTCAACAACCGCTTCCTCTACCCGAATTTGCTAACTTTAACAATCCTCGGTTAAATCAGCAATTTAATAGCGGAGAAATACCGCAACAACCCCAACAACAACAACAATTTGCATCACAACAACCCACTTTCCAACAATTACCTAATATTCGACCTCAACCAAATTTCCGACCACCTCAAGCCTTCCCGCCACAATCGTTACCTACGCATCAACATCATTCACAACAGCAACAACCACAACATAAACCATCTTTCCAACAGCCAATTTCATCTCAACCACTGCAGCATAACATTCCGCAACATAAACCTACTTACCAGCATGAGCACACATCACCACAGGCGCATCCGCATCAACAGATCACCTCACAACATCACCACCAACAACAAGCAAACGTTTCACCGCCTCAACAAATTCCTCAGCAACAACATAACCAGTTCTCACAAACGCAACAATTTTCTCATCAACCACAGCAAAATGTATTTAGAAACCCGGAGACGCAGCAGAGTTTCCACAATCAACAATCGAATCAGCAACAAAATCAACATTTAAGTCACCTGCAATCTGCTCAAAATATTTTACCTCCTGGAGGGCAGCTGATTCCTTCAGTTTCCAAATTCGAACAACACATTTCGTCGATAGAAACTAGCCCGTCGCAAAATCTCAGGCCAGACCAATACCAGCAAAAGGTGATTCAGCAATTCGGTCAAACCCCCGAACAGAACAGCCAGGAGGTTTTGACCAGGCAACAAACGGCTAGTCATCAAAAGAGAATATTGGACGAGGCCCAGCGACAGAACAACGCTCAAAACTACCTTCAAAATTACTCGATAAAGCCGTCTAACCAACCGGACCAGAAAGCCATCGATCAACGAAACCATCTCTTAGAAGAAATCGAAAGGCAGAGGTTGCAACAGGAACAACTCCGCCAATTTTACCAGCAAAATCCCGACATCAAACAGGAAGTCCTAACGAACTATGTAACTTCACCCCAACCGGAGTACCTGGCCACCAGAAAAAACGTCGAAGTTAGCACCACTCCCAGAATACAATACCAATCGACCACCAAAGCCACTACGCCCGCACCACCTACAACTACCACCAAAGACCCGAAATTCCTAGAAGCGCAACTTCCCGACGAAGTACCAGAGGACCTCAGGCAGCAATTGCTTTCCTCCGGGATACTGAACAACGCCCATATATCAGTTTTAGATTACGACAAAGTCGGCGATATTCCTCTTTCAGCTCTACCACCAGAGCAATTGGCTAACTTCTACGGAGCAGGAGGTGCATCTCAGCTAGCCGCCATTGCAGGTATCTACAGAATTTAATTTTTTATCGACTTGACGTACCCACTCGGTGCGTTCGAGCGCGTAATAATGATAATATACTTATAATAAACCCGAGCGTCCTTCACCTCTGTTTGTAGGTAGTGACCCAGTTCCCGCGGTGGTCCGTAAAGACGGCACCAAAGTCGAAAACCACGTGGAATTCGAAGACGAACCCGAGTCAGCCGCTTCCGAATACCAACAGGTCGTAGCGAGCCCTCTCGTCGCCGGCGCAGCGCCCTCGAGCGTCGAAATGAAGGTTGTTCGGTACGATCCGGAGACGGACAAAGGACAGCAGGTGCAAGAAAAGTATGTCGAAGATCAGGCCCACCAGACGAATCCGGTCGTATTGAATGATAATAGTTACAACAGGTGGGAGGCAATTCGATTCTTTGTTTCATACCTTACAACGTTAATGATATGATGTTCAAATCGAATATTTTTTTGTTGTTTTGAAGGTATCTCCCTCTAAAAATAAATGGTACACAATTTCCTATTCCGGACGCGCCCGAATTAAAAGGGAAGCAAATATCTAGCGTAGTTGTGTTGGCTCCTATCAGCTACGATTTTTCATCGGAGAGAAAAACTAGGGAAACTTCGAGGGACTTGTCGCAGAAATCCAGCGATATCGATCTAATACAGGGGACTGCATTAAAGGATTTGCTGACCGATCCGTCTTCGGTTAATTTTAAGAAATTTTTGGAATCCGAGAACAGGACCAGCAGCGAGAAACAAGCCGTAATCTTATTGGTCGCAGAGTAAGAATGAAAATAATCATTTATCAAACATTAGTAATAATGTTATCGTTTTGTTTAGGCCGGGGACTTCGAATGAAAAAGAGATTTTCATGTACGACGTGGGAACTCAAAGTGTTAGTAAATTAAACGGAGAATTGTCGTCTGCATTCGTTGAAGCTGCCGAAGCTAATTCGGTCGAGAAACAAGCTGCAACGGATAGGCGAGACAAGGGGGATTTAGAAGATGCTTCTAGCGAAAATCACGAAGCAAGGGTAATTCATATTGAATCATTCGTAATTCATAAGAAAAGGTTTTAGCAGAAATCAGAAAAAAGAGATTGTTTCCTTGGAAATTCAGACGACCTTTTAGATATCGTAAAATAGAGCATATTTAGATAGAAACATTTCCTCGATCATTTTTTGTTTAAGATGCTTTTGTTTGAGCTAAAACTTTCTCTTATTAGCTTATTAATTTAACTAATCTTATTGATTTAACTATGTTAATTTTCTTTTTCGTTTATTTGTAGGTTCCAATCATCGATCCACTCCAAGAGGAAGATATGGAGACCCAAGCATCTGAACATCTGGAATCGTTCGTGGACATTTCTGGACATCCTATAGACGATCTAATGGCTCAATCTACATCGAATTTTGTCAGTAAACGAAAATCATAAAAAGACTGGTCGCTTTTAGGGTTTAATCAATTTTTGTAAATAAATATTCCGCACTCGGAGAAAATCGGAAAAACTTGGGATGGTTGTTTTTAATTTTATAAACAAACTATTGAAGAATGTTTTAGATTATTGAAAATCATTAGAAAAGTACTTATGTTAAGCTTGTTTAGGTTTTTCATTAGATCACTATCTTTATCAAAAACTTTAGTGCCATTTTCTCTTCTTTTGCACCAGTCAATATTGCAGAATTTTTGATGCAGCTAAATGGCAATAAATTTATGAGTTCAATTTTCTAAAAAGAATAATTTGTTCTCGTGAAAATCATGAAACAGTCGATTAAATAAAATCTCACAGATCAAATTTGCAAACTAATTTAATTGAAGCGTTTTCATTACATCTTATCAATTTGTGATTTATGCACTTGCTTCTCTTTTCACTTAATATATTTATTACAATTTTAATTTGTTTTTAGTCCTCATATTTAATCTCACCATCCAACTTTTGATTAACAAAACATTTACTTCAACAAATTAGATTAGTGTAACTTGCTGGCGAAAATTTGTGATCTTGCAACCACTACTTGTACAGTGTAAGATAATTTTTTGTATTACTTTATAATAAAATATGAACTAAAAATTAGTTTTGATTAAATATAGGTATCATTCTTACATGATGAATTAATTAGGTACACTATTTTACTATTTTAGGTTTCGTACAAAAAGCTTTAACGATAATGGGAGCGATGTATTTTTGGTTAATGATCTAAATGAATTAATAATTTGTACTAATAACAAATATAGCACGTCACATAAGAAATATACTAATAAAATCGTTTCATCGAATCATTTAGAACCGTCTGGAATCATGTTAAACTGTCTGGAACCATTTAGAACTGTCTGAAACCATTTAGAACGCTCCAGAAATATTTAAAACTGTCTGGAACTATTAGAACGCCCCAGAACCATTTAGAACTGTCTAGAACAATATTTAGAACGCTACTGAATCATTTAGAACGCTCCAGAACATTTTAAAAAAAGTTGCGTGTATACTCAAAAAATTAATTAGTATATGCAACTCCTATTACACTATCTGAAATCCGGGTTGCCTATAGGAATTTTTCACCGCGCAAGTGTCAAATCTCGACAGTAGAGAATCTGAAACGTCAAATTAGTCACCAAACAATCATGATCATGGTAATGTCAGTGCACCTCGTATGAATTTGTGCGATTTTTGTTAAATATTGTGACAATGGAAGGGTCATTAAGCAAATGGACTAATGTTATGAAAGGATGGCAGTACAGGTGGTTCGTTTTGGACGATAATTCCGGCTTGCTGTCGTATTATACGGTAAGTGAAAATTTTGGTTTTGCGAGTATTCTAACCCACGTTAATGGGATTAATTTTCGTGGTCATTTCTACGTATACACGATACTTTTCGGAAGGTGCAATAGCATTTTAAAAACGTGTTGATTTGGCGTAATAAGTTGCGTAATATGCGGCTTATGTTTCTCTGTGTTAACAAAACTTCGGATTCACGTAACCTCTTTCCAAGTTTTACCTATTTACGTATCATCAGATGAGTTTATTCTAAACAAACGTTAGTAATTGGGAACAAACAAAAGTGGGTGTAACTCGCTAAAGTAATTTATCTAACGATGTTTAATTGCTCTTGCTGATGTTGAACTCGTTAGACTTGTTTAGAAAACATTGTTATCTTCGTTAGCCGAATAATAGCATTTTGAACTAGAACAACTGTTAAATTACCTTAAATTTCCAATTCTACTGTTCTACATAAGTTATTTTATAAGCTAATTTAATCACATCTTTTTAACTCTTAGATCATGTTTTTAATACTATCCCTAAACCTACCTGCTCACAACACAAACATTCCACCAAGATTTTATTTCGACCATAAAAAATATACAGGGTGTCCCATATAAGATCACCGACACAGATAAGGGGCATGTAGAAGAGCCTAAAATATGTTTTTATCCCAACTTTAGCTTAATACTGCCAATTTTTAAGTTTATCTCGATTTTATGTAACATTGATAGTGTACATGACTTTACTTTTTAGCATTTTCTTTCAAAACGACGGAGATTTTAAAAAACCAACAAAAATAAAAATGTTTCAAAATGAAATTACCTACAAATGAAATAATAATTTTTTGAATTATCCAAATTTAGTTGTTTCAAGTTTGAATATTATAGTGTAGAAATACTGAGATACCTATTAATTTTTTTAATTTAAAACTCCAATTTGAAGGCCTGTAACTTCTTAGTAATGTAACTTTGGGACACACTGTATTTGTATAAGCTTACATCATCAAGTTTGTTTTGATAATTACGAATTTAATACTATACTTCGATTTATTATGTACCTGAATATATTCTAAATAAAGCATCATGACTGCATGTTTGCTTACAAAATTAACAAAGATAATTCAAATTGTTTTAAAATCATTAAATTTGCTACCGAGTTCATGTAAATTTAATTTATTTAATGTACGTGTGTAATCATTAATTCTGAGACCACATAGAACGGCAGGATTCAAAATTAAAGCACATTTTGCGGCTAACTTTCGTACCTACACTATAAGTAGCTTTAATAATTTGATAGATACAAAATTTGAATAAGCTTTTATAACAACCTTTAGAGTTACCCTTTCTAATTTAGGTAATTGGGTTCTCTAAATCCCTTACGCTGAACTGGATTGATCAATTACATTATATATTAGTATAGTCCTACAAAGATGATTTTTTTATTTGTTACTATGTTACTAAAGAAAATGTGTAAGATAACTAGCATAGGAATACCAGTAAATTCGTACTTTGTATTAACTTTGTAATCAAATATGTTTAAAGAAACCGAAAGAAACCAAACAGTATTTTAATTATCTCGGTGTAGATAAAAACGATTTAGTAGTAATAATTTATATATTCTCATAATTATCACATTGAATGAATGACTTGACTCATATTAATTTGCGTTTTATGTGATTGCGATTTTTTTAGATAATTTTGATATCATTCCAATGACTGTTATATAAAAAGTACCTAGAAACAAGACGAAGGAAAAATTACAGGTAAACATCTTCAGATTTTTTAAATTACATAATTTTACTTTTACTAAAAATCGTAAATATTAAGTAATCTAATTAATAATTGTAATGGGAGCGAAATATAAACGTAACTTTAAAATTCAACTAATCAATTAAAGCATTATATTCACCAAAAATTGATTGTGAGTCAAAGTATTGAAAGAATGTTTACAAATATTACTAATTCAAAAGATCATTCGATTGATTTATATTGCAGTTTCACAAATGTTTACAGCGAGTTTTATGAGTTTCCTTGAACACGTTTCATTGGTAGCGAAAAGATGTTACAAATAATTTTAAATACATTTTATAAAAAGATTTTTATTGCCCCAACAAGTATCGATCAGTTTCATCTTGAACGTCTTTTAAACAACAACTTTTAAACATTTTGGTAACATAAATAACCCACATATATTTTATTATCCATTTCCACTAACAGTCTACAATAATAGTAGGTTTTCAAAGTTCCATATTTATTATATGCATATCAGAAGCAGCACGAGGGAAAAACTAGAGAAACCTTTCAACAAATTTTAAAGTCAAAAGAATATGTCGATAGTATGGCTTCGTGTCACCTTTCTTAAAAGATACATTTATTTTTGTTTTTTCTTTGGTTCATGTGCTATTTTTCAGTCTTTGAATAGCATGTAGGAACATATCTAGTTGGTAAATATGTATTCACTATCATTATTGTGTCGAGTTCTCATGAATATGAGGTGTTTCTATCAAACATTTCAGTGCGGGCGTGACCGGATTTTTCCAGTCCACTAGATACTAAAAGTCGTAATCTCTAAAATATTATGGAGCATTAAGTATTTGAAATTGAATTTTTTGAACTACGCTTAGTAGAGCTAGAAAGTTAAAATTTAGCAGTGGATTGTTTTTAAAATCGACTTTTAGTTTACTTTGTAATAATTTTCAAAAATATACCAAAGCTAATTTCGGATATACTGTAAAGACCAAAGTCATTAATTTTCCATTTAATAGGACAAAAGTTCGTCAAAATAGTCGTTGCAATACGGTTGAAATTAATAATTAGTAATTAAAAAATAATTGCTCATTATACAAAAGCTTGTGGTACGTTAGGGAAATTTACGTTCCTTCAATTAATTCTATGTGGTAAACTGCGTTTTGTAAAATTCACGGAATACTTTGTTGCTTTTAAACTCTACTTACCTATCTATTGTTTTCATTCAGTTTATGAAAATATTTTTTGTACTTTTTATGCAATAGGCTTATCATGTAGTTTTATAGCGTTCGTAAAGATTATCTAACGAGCCCATTTTTCTGAGCTCTAGTATACTAAATTTGTATTATCTTTTTCCTCTCTTTTTAGTATATCTATCTTTTGAAAGGGCACTGACCCACGAGTACGATGGTTAACAGGAAAAATATTCTTGTATCTAATGATTTTTTAATGATAGTTGAATATCAGTGGGTGTATAAATAGAAATGACTTTTAATTAAAAATGGGGGAAACAGTTTAATTAAAACGTCCTTAAAAACCGAAATAATTATTATAGAACAACTTAGCTATTATAAATTTTAATATGGCTATATTAAAAGTTATTTAAATTTTAGCCAGGTAAAAGAGAGGATTTTTATTTTTTAATACTTACATTTTTTTGTAATAAGCTCTTATATTAATTCAATTTAAATTAGAGTAGGGTTAATAATTGATTAATAAAAAATTTGTACTTTTTAAATAATTTAATTTCAATTTTGAAAATTTTTAGGTAGAATAACATCAATTCGCAAGAATTTCGGTTGTATTGCAAGGCCATAGTATTCAACTAATTTGACCTAAGAATTTGTATGAACGTACGTGAATTTGGAAAATGTACATTATATTGGCCAAACATAAATTTCTTTGCCAATTCGCACCCTATTTTATCGTTTACTTAATACGTATTATTCATTCGACAGTATTTTCAGATATTTAATGTGTGCGGCCTTAAACAGAATAGTTCTACATTGATCTAATATGGACGTTTCTAAAATAATTACACACCTATAATTTATTATTCTAACGTTTCGCCGCGATCATTTGCTTTTCCTGTGGCCGTTGATACCGTTCTGTTGGGCCATTTTCGGCATTTTCGCCGATTTCGTGTAGCTGGCGTTGTAAAAATCGTAGAACATTTTGAAGATGACAATCACGTTTGGCACGTAAATCATAAGGAATTGCTTCGGTACTGCGCAGCTCGATGGTATGGCTGTCATCGCGTGTATTATCAGTAATGTGAATTGTATCTGAAACAGAAAACATTGTATGTGAGAACTAAATGGGGCAGGATAAGAAGGAGTACAAAGGAGGAAGACAAACGGTAATTTCAAGAATATACCAATAGTGACAAATGTTACTAATACCTAAGTTACAAGAAAGGAAGGACAGTAGGTTTTATATAAATCTGGGGACATCGTTCTATAACACCCTGTACTTACCATTTGGCACATAGTGAGTCTGGGTTTCCATGGACTGAGTTTTTTCTGCCATTCGGGTCCCAACGAGGACAAATAGTAATAGGTGTACATGAGGACGTGAATAAAAGAATTCACTATAATTGGAACTGAGGCCATTCCACCTGAAAATGATTAAAAATTGCATGAATTAATATTCTAAGTATTTAATATTCTCTTAAGATTATTACATTTTTTTATTATGTAATGTAAGAAATAAGCAGTCTTTTTGGTGTACTTGGTACGTTCATGATAAGATTCATTTTTGAGAAATGCTTTAATGATAATCATATTGATAATGATACATTATAAAATGCGGTTTTTATTTAGTGACGTGAAAATCATGATAGGTACATTTTTGTCGCTATGAAATTACCAGCTGTTCTTAATAGCAATTAATTTATCAATGATAAACCGATATCTACACGTGTATAAAATTGCCTTTTTACTCAGTTTCTAGGCGATAAAATTACGATAAAAAAGGAATGTCCTGAGTTAATAAATTATTAAAATATTTTACATTTTTTATAAGACCTAATTATTCATGATTCGATCGGTTGGATCAACTTGTATAATTTAAGAATTCAATAATTCTTACCTCCAATAAATTTGCAACCTACAAAAGCTAGGAAGAATGTTGAGGCATGATGGTAAACGTGCAGGCCGCTTATTTGACTGAATTTCTTCCTGAGAGCGAAGAAGATGGTTTCTACCAATTCGACGCCCTTCAACCAATAAAGCCAGTAGAATTGGGTGACCATTTTAACGGGATTGGGGTTGTTGGAGTAGTCTATTGGGGCGCAACCGTAACTGTATTCACCCTGTATCCAGCCTGCCGTTAATAGCTGTAAATATGAGATTTTTTTGTATTAATACGAGTAAGTAATGCACGTTTAAATTGTGCGAGCTTGAAGCTGAAGAAGATACTTACGTTGTAAATTATAGCGACACATGATATTACTTGAAGAATATTATAAATTCTGATTGTGCGTGTTAACTTAAACGGTTTTCTGTTCTTCATATAGGCAGGTAATATGTACAAAACTAATAATAAATAGACGCTTATGATTGCTAATGTGGGGAACGGACTGGCCATCATCGTCCAGTTCCGGACTCTGGGATCTGGAAAGAAAATGCAATATAATATGTAGTCTGAAGTAAAACAATAATTTAATTCATATTTTTGTTAATAAAACTTTTCTTTTTAATAAATATCTGTACGAAAATGTTACAATTTCTCGAAGTGATCAGGGATCTCGAACTATTACATAACCACTAGTTCTCTGCGTAAAACAATCAATTTTTTCAAACTTTGGAGTTAAAACTTGCTATTTTTAGGTATAAATTTCATTCTGAAAGTTTGTCACGACCATTACGATTCACCATTACGAGACCATGTGAATAGATATTATTGTCTAAATGCTTTAATCCAATGAAACTTACCGGGTTGTCCGATGAAGTACGCCAGAAATGAAATGATCATTTCGTCCAAGTTTTTTATGATTAACATTTTAACTGAAGTAATTAGGTGCACTATTGCTTTACGGACGGTAAAAGTAAAACTAACGATTATATAGATAAAAATAATAATTAGGCCATTTTTAATTATCTAGTAAAAGCGTCAAACGTTTCCTAATAATGAATTAAGAAATTGACAATAAGTAAATAGACATTTGTTTATATGATTGGTTCGATATTGTTGCATGTAATAGTCTAGTCAAAATAAGGCCTTTTTAATTTTCTCTTTGAAAATTCGCCAATAACGTAAATCTAACGTCAGGCGATGGTTCTAATCGTGTTAGTTTTGCAAACGCAAATCCTGTTGGTATGATTGCAAATTGTCGTGTTCAATTTTCGTAACTGATAGAAATCAAGTTGTTTAAGTTTTCCCGTAAATATTCTGCAAATCAAAGTCTACAAATAGCATTTGAAATTACTATTCACCACAAAAATTCCTTGAATCCTGTGTAAGAAAACTCCACACAATGAAATATTTTCGCCTTACAGTACTACCATAAATGAGTATTTTAAATTTCTTCACTATTTTTGTGAAGCACTTTAAATATTTAAAAAGTCACTGACAATCCCTATACATCTTATAATGCCTCACCTGAACTGTTGTTTATTACATAGTCATAATACCTGACTATGCTCGTCATCTTGCTGCCTCTAATTTAGAATTGCCTCTTAAACTAAATGAAATTTTGCAGTATCTACTAATTTTATATTAGTAGTACCGATCCTACGTCGGTTCCCGAACGAAACTGAAATTCCCGCTTTGTAACTGCTGATTAAATATATTCCCCACGATTTTTTTAGGTGTCAAAGTGCATTATTTGTTTGTTAATTCATTACATTTGCATTAACGTATGAGGAGCGTATAACAAAGGCTCATCGTTTTTGAAAAATTAGATGGAAGGCAAGCGAAATACGCGCAACACAAAAATGGCATTTTTTAATACTTTGATACATTCTAAATCATTTTAAAAATATATATTGAGTGCTGCATAAGCCTGATATTGGACACTTTCAGTAGATAGTGCAACATTGTTTCTAGAAAATTAATGTACCTATTGTTTTTCAAATACTATTTAAGTGTGTTAAAACAATGTTAAAACAATCTAGACTAAAATTACACCTTGGGATAACCAAGCAATCCTGCACCGGATATCGTAACCATTTTTAAAATCTTATCAATAAACGTGTAGCGATATTGTTGTGCTGAATTCGCTAAAAGTGATCGGCTTACATTACTTTTTCTGTATTCGTAATAAATTCCACGTCTAGCTCGAATCCAGTTTCCAGTTCCTGTTATCCAGTTTCTTCCATCGAAATTTCAAAACTTCGTAAATTCAAAGTCTTCCTGTGTTTTGCGTATCTAAGTTTTCCTTTCGTTTGTTTCAGTCGAAGGAAAAAATGATGAGAGGAGTCCGAAGGGGGTGTGTCCGTTTAAAAGGAGCTGTGATCGGTATCGACGACGAAGACGATAGCACTTTTACTGTTACAGTTGACCACAAAACCTTCCACTTTCAGGCTAGAGATGCAGAGGAGAGGCAAAAATGGGTGCACGCATTAGAAGAAACCATCATTCGGCATGGAAATAGAGTAAGTACTTCTTCAATGCTCGAATTCTTTATTTTTATACATATTGTAGTACCTACCAATATAATTTATTTTATTTTTTAAAAGTTGGTATTTTTATAATTTTTTCTAAGGTTTTTTTTTCGTTTAGGTTAAATCTGATAATTTATTAAGTCAAATTAATTTTCATCGTTTCAATAGAGCCTTTTATGATATAATTTAACCCATGACTTGTTTCATTGGGTCCTTAATGAATTCGTTATTCAAAAAAATTAATTGGAGTATTTCAATTACGAAACTTTCTAATGAGCCCAATGAATTCTCGAGATGTTCGCGGACTTCATTTCACCGGCATTCATTGTCGAGGTCGTTAAGGTGCTTTCCTCGAAATAACTCTGAAATGTTCCAGTCATTTTAGACCTGGAAGAAAATCGCACGAGCACGTAAAAACGTAGGTATATTATGAGTTGGAAAATCGTTGGAAAATTGAGATTATTTCCTGTGCAGCAAAAAAAAATCTTCAAAAGATTTCTTATTCTTTATTAACAATTAAATAAAAAATTATTGTAAGTACCTACGTAGTAAAGTAATAATATTCTATATGAACTATACCACCGCATTTTATAGAGGTCGTCTATATTACAACTTTAATTACTAGACAGAATTTTAATTTTTCAATACGTACTACTTGTTTGTTACTTCATAGATTAATCAATGAAACAAATAGAAACGATTTTTCTCCAATTATCACGGTTTAGATGTAATTTAATACACCTATTGTAAGATTTTATTTTCTTCTAGAACAAGGCAAAAAATATTTGCTATACTTTATTGTTGTTTTCTTTAGCATTTTCTCCTTTCGTCCAAGGGCAAAACCACATATTTTTGTGTACCTTTTACGTTCGTACGCGTAAATACCAACGGTTTATTACCAATTCTAATGAAATTTTTCTCGTGTCATTGTTTTAAATTCGAAATTATCCAAGGATTGAAATTCCTTAAAATGTCTGTCATTGAATTTTTCCGTAAAATACGGGCAGTATCCCATTTAAAAATGTCAAAATTATCTTCTTGCAGCTGAGATATGATTCACATCACCCTTCGCCGACTATACGAGATTTCGATAATAGGGTATCTGAAGCGGATGCATATCTACAACTCATGATTGACCAAACTAGGGTAAGTAAACATTTTTTTATTAAAAATTAATATAAAAAAAATAAATTAAAAATGGTAGTAAAATAACTCGAATAAGTAAAAATGGTGCATTATAACCAAGCTATTTCGTAAAAATTAGTATTATTAATGTAAAAATTACAATTATTAAGTGGAATATTTGCTAATTATACTAATCTACGGCGGAGTATTTAAAATAATTCATATATTGTACGGTTTGTGTAGATAATTTTAATATTCAGTAGCATTTGTGACGTCTAACGATACGGATAAACTACAACCAAATTACCGAGTAAAAATTTCGTAAACAAACCGTTTCCGTTATGGACAGGAACGGAAAGGCTGGTAGCCGAATAAATGTAACAAATAATGCCTCGCGTCGAGGCAAAATATGCAGAACAGGCAAGGCTGAATTATTTTTTTACCATTGTTTGTATTTTGACGGCTGGGTGCAAATGTGGAGCGATAAATGTTTAATTGTATTGACAAAACCAAGTTGCCACTTTATTTTTATAGCTTTAAAAAGGTTTTAACCAAATCACCACACAATCAGAAACTAAAGAGTATAAAAAAATTCAATAAAACTATGGAAATTCAGTAGTATGTATTTGTGTTTTCAATAGACGTATACCGACTGCGGCAGAGTTTTTACCTGTCTCTGAGCAAATGTCCTGAAGATATTTTTTAGTAATATAAAAATGGTTGAAGAGAATTTTAAATAACATTTTGTGTTGTAACATTTGATAACATCCTACTCTACTCCTACTCTACTCCTACTCTACTCCTACTCTACTCCTACTCTACTCCTACTCTACTCCTACTCTACTCCTACTCTACTCCTACTCTACTCCTACTCTACTCCTACTCTATTCCTACTTTACTCCTTCTCTACTTCTACTTTACTCCTACTCTACTCCTACTTTACTCTATTCCTACTCCTACTCTACTCCTTGTACTCTGTATAAAATAAATTTGGCTAGACCGCATACTAAACCAGATGCGATAGGGTAGACCGGCACCGAGTTTGGTGCTGTTTGTAACCTTTTACTTTTTGATTATCTTGTCTGAAATTAAATGGTTCTAGAATACTTGGGAGATTACAATCTCTTGACGTATTGCATTTTTAATGTATGCCTCATAAAGCATTCGTCCTTTTTCTCGGTAAGCTTTATAAAAACGAGAAAGACGCATAAATCTCAATATATGAACTTCGTGGGATCACTTTATCCTGGGTTTCGTTTAATTTTAAATGCGACGGTCGGTTGAGTCGGCTCTTCCCTTTAAGATAGAAAATTGTTATTTCTATCTAGTTTATTCTATCTAGTCTTAAAACGTCGGTTTGGGATTTCAATATTCGAGTTTGATTCTGCTCGAAACGGAATTTCCTTTGGAAATATTTACGTAGGACGGAATGCAAATTGAACAGCGATTTCTTAAAAAATAATAATTTAACTTACTACTAAATTTCGAGAGCCTTACTTTTACATCGTATTATTATTCTGTTTTTCTGTTTCTATGCGTATAGCATAGCTGTGGTCGAACGATTTGTATTAATATAGATAAGAGAAAACATAATTATATGCCTAATTAGACATAATTAGTGGTTTATAAACATTCACAGTATTACTATCGTATAATTTCTTAATTTTGATGGGTACAATAATAATAATAATTAAAATATTTATTGATGAATTGAGGACGATTTTTTCATGCAACAATTAATATTAGTATTATAAGTATGACTTCAGTTACTTGCTGAAAAAGTGTTTATATTTTTCAATATTTCTCTACAATTTGAGAAAGGTAATTAAAGTAAAACAGAATATCCCTTTGCAATTGGCAATACAATCTAGATTATCTGCACGCCAGTAAATCCACCATGAGCCTTAGGTGTACTTGTAGGTAATTAACTAATTTATTGATACACCTGTTAGTATTCCAGTAATTTAGTATACATTTGGTAAATGATTTGTTTTCACTATAGCTATTTTTATATCACGTCGAGTTTAAGGACATACAAAGCTGTATAATAAATTGTTAAATTCATATTAAACCTTACGTCAATATTGTATATCAACTTTATCAAGGTCTACTCGTATGCGGTATACACATACACACATACCCTACGTTCATTAAATGCGTGTTGTTCACTTTAATTGTTTTGAATGATAACTGATAATAAATGGTACTTGCATGGCGTGTACAGTTTCAAATTATTGTGGTTGAATATGCAATTTTTTTGTCAATGTCACAAGGTACTTATTAAGCGGCATTAAAAATTACTAGAACTTCTTTTAAATAAATGCCACGTCCTATATCTATTTTATTAAAATTGGATAAATACTGTTTCAATCCAGAATAGCACGGATCGCTCTTCGATTTTTGAATACATTAAAATGCAAATAGGTGTATCGATTTTATTATAAGGTAGTTTATGACTGTACAAGTATTATGATTTCGTAATGACGTCTGCATCAAGTTTAGCAAAAATTGTATCACATCTATAAGTAGCCAAAACACCTATACATTTTCTCCTCTAATTATTGCTACTAAATAGAAAAATTGCATATTAATAGATTAATATTTTCTAACGAATCATTTTAATTTATCAAACATGAAATGAATTGTAACGAAAGTAGAATTGCAATTTAATTTTATGCATTTTTAAAGCGAAGAATGTAAAATATTTTTTTATTTATTTCAGAATTTAGAAGAAAGGATTAGTTCGATATCAGATTCTGAAGAGGCAGTTAAATGTCGATTGATATTAGACCACGCAAATGTAAGTTGTAAATAATAATTTAAAAATATGTATACCTACGACAATTTTATCGATATCTTATCAATTAAGATCAATTTCCCAATTACAGTAAAAGTATTTCGATTTTTTCTTATCATAATTGATTAGTCGATTCATCGAAAGTAAAAGGTGATACAGTAAATTAATAATTTAAATTCCTTTTTATCCCCAATTATTGAAGGATTATAAAAGCTTCTAGAAGTTCCATTAAGAGCTTTTAAGAGCTTTAGGAACGTTCCTAGCATCATTCACTACTTCTTGTCATAATTTGTTTAAAATTTTCCACAGAACATTTTTAAATTAAGAACCAAAAAATTTATAAACTATTCTTGTCGATATTTTTTATAATAATTCTTCTTTTATTCCAGATAATGTTGGATAATATTAAACACTCGATAGTTCTGTTACAAATAGCCAAGGTTAGTATTTAAAAAACTTTTTTTTCTTCTAATAATTTAATGAAATTTAATAACGCTTTGTAACTAATCGATTTAACTTTACTTTTGACATTCTTTAATGTATTTTAATTGATTTTAATCAATGAACATCACAAAGTCGTAACCGGCCAAAATATTAACCATAATTATTTCTTAATTGTATTTTAAGTTACCCCCACCCCATTATTTAGAAGTTTTTTTATAACCAAATGGTTTTGTAACCAACGATTATATATTTCCGAATTTTAAACATGGCAACGTTGCTTATTTGAATCTTAAACAAGATGAAAGTGAGGTTAGTTTTTTGTCATTCTTCTTCTTCCAAATAAGGCTTCGACTTCAATATTCTAAAATGTTTTTAATGGTTTAGAGCGTTTTACAAGGTTCTATACATTTTAAATGATTCTGGAGCGTTCCAAATGAGTCTGGAGAGTTCTAAATGAGTGATGATGGAGCGTTCTAAATGGTTTTAGACTTCTGAATGATTCGAGAGCGTTCTAAATGAGTGTGGAGAGTTATTAATGGTACTGGAGCATTCTAAATGAGTCTGGAGAGTTCTAAGTTGTTCTAGGCAATTTTAAATGATTCTGAAACGTTCGAAGTGATTATGGAGCGTTCAATGATCATGGTAGCTAAATGGTAATAGACAGTTCTGAATGACTCAGGAGCGTTCTAAATGAATCTAGAAAGTTCTAAATGGTGATGGAGCGTTCTAGATTCTTTTAGACGGTTTAAAATGATTCCGGGCGTTCTAAATGGTTCTAGAGCGTTCTGAACGATTCTAAAGCATTCTAAATGAGTCTGGAGAGTTCTAAATTTATTGTTCTATACAGCTTAAAATGATTCTGGACCGTTCTATATGAGCCTTAAGTCTTATAAATGATTCTAGGCAGTTCGAAATGATTCTGGAGCATTCTAAACGAGTCTGGAGAGTTCCAAATGTTTCTGGAGCGTTCTAAGAGCAGAAGAATGACTAAAATTAACATCAATTTCATCTTGTTTATGATTAAAATAAGCAACGTTGCCATGTTTAAAATTCGAAAATATATAATCGTTTGTTACAAAACCATATGATTGTAACAAACTTCTGAATACGGGGGTATACATATGTTGCATAAGTTTGCAAAAAAACTTCATTAAAAGATGCTTTTTATTCGGAGCGACATAAAATTTATACAATTTTACCAATGATAGGATCTACAATGTTGTTAGCGTGAAATTTTTCAAAAGCTTTCGAATGTATTTAAAGCCATTGGCATTGTGTGGCATATTCTTTAGGAGCCGGGTCTTCGCAGCACATTGAGAACGACCGGATAATGGATGCCGGTAATCTCTCCCTTAATGACCTCGCTCAGATTTTTACCCCAATTTTTACTGTCCAAAATAAATTAGAATTTTCCCAAAATCAAAATTTATAAACTCGCATGATATAGTAACAATAGTGTCCTCAACTTCTGCTTCACTACAAAATTTAATGCGCTTCTCTAAATTAGTATCTTCATTCGATATCCACCCACTTCGCATATATCAGAAGCGTTGTTCAATTAATTGAAACTTCTCCATACAAATTTGTAAAGCAGAGTTTTGGTTTTAACGGTACGGTGCACGCGTAGAAATTTTAACACCGTAAAGTGGAGAATGATTAATTTAGCATAGTGCTTTCAGAATTTCAACAGGATTTATTGCCGGTATTTTATTGAACCGTTTGTCCGGATTAAATATTTTGAATTCTCGTTAATAAAATGAATTGGTACGCTGGACGGCTGACACTCAGCTCCGTTGAATTAACCTCCAGACTAAAACAAACAGTGTCGCAAGTTTAATGTTGTTTAAATTAAGTTTTGCGAGTTTCTTCCACTCGAGACTCGGATGTATTTCGGGCTTGTCGAGGTGTTGAACACAGTTGGAGTAGTTTAGTTGGCAACTAGGAGTAAATTAAATAGAAAAGAGACTAATTGCATGCATATGATACATTTAATTGCAATTTTGAAGTAATCATGATCCAAGTCTGCTCTTCTATACTTGTTAAAAACAAGGTGCATACAGAGAGAACGTTCCATTTGGTAATTGGCTTATTTTATGACTAAAAGTTCATATATAAGCGTGGGTCCGCAAACGCTTCGTTACCGATCTACAGGGTGTTAAAATTTCAAGATTTTTTGCTTCCTTTTTAGAGCTTCTGAAGTTTTTGAAATATTTAGCTCAAATTAGATATAGGATATAGGGTATAGAATATAATATGAGTAGGAGGGGATCTTCTTTTTATTTAACCTTTATAATCGGCGTAAAATTTTACATCGATCCATCAATCACATTGAAACTAAATACATCAAGTTATTCTGTCAGATCTCAATCTTCGGCTGTTGTAATTGAAAAATAATTCCGCATTGTTTATTTGAAGAATATTTTAATGATAACGACTGTTTATTTTATCTATTAGGTAAATGTTAATTCTGTTAATGTACATTCCCGTTTTTGGAATCTCTGGAACGTTAAAAACATAGGAGATTGTAATAAGAAATCCGTCACGAGTAATGAAAAAGCGACGAAAGTAAGTCCTTTGAATTGCCGAAAAAACTCCCTGTGGAAATCGCGCTTTAAATAAATAAAATCGTTAATCGGAGGCCTCGTAAATCAGTTTTAATTTTTCGCTATTCTGAAAATACCCCTGCATCTTAAATATTTATGAGACGAGGTCCCGCTTCTAAAAGGTGCTCGTTTAAATTTGCGAAAAGCCAATTAATCTCTCGTTTGTGGAGGGACGACGCAACGAGCGTAATAAACAGATTTTTTTGGTTTTTCAGAATACGGCTCACCCCGTAAACGGTATTTATCACCAGCGACCGAGTACTTCGACCACCAACGTCACATCGACTGGTAAGTCCCATTTGCTCTCTGTATTTTCGTTAATTCTGCCTGCATTTTACCCCGAAAATTATTATTCCACCATCTTCGTTGACCTCAATTGAATGGGTGATTAGAAAATTTCAAAAATCTGGCGAATTAAAGTGAGATAGCCAATTTGTTCTAATTTCTCTCATTTTCCCGTTGAGCGCAAAAAAATAATATTGTCGTCCTCCTTCACATAATTTAATTGGTGAGGGAAAAAGGGTAAAATTCCTAGAATTTTAACCGGGTTGTTTACTGCTACCATGACTAGCAGTTTTAAGGTAATTTATCAATATTTTCGTATCCGAGGTCATAGTTTTTTGCATTGTGACAGAAATTTTTCCCAAGAAAGTAAACCCAAAGTCAAACCGCTAAGTAATACAGATATTCTTGATTTCAAAAGCTGGTGGCGCTCCATTACTTCAAAAAGACTGGCAAAGATGTTGAAAAAAAAAACAGTTTTCACATTTAACAATTTTTTGGATTTTGAGTGGAAAAAGGATAAAATCTTAGTACTTTCATATACCAATAGCTAGTTACCAAAGAGGTATAAACCGTTCAAACTTTGGCATCAAACGTACTTGGTCAAAGTGTATAATTGGACAACAGTAACGATTTTTCTTTAATTACCGGTTTCGTCGCAAAAACGTTTTTCTCTTTTATTTTCCAAAAATAAGGCTCACCGAAATTTTATCCTCTTTCCAATCACACATCCAACTAAATTGCAATGCTTTGTCGAAAGAAATATTTAGTGGCGACGCTATGGACGCAGAAAGAAAACAAATATTTAATAGTTTACACACAAAAAAACGAGAATTAATCCGGGAGCGCTTTTGCTGCGAATTTGTATTGACCTTCACCGGGAAAATGAGAAATATGGACGAGGAAGGAACTTGAATAATAAATGAATTTCATAGGCGTTCTCCTTTGATTGTAATTTAAGGTTTAGGGTTGGTATTTTTCGCTGTAAATTAGGTATAATTGACCATATTTCTTGTGACGAAATTAAAATTCCTACCCCGATCGTTAAAATGGACACAATTCAGGCGTAGAGTTAAGGTCTTTATTAATTAGTGAGTTTGTTCAGAATTTTACAAATTCATTTTCGTAGCCATTTTTAATCATTTTAATGCTTTGATTGTTAGATAAATAATTTATTTTTAATTTCTATAGTCCCAGTTTACTATTTTTCCAAGAGTGTTTGTCCTTTTGAATGTGTTATCATCACGAATTGTATTTTGGTTAAGAATCATTTTTAGTGTAGGTACCCTTCAAAAATATTTTTGTGTGCGTTTATGTGTGTTCTTGTACGAATGTGCTCATTATTAATGTACGAATATATCGGAGAAACTGGCACAAAACAGCTTATATTGCGAATATTACTTCAGCTATTCCAATAGAAATTTTGCGTTATTTTAAGGATATTTAAGAGCATATTTGACCTAATGGCAATTGCATACGCCTTGCTATTCGGTTGATTATGTCTTATTTATATAATTTCTTTTCTCCTTTAAAAAAAAAACCTTTTTTTTTATTTAGTAATTTCCATTAATTTAAAATACGAAAAGATTGTAAAGAACTGATCGAAAAGTTCGTTAAAATTTACAAAAGCGATGAAATGTTTTTCACAAAGTGGTATTTGATACAAACTTAGAAAAGAATTTTTTCTAAAAATACAACATTGACGTTTTTGAGCAAATGAGTTTCTTTATAAGCTTAGCCGCTAATAAAATTGGAAATTCGAGACGAATTTCCTTTTTTTGTAAAGCGATTTTCCCTTATTCTTATTATCAAGGTTTTTACTTTGGAACTTTCGCATTTTCCTCAAATCGACCAAAAATAATACATCATTTTTTGTGTGTTCCGTTTTCTTTTTGTGATGAAGAAATCTAGCTTGAAATTAATTGGTTTTTCAATTGCAAATAAATGGAATGGTACGAGACAAAACACCATTTATCTTTTTTATTCCCACAGGTAATAACTATCAAATAACATACTGTAATAATATTACCATAGTATGTATTTGTACGAACTCAAATATTAATTACAATTACAGCAAAAATCCTTCTAATCCATTCTAAAACACATCATATCACATCAAAGACTTATTAATCCCTTATTAATCGATCTCGCTTAATTCCAGATAACATTAAACGCCCCTAACGACTTTTAGTGGTTTCCTATTGATGTGTAATATAAAGCCAAAAATTGTCTGACATTCAGAAACTCAATTAAAATGAAATAGCGACTGGCGACTAAGAGCTCTGGCAATGAAAGAGCGCCCATGGAGGGCTCATTGATTAACAATAGAATGCTCGCTATTCGAAGTTTGAGGAAAATAGCACAATTTATCTGCAGATTTTGTGGAATTCAGTTTAATTTACATTTACAACAACTCCTCCTTTTGTTTAGAGGAAAAATGTAATTTTAACGGGGGTGTATATTTTGCATTGCAGGTTGTGAAACTGTACCTGGAGAAGGTGTTGTTGTTCAGCCAGGCATCGAATTAGGTTCAGAATGTATTGAATCAGCCAGAAGGCTCAGTAGGACAATCAGTAAGTATTTTGTGAACTCAGCTCATATGTTTCAATTTTCTACTAATGAAACTCAATAAGCCTTTAAATGAACCTAAATTCCAACTATCAGTCTGCTGATGAACTTGGGACCGAAACTAGTTGTCCTTTTTATAAAGGTCCTAGGGACTTTTGGTTGTAAATATTTAAAATTTCTTAATCTGTAAGGATACCAACTGTACAAGTTTCCTGTGAATCACTGCTTTCCCTAAGATTATGACGTTGTCAGAGTTTTTTTAACCAATTTTAATTTGTCATCAAATTTAGTGGATAAATAAAATGAATGATCAAGTTCAATGACAATAGTTAATATTCGAGAGCACGAAAATGTTGCAGGTTTCCTATGGCGTATTTTACTCGCAGCAATTTGTAATAATCCATTACAATTATTTAGCATTAAGCCAAAGTATTTTGATCACTTTCTCTCCGTATTGCTTAATATTCAAATCTTGAGAATAAGCGTATGCGTATTGTCGAGAGACGGCTAAAGAGTTTTAGTAGTTTCTATTCCAACGTGATGTGAATAGCACGAAAAATATTCAAAGAGAATTATCGTTGCGAAATTTTTGAAATTGTATGAGTTCGTTTGCCTTTGAACTTGAGTGTTTAAAAACTATATTTCATTTTAAAATGTGTACGGAGTTTTCCGATAGTAGTATGGAGATCTATAACATCGCAGTTTCAAATGAAACGTTTTCAAATAAAATTTGAAAGTTTGTGTATGTGATTCGATGGAATATAAGGAATATGTATGAGTGCAGGTCAGTTCTTCCTCAAATAATTACAATTTCGACCAAGTGGTTTCTACTTTCTTGCGCAAAATCATCCAACAACTCTTTATTCTTACGCTTTAAGCTGGTAGGATTCGTCACGTGTGTACTAGACTCTTTGAACAATGTGAAATATTTGTTTGCAGATAATCCGACAGCTCTGGTCGTACCAGATATGTCGTACTCCAGTTCAGAAGGAGAAGATGATTTTTACGATGCCAACGATTCTCCCTTCTCTGGCGGCAGTCAAATCCCTTCGCCAGCGTAAGTATTTACTAATCTTTCAGTTACTAATAGAATAGAGTAGCCGGAAAGTGTCCACCAATAGGTACCAATGTGCAACGCATGATACTATTGAATAACAAAAAAAAAACATGGAATCGAATTGGTAACACTAGTTTATAAGCTTTACACTTTTTTTAGTGCATGGCGTACAATCAACTTTATTTAATCTATTTTGGCTCATTTCAAATTTTCCTTCGAAAAAATCCAGCACGTCTAGTTTCTTTAATCTGTCCAACATGGTCATTATTCTGGAACATTGTAAATGGTTCTCTAAATGATTTTGGAGCGTTTTAAATGGTTGTAGATAGTCCTAAATGATTTTGGGGCGTTCTGAATGATTCTGGAGCGTTATAAATAGTTCTGTAGCGTTCTAATTGGTTCTAAAGCATTCTAAATTGTTTTGGACCATTCTAATCCATGCTGAAGCGTATTCGACAGTTTCAGTTCTATTTGAAGCATTCGAAATTCTACTGAACAGTTATAATTTATCATTAAGCATTCTAAATTATTTTAAACAGTTCTAATTCATCCTGAAACAATTTAAATTGTTCTGGGCCATTCTAGTCCATCCTCAAGCATTCTAAATTCTCCTGAACAGCTCTAATTCATCCGGAATCATTTTAAGTTATTTTGAAAACGACCTGAAATCATACAAAATACCAAAAATTTAATGCTTAGCATTTTTAATTTGTTGTTTTTTTTTCGTGCATTGTTTTATAGTTATTAAATTCCAGTATACAAAATACAACACTTCCATTATCCTATGTTCTTTGCATTAAACCTGGTAAACTAGTGTAATGACCGAGCATGATATAGATAAGCGCTTTTGATTTCTGCTCAAGATTATAGTATTGTTTACAAATAATTATTGGAATAAAATACTGACTTAACTATTTGATTAGCGCATCTTATCAATATTGGTGTATCTATATCGTTGTTTTGCTGCTTAATTTAGTCGGTACCTATAATTATACGATATTAGAGTTAAAAAAAACGAATTAAAGTTAATCGAATGATGGAATGATTTTCGTTGGATTATGTATGTACATTTGATTACTTGCAAACGGTTTTAATCAATTATACAGAAACTGAAAATTAATTAAATTACGGCAAAAGGCAATCAATAGAATGCTTTGTATGTTTTTGATATGTACTGATAATAACTAAATGTATAATATTTTAATTGTATAACCTTGACCTTATCCGCGCCAACAAATAAATACAAAAGGTCCTTCATCGATGATCGCCAATAGAGAAAGCCCGTTTTCGTTATTTACGTTTGATTTGGATTGAATCCAAATGGCACAAATAAATATTGATCGTTTTTCACAAGTATCGCGAAAAAACAGAAATAACTGAAACATTTCCGGCTTGACAAAAGTGGAAAACAAACCTTACGATTCTGCGACATTTCGTGAGACCTACAAGTTAAAGAAATCTGTGTAATTTGCATCAAAGACAATTGCCTATTCAGTGTTGACCACTTTAAACATTAAATGAAAGTTTGAACAATTTTTAAAATATTGACAATTACGAATATTTATTAAGGTAATAAAATTACACGTTATTGCTTACAGTAATGTTAGAATCAGATTCAAAAGTTGTACGCTAAGTTAGAAATAATTACACTACTAATATTTTATTGAATTCGGCTATTTACTTCGTACAAGTTTCTGTTCTATAAACCCATATAAAGCATTAGGGGTTATTTAATAATTTACGAAATTATTTTCAACTCGGCCAGGTATATCAAGCGCGTGTCTATTCTCGTTTTTTTAATCTATCAGTTAATAGTATTTGAGGGGTAGCACTTCGTTGTAGACGGTCTTTAACCTCTACCAATCATAAGTTAGAATTTCATGCCAGAATCGGCTCTAAAACAGAATAATTTGTGGATTTTGTATTTCAATTGAAACGGGATTTTTTAAATTTGATTGGAAACAATAAAACAAAGCATTGCTGGTTTCATTAATTTTCCCGGCAGAGCTCGCATTACTCGTATTAATTATCATACTCAATTATGTTGCTTTATTAATTGCACATCATTTGAGTATGTGTGAATTATTGGCGGTGTCATTTTAAAAGGTGGTACTGGTGATCCCACTTAATCTATCAATTAATTGTAAAAATATTTATACCGAAAAATGTCTAATATATTTCAAACTATTGTTTATGTGAGATATAAATATTTATGAATTAATAGTCTTCGCTACAACTTCTCGTTGAAATTAATTTCCTATCTTCTATCTTGAAAGCATTATGTTTTTTTGCATTTTTTTAATAAAATCTTAAATGTAAATTTGTGGAATATTGTTCATACTTTATGAGATTTTAAATATTCATACCTAATAAAAAAATGAAGGTACTAGACTGTATTTTTGAGCAAAATTTTACTAATGCGTATTGAACATGTATGTATAGCTGCGTCATTCTTTGAATTTAATTAATATGAGAATAAATTCTAACTACATTTTCAGGCGCTTTCCGAGATGCCGATAATCGAACGTGTGTTACTCAACTAATTTATATTCCCATAAACTTTCATTCTCTAAATAATAGTTACTCCAATTATGACTCACGGTGATATCATATCGACGTCGGAAACATTTTTCTCCAGTTTTAAGTACCTATTTATAATGTTATTCAGTCGACAGCGAATTCGCTGGACAGGAACAAACCAGTCGTGTCGATTTTTCAACGCGCGTACACGTTTAATTTTTATGTTTGCGACTCCGAAGAAATGAAGAAATCCGTGCCTGTAACTACCCTTGCCGTCGCGACGCATGCCGAGCCGGCGTCGGCGCCGTTCGTCGCGTTCGTGCCAGAAATGTCGAAACCGTGCCGCAACTAACCCTAAATCTCTCCAAAAAATATTCGGGGATCCTTCCGAGTTTGAATGAGTACAAAACGCTGTTAGTTTTCTAGTCGTGCTTCCGGAATAAGTACCTCCACGATATAATAGTTCCGTGCCTGTGTCATTAATTGATCGAGAAAGACGATAATCTGGTGTCTTAGCGGTGTTTTCTTAGTGTTTGTTTATTCGCTGCATGCTTACAGCCGGACTGTGATTTATTAATAGTACAATATTCCGCTGATTTTGTATCGTTTGGAATTTAAAATGTTGCGAATGTTGAGCAACCGCCTCAATCTGAGACGTCGAAGGTGAGATTTAGAAACTGATTTTTAGTTTAGTTTGAAAAACTAAATTATTGGCTCTGTTTGTGCCACCCGAGTCGGTCGATTACGAAATCGTGTGATTAATGAGCGTTGGAAAGCGTTTGTAATTAAATATTGAATTAACGTAACCAAATCGATACGATTCATTCTACCGTTGTGTTAATTAATGTTATTAAATAATTTGTATTTTTATTTTATTTTGCACAAATTAACCTTTGTTAAAAACAACAAATCCTTCCAATATTTTCCAATATTTTCCACTATTTTCTAATAGTCTCTTCAGTATCTCTGCACAATTTTGAAAAAGCTATTATTAAGAAATTCTCAAAAATTACTCGATAAACTCGTTTTTAATGCGATAAATAAATAATCGACTAAAAATTGTGAAAACCATTATCTTATCTAATTTAAATACATCCTTATTAATTCTATATTTACCTATGACTAGAAAATACTTTTATTAATTCTCGAATTTGATACGTAACTTAAAAATACTGCATCTGTTTTACTTTAGGCCGCGTTATTTTTTAATCAAATTAAATCATTGATCAGCCTTGTGCGATAAAACACCTTTATGTTCATTAAGCCTCGCTCGCGATTAATTTATGATTTCCACGAGTAATAAAAGCAAATTGCCGTGCCTGCTTAGCTTTTTCGTTGAATTTGTCAGTATATTTCGAACGAACCACCTCCGTTTCCAATGTTTCCTGTGGCATTTTCCGTCAAAATGACCCGTTTCTTTTAGTTATGTCACATAGTTTTCGTCGTCGGTTTTCATTTTTCTCGTTCAGGAATATCTTTAGACCGTAAATAATTTCTCTAGTTTGTTGGCGAATATCGGTGTAGAAATGGAAGAATGCGAATTCAGTGAGTTGGTGTCGAGCCAAAAAGGATTTATTTTCCGCACAATGCTTTATTTAATGTCCCTTTAAATTTGAGGTATATTCGTGCGTGTAATTTAAAACGCGACGCTCAAATATTTTGCCGATACATTAATATGATTTTTTTAGGTTGAAAATGAGTTTATTGGCCAATTATACATTTAAATTGTCACCAATATACAAGTATCCAATGTTGATTCATATTCTTCCATTTATATTTTTTGTAGTTCAAAGATTCAGTTAAAATTGAGGTAGACAATTCGATTTTTTTATTAAGAGCATACTGAAATTTTGTAATTTGAAATCTGCTTTTTTTGTGACATATTCTTTACCGGACTTATAGCTTTCGAAGGATTTGGTAAATGCGATTTTCAATGAAATCCCCGTACTGAGGGAATAAATGTAGGTGTGCTCTTAAAATATCACATGTCTTCCTCCGGATTTTTGCTTTTTTATTCGGCTCTGGATAAGACAGTACCGTGGGATTCACCAAAAATCCCATGGTATTATACTGTCTTTCAATCAGGGCCGCACGATTTCAAATCGAGCACGAATCCTTTTGTAAGTAAGGTAAAGGATAAACTTTAAATTTTCTTTCGTTTCGGTTTCTTGGAATATATTTTAACGATATCATTTTATTCGTTTGCAGTAGTATAAGATCATTCGCCGAAGATGCTCAGTCACAAGTTAGTGACCACAAGCCAAGTATAACGAATATTGTAGAAAATAACGTCAGACAAGACAGCATTAGGTCCAGATCAACGAATTTCGACGACCTTGACTATGATGGTGAGTAGATTATTTTTTTATATTCTAGGGTTTTTTAAAAGGGAGCAGACCATTCACTTCTTATTATTTTAGAAGTTTGCATAAATTTTCGGTAAAATTTCTCTTCTCTAAATTGGGTTTATTTTCTTTTGATTATCGAGAAAAATGAAATGATATCTAAAAAAAGTTTATGCGCGTTTTTATGAAAATACTCATAACGTTTTACCTATATCGATTTTATATTTAACAAGACTAATATTTTATTAAAATTTCTCCTAAATTCAATTTACAATTATAAGATTCGTTAACAATTTATTAACTCGAATACCGTAAAACTTTTTTCGATAATTCATTATTAATTTATATTCAATTTAAAAGTAATGAAATATTTATGGATATAGCGCTATATGAAGAAAGCGACGACAACACGTTAGAACTGGAAAGTCATGGTTCGGTTATTAGACATCTATTATCTCAAGTTAAAATAGGAATGGATCTAACCAAAGTGGTCCTGCCTACATTTATTCTGGAAAGGAGATCCTTATTAGAAATGTATGCGGATTATTTTGCACATCCTGATATGTTTATAAAGTAAGTACACACTTGAACTCTATATTCACCTTGAATATTGTTCATTAACAATAAATTGATTATTATATTATTATTTTTTTTTTTTCAGAATTCCTGATATCAAGGATCCCAGAGAACGTATGGTGCAAGTAGTCCGGTGGTATCTCTCATCGTACCACGCCGGTAGGAAAAGTACAGTTGCCAAAAAGCCCTACAATCCTATATTAGGAGAAGTATTTAGATGTCATTGGGACGTGCCGAATAGCAATAACGGTTCAGATGACAGTCCCGTCGACGATGGGCCCGTTCCGTGGTGTAAAAGATCACAGCTGTCGTTCGTCGCCGAGCAGGTTTCACATCACCCTCCTAGTAAGTACATAATAAAATGTTCCATGGATGTTCCGAACTTTCGTATTCTTGCTTAAAGCACTGCTCTTTACTGCTCTCTATATTCTCTACTTAAAGTTCATTCCGAACTTTTGTGCCATTCCTCAAAGCAGTACTCTCTACTGCTCTGTATCCTCCATATTGTTCCCTATAATACTCTCTGCTGTTCTCTGTTCTCTATTGCTTTCATACTCTCTACTGCTCTCTATACTCCCTACTGCTCTGTATCTTCTACTGTTCTCTATACTCTCTACTGTTCTCTATACTCTTTACTGTTCTCTTTACTCTTTACTGTTCTCTATACTCTACTGCTCTCTATTCTTTACTGTTCCCTATACTCTCTAAACTTTCTACTGTCTATACTCTCTACTGCTCTCTATACATTCTACTACTCTCTATACCCTCTGCTGTTTTTTATTCTCTACTGTTCTCTATGCTCTCTACTGCTCTATAGATACTCTGCTGTTCTCTACAGTTTCTACAGTCTCTACTATTCTCTATACTTTCTACTGCTCTTTATACTCTGTACTGCTCTCTATACTCTCTACTTCTTTCTTTACTCTCTACTCTCTATTTCTACTCTACACTTAATAGGTTATAGTTGGACACTCACACTTTCACATCACCACCCTAGTATAACACTAAATTGTCAACGAAAGTTCTGAACTTTTGTTCTCTTGCTCAGAGCACTATTCTCTACTATCTACTTCTCCCTATTCTCTAGTGTTCTTTACTGTCTACTATCAATGTAACAGCCTTTGGAGACAAGTTGTGCAAACACAGTAAAATTCAGAACGGTTTTATTACCTTTGAACGTACAAAATCTAATGTTATTATTTGTTTAGTTTCAGCGTTTTACGCGGAACATTACAACAAACGGATCAGCTTCAACGCGCACGTGTACACGAAATCAAAGTTTCTCGGCCTATCGATATGCGTGTACAACATCGGTCAAGGAATCGTGCACGTGATCGACTACGACGAGGAGTACATACTGACATTCCCCAACGGATACGGGAGATCGATTCTGACCATACCGTGGATAGAATTGGGCGGCACGGTCACCATAAATTGTCCGAAAACCGGTTACAATTGCAACGTGGAATTTATAACGAAACCGTTCTACGGTAACAAGAAGAATAAAATCACCGCGGAGGTTTTCGGGCCGGACGAAAAGAAGCCTTTTTTGTGTATATCCGGAGAATGGAGCGGCACCATGGAGTATAAATGGACTGACAGAGTAAGTTTGGGATCGCCCCAAAATTTATGGATAATACCGTTCACGTAGAATGAACCGTTTCAGGAGACTGAGGAACACATAGACGTAAACCAATTAAATATAATAAAAAAGAACGTGAAACCCATCAGTCAACAGGAAGATAACGAATCTCGTCGATTGTGGAAGGAAGTGACAGCCGGCTTGAAATTCAATGAAATTGATCGGGCCACCGCTGCCAAACAGTCTTTGGAACAGAAACAAAGGGATGAGGCGAAAGACAGAAAAGAAAGTGGCCAAGAATGGCAGACAAAGGTTTGTAATAACTCGCTGTTCATTACCGTAATTGTCACATACAGTCGGTGCAAAACAAGCATCAATGCAAGTAACCTATGATTTACTACGTGACAAGTAGGCAGTGTTATAACTTATACCGAATATTTATAGATATAACCGAACTTTTATAGTTTACAATATCTAAGAATTGACAATAGATATCTTTTTGGATGATTTATTTCTTCTTTTTAACATTTTATGCTTAATCTATTTTGTGTATATATTTTTAAAAGTTGGGCACAATGCTTGGCAAGTATGACGACAGTAGTGACTTGCATTGATATTTGTTTTGTACCAACTGTACATGAGCTACCCTTACCATATTGCTGTGAGATTACATTAATACACAGTAAACATTAATCAAAAAGTAATGTTGTAATTTAAAAGAATGCTAATATTGAGATGATTTTCTCACTAATTATTGCCTACTTTCTCAGTAAAAGGAACCATTTAATTTATTTTTGTTCATAGTAAATTAATGGAATAATTTTTGTGTTTGTTGTAGCTATTTTACAAATCCGGCGACGACACCTACACGTACATAAAGCCACTGCGTCAAAGGATAACGAGTACCGGCTCTCCGGCAACGAACACTTGAGAATACGAATCGTCTCGTATTCGTTACGATTAATATTAAGCTTTTCTAAACTTTCTTTGAATCCCACTTTCGCCCGAGTTTATTTCGTTAGTGAACTGTGATATATTATCAACATGAAAAGTTGTATTTTTAAGGGATCGAGGTTGGTTTTGTTCGAAAGCCCTTGTTCAGATTCGGTCATTTTGGACGATCTTTCGAAAGATGCGTTTTTATTAAAATATGGGGATAATGTGGTAATCTACATTTTAATAAAGATAAGAATACAATTATTGAATGCATTCCGTTTTAAAAAATATATTATTTTATCATTAATATACATTGTAACGTGGTGGTATAGAGGTTTATTGAAGAATAAAGAAATGATATAACTAAAAGAAATAGGATTATGAAAATCGTGCATTTTTAATTGTTCCATGATGTTTGCCGTTTGGAATTTTTAAAACTAATATTTATTAGGTAGGTTAGTTATTTATTGATGAAAAAAAATGTTAAAAAAAACTGGCGTACGCTCTTTATTCGCCAATTTCAACTTCAACCTGATAACTGTCAGTCTGATAAAATTTAGCAGTTGGTGTTAACAATGTTTGTTATGCACCACGGTATACAGGGTTGGGCAAAAGTCCGGAATAAAATTATTATCTGTTAAACCAGTAATTTAAACAAAAAACTCTGAAACACGTAAATTGATTTTATATTGGACGGATTTGTTGCCAATAAAATGATTCTTTTTTCTTCAACCCCTTAGTTGCAACCCTACCCAACTTTATTTTTTCAAATGCAAAGGTATGTCGTGTGTAGGGTCATTGAAAAGCCCGTGAAAAATGGAATCTAAAACATACCTTTTTTTTTTTATTTTTCTCATGTTGTTATTTGGAAATGAGCAAAAAATTTTTTTAAAAACAAATATGTTACAAATACTTTTTTAGTGGTATCGACGTGTGAATGGCTTACTCTACTTAACAGGCTCCAAGGCAATGGTAAAACCTAATATCGGTAGCCTATATTTAATTCCGAATGAATTTTTATTAAAAACAGGCGAGCCTGGGCAGGCAGCACACCAAATTTTATTGATTTTCCGTTTAAAACTGATAAGGCCACTTAGCATCAACATTTGTTGAAATTTATGTTTTAAGAAAAAATTAAAACATAAAATGGGTTTAGTTCTAAGCCATTGTAGATTAGTGAAATTCAAAAATGAAAAAAAGGTGTTGCATTTTTGTACAAGTTTTTTTTTACCTAAGGTTCGCCTGTTTTTATTAAAAAGTCATTCAGAATTAAAGATATGCTATCGATATTAAGTTTTACCAACGGCTGGGAGCCTGTCAAGTAGATGGTGAAGGGCATTTTCAACATTGCTACGTCGATAGCACTAAAAAGGTATTTGTAACTTTTTTGTTTTTAAAAGAAATTTTTGCTCATTTCCAAATAACAACATGAGAAAAATAAAAAAAAGGTATGTTTTAGATTCCATTTTTCACGGGCTTTTCAATGACCCTACACACGACATACCTTTGCATTTGAAAAAATAAAGTTGGGTAGGGTTGCAACTAAGGGGTTGAAGAAAAAAAAATCATTTTATTGGCAACAAATCCGTACAATATAAAATCAATTTACGTGTTTCGGCGTTTTTTGTTTAAATTACTGGTTCAAAAGATAATAATTTTATTCCGGACTTTTGCCCAACTCTGTATTATAGTTTGAAGTAACTGATAGTAAACAGTTTTTTTTAATAATCAAGATTAGGTTGGTATTAAGATGTAGTTCCTAACTTCATGCGGAACTCAATTACTAATTAAAATTAGTATAAATGTCAAATGTTTACTTTTGAAGTTGTAAATAACTATAATAACCCGTATTCCAGCGGTTATTCTGTCTAACTGAATCTTTCTTCAATCTAAACTTATTTTTAAATTCTATTTCTGAATATTTCTTTCTATTTAATATCCATATCCATCTTCGGTTAATGAATTTAATAATTCGTGAAACTCTATTCTAAATTAAAAGGTTTATGTCACTGTTAAATAGTCTATAAAGTCTGTTACTTCTTCTTTATCAGTTCGATTTTGCTCTGTTACTTTTATCTGACTGTTAAGTATTAACTGACATCAATGAATGCTAAAATATAACGTTAACATATTAAGTGAAGAGAAGGACATTGGTAAATATGCTCGATAGGAATCCACAAACATTAAAAAGTATTTGTTGGTAATATTTTAAGAGGTAGCCAATGGTTTCATTTTATTAATGAAATTTTTATTGTTCAACTTTATTTTTTTCTGACAAGCCATACCTACCTGATATAAAAAATTTTCTTCTTTTTCGCAGTTAAATTATAGTTGGTTGGAATAATTTTTTAATTTAGAAATTAAGAATTCCAAATGCTCCAAATTCAAGTAGTTTAAATCAAATTAAGAAATCCAAGTTTTAAAAACGAAACTAAAATAATAATTGATGAATGAAGCGTATTTAATAAGTAAATAATTCAAATCGCTTATCCATTTTAATAACGTGTGAAATTTTCCTTCCTACTAAAATTCGATTAAAATTATACTATAAACACCTACTCAAAATTAACCTTTAGAATAATTCGTGTAAACCAAATCAACACGCGAGTCCAGCTTAATAATTATAGTAACAAGATTATTTTAACGCGTTTCCACAACATTAAAATAAGCTAATTTGATATGATAACTTTGGTTTACAAAGAATACCAAGTAGTTACTTTAAATTTTCACAAATTTAACAGTTACTAATCAATTACTCTCATCATTTCAGTTTTTTTTAAATCACATAATGTACAATGAAAAAGCAACCACTATTCGAGCACAACTAGAAATGTGGCATTAATAATTTAAACATGAAATAAAAGTTGTCTTTAATTCGTGGTCTTGTCTTCCAGAGTGCAAAGTAATGTACAGTCTCATCACAGCATTTCAATTAAATTTGTACTCCCACCTCGAGCAATTCTTACGCCGTTTGTTATCGTTAATATACAGAGAGTCCCAATGAAAAGTGGCCGATTTAATCAGCTTATAGTTTTAAACGTCTAATGATAAAAACATGTGATTTTTGTTACAGAGATATAGAAATTTTGTATCACCTTGTACAGGGTGTTTTATCAATATCTCCTCTTTTCAATTTACGTTAAACAAATTTTATCAAATGCGACACCTTCTTTTGTAGAATAACATGTCCAAATAATACATTTTTGAAAAGTAAAAGAGTACATCTTTCACAATACCTCTGTATATATGGGCTGTTCCATTTTAATAAAATTTGTTTACTGTGAATTTAAAAGAGATTTTGATAAAACACCCTAAACAAGTAATTTATAATTTCCGCATCGCTGTAACAAAACTTATAACAAAATAAAACATATTTGCAAAACCCACGTGTTTTATTATAAAGCGTTTAAAAGTTATAAGCAATGGAATACTATTCATTGGGACACCCAGTATATGATAGTTTAAGTAATCTGAATAAATGCTTTCGAAAAGATTTTCTGCTTTTCAAAACGCTCATTAGATGTTGTTTAATGATGGAGTTTTTATACCATTCACACTAATTGGTTGAGTGATTAGCTGTTTAACGAAAAATAAAATGAAGTATTGTGGTGTATAAATTGTTAATATCCTCCAAAGCGAACATCGTATTTTCGTGGATTAATCCTATGGATATAAGAATTTTATTGTTTTTCTCTAATAAAAAATTTATAAATTGTGAATAAATTTGATTGATATCGTTTATCTGTAGATCAAATAAGGTGTTTCGTAATGAAAAATCTCCAACTAGAAGTTTTTAGGAGATTTTTGAAATTTTTACTCTCGAGAAATTAGACAAACTTTAATTTTCAAAACGTTTTAATCGATAAAAATACAGAATAAATTTTCATCTTAACAATCCTAATATTTACAATTATTCCTGTTTAGCAATTGGAGCCACTTTTTTAACGTTCAGCTTCTTCTTCAAGTTCCCCTTATTAACCTTCTTCTTCTTCTTTACATTGAATTTGGTCCCCTGGAAATCTGACTTCTCAATACTAACTGGTTTTTCATCTCCATTACTGCTCGACTTATCATCGTTAGTACCATTTGCAGGGGTCTTGTTCTTATTCCTCCACCTTTGCTTGACATTCGCTCTATTTTGGTTTTTCTTTGCAGAAGAAGCGCTCGATGGTTTAATCCTCAACTCTCTATTGCAGAGCATAACATTTTCCATTTCTAACGCCAGTTGCACGGCATCCGAATCGTGGAAATTTATGTAAGCAAAACCCTTGCCCATGCCCGTTACTCTGTCTCTGATGATCCGGATGTGCGATATGGGGCCGCAACTTGCGAATAGTTTCCACAGATCCTCCTCTTCGGCTTTGAAGCTCAGATTGCCGATGAATATGGCTTTCGACTCGTCTCGTTCTTGTTTTACATTGCCCGGTTGGACGCTCAAATGGTGGTTCTCGAACAATGTACCGTTCTCTTGTAGAGCTTTTCGGGCACTCTCTTCTTCTACGAACTTGATGTAGCTATAGACGCTTTGTCGATCCGGGTGGAATTTTTTCTTGATTACCGCCACTTTTTTTGATAATTTCGGATCGGCAACGGCAACTCCTCTGATTCTTATCGAATCGATTTTACCGTATTTTTTGAATCGCTTTTTTAGGTCAGTTTTTGTTGTTTTTACTGGCACGTTGCCGATGAAAATGGTTCTGGCTAACTCTTCAGGAGTAGGCGCGAATTTTTCCTTTTTTACGGCAGTTGGTTCCTCAGTTTCGTTGTCTTCAGATTCGGCATCTGAAGTTTCTTTATCTCCAGATTCGGCATCTGAAGTTTCTTTATCTCCTTCATCGGATTCGATTTTGAGCTTTTTGGGACTCGCAGGAGAGGCATTTGCTGATTTTCGTTTCTTCGATATTTTGGTCTTTGACTCGATTCCGTTAGTTTCAGCTTCTATCGACTGGGCTTTTCCATTTAGTTTCGAATTCGTCTGACTTTCTACGGTATCATCTTCAGTGGCCTGCACTTTTCGTTTTATCTTCTTAACTTTACTTTGCTTGGGTTGTTTTTGACTTGTTATCAAATCCGCTAGGCTTCCCACACTGTATTCCATTTGGAGACACTTTTTTCCAACTTAGGACGTAGATAAAAGTTATAACTTGTTACCGACTAAACACTTCTTCGAATGCTGAATCAAAAATTAAGCATGCAAAATTGTTTGGTTAGGAAACACTCTTGACAACAATGACAATTGACATTTACTTCTTCTCTAACATTTTTTTAATTGCACTATTGTGTAACTGTTTTTTGGCCACAAACAACTATTATTTTTTGAAAAATAATGAGAATATTACGTTTTATTTTTTCCTAATAGGCATAACTATTTGAATGTTTTCAATTTCTAGTATTTTTTGTACCCATATAAATCTCTTATTATTCACATCAATACTTCTTTTTTTTCGTCTTATTATACAACTTCATACTCGTCACTCGTCTACTACTGCTGTCATTTTTGTCAGTTTTGGGGTTATTGAAGATTTTTGGAGAATCTTTTATATTTTATCCAACAAAATCCCCTTTCAAAGGTAACAAATCATTATTTATCATATTTATCTACGTTGTTTACATACGAACCTACTTGTATATACTTAAAATAATGAATTAACAACTATAAAGTATTATGTAATGATAGGTTATAATCTTCAGTTACATTTTAATCAATTATAATTAATCCTACTGAATATTCATATTCTATTCATATTCTCTATTGTTTAGCTCAGAAAATGGCTGCAATGCGTTCCATGTCTCGCCTGTTATTCTCCAGATCATTTCAAACTACTGTAAAAAGGGGTTATGCTGATCAAATGAGCTTCACTTTTGCTTCTGGAAACCAGGTAAAAAACCACAATATTAACTATAGTACAACACGGTATTTGATTTATATTTTCCTAATTTATTACCTAACTTTTAGGTCTTCTACGATGGGAAATCGATAAAACAAGTAGACGTTCCTTCTTTCTCTGGTAGCTTCGGTATCCTACCAGCCCACGTTCCCACTCTTGCTGTCCTCAAACCTGGAGTAGTTACTGTTTATGAAGACGGCGGTTCAGTCCAGAAAATTTTTGTATCCAGTGGTACAGTCACTGTTAATGACGATTCATCTGTTCAAGTATGTATAATATTTATGTATTGTATTCTATTGAATATCCTTGTAATATAGGTTTCAATAGCAAAATAGCAAATTGGTTATTGTAGACTATCATTACATAACGATTTTTAATACTGTAAACTTAAATTCAGAGAAGATATGACTTTGAAAACGAAGCTAATTATGTATTTCTGCTTAGATCTTAGCTGAAGAGGCCCATCCAGTAGAAAATTTAGATATTAGTGCAGCCAGGGATCTTCTTACCAAAGCACAAAGTCAATTGTCATCGGCCACTACAGATCAGGTATGCTTAATGATTAATTTCTTTGTTACAGTTGGATTTTAATTATTAAAATTTGACGAATTTTAGGCTAGAGCTGAAGCTGCCATTGCCATTGAAGTGGGAGAAGCACTTGTAAAAGCTGCCGAATAGATTTGTAAAATACGCATGTATTTGTTTTTGTTTTTTTTTGTAAAATAAAATAAATTTAGTGAAGATATAATCCAACATTCACGAATGAATAATGTAATTATATAATTAATTTGCAGTGATGATATTAAATTCATCATGTCATAATTACAACTTGTAGCAAATCGTAAAATAGACTATTCTTTACATTACAATATGCCTGCACTTCTGCCGTATACAGGTTGATTCGTTTTAGTTTGCAATACAGGCTATGGGTGCGATAAAGGCAACTTCCATTAGACACTTATAAAGGAAAAAGAGGGATATTGTGTCATTGCAGCTTTTCACTCTGACAACTGTCATTTTAATAATCTTTCTTTGTTCAACTCTTAGAAATGACTCGACGAGGTGTATAACGAATCAAGGTGTATATTATGAATTATTTCCTTCATTTAAATCCATTGAAATATAACCATACTGGAATGAAGGCTCCTATGTTCTCGTTCCGTTAAAGGTGTTTGAAAGAGATCGTTGAATGGGGTCCGTACTGTCCTTGTCTAACTAACTGAAGGGATCACGTTACTATACGATTTAATCTGAGAATATTTGCCTCTGCAAGCATTCTCTTCACTTTCTCTTTTTTTCTCTAAATAACCTATATTTTTAGAGATTCTTAATAAATATTCGTAACAAATACTTTATTAATTCTAAATACGTAAAATACACAAGCTTCTGTTGCTAAATCTTCAGTTATAATATAAAAAACCACCATAATCAAGCTTTAATATAATGTACTATTTGTGTTCGTATAGCCATTAAATCATCAATTAATGCAACATCTATCAAATATGTTTTTTTGGCACTTCTACTTGTAAATACTCGAAGACCTCTGTTAAAAATCCAACATTACAATTGTAATTACTGTGCCAGTTACGCAACATTGCCAGATGGGGGAAGAGATAAATTATTACGAATAAAGTCATATGCTTTAGGACAATAATAATATAATATTAATGCAAATCGTTTCATTGTATATCGCCTTCGTGTATTTGTCATTTAACATGCACTCTAATTTCACACCATCGAAATTGCTAATTAATACTGTTCAAGTTCCGGAGTACCTACACATGTTATTTGTTTTTAATACATCAATAATACTACGCATTGTAGAAATGGTTAGGTCCCTTCTACGTAAGCGTTTTTGTAAAATATGTATTTTTCGTTGCAGTCGGGTCTTTTCTTCCGTTATCCTTTGTCTTTTAGTAAATACTTGAGTACTCTTGTCTACAGATGGCCGTTTCATAATCTGCAATAAAATTATCATGATATATTATAATCTGAATAAATTACAATTTACATATGTACCGTTTCATCTATTTTTCCTATTGAGGCTTCCTATTGAAAAGCAAAAGCTCTAACTTGGAGGGCTGGAGCTGGAGCTTACCCAATGTTTTTAGCTTTTTGCTAAAAAGAGACAACACGGACCCAGCTCAACCACTCGGTAGCGTGAAAAGCAGTAAAAAAAAAGAGTAGGACAGTCCTCGTTCCAGCTAGTATGGTTATTATATTTCAATGTTTTAAATCAGATAAATTAAACGTCTTAACATCATGTCGACAATCCCAATGAAAAAGACGTGGTATCAGATTGCATTTGTATTTATTTCTGATTAAAAATAGAATTCTATTACAAGGGACTGTCAAGGACTTTTAAAGAGACGTTTCAATCGTGTCTCTTGTTATAAATTTTATATCCTTATTAGGCTAGCTTGTAAATTTTCCCATTTAATTTACGACCTCGTTGACTTACAATATTCGAATTTTAATGAGTGATGTCGATACTTGGAACTCATACAATTTCATTTGCAGTCACGAAAAAACTGAAAAACCTTTATAGCATTCAACATTGCAGAGTCCTCGACAGCTGTCGAGGTTTCAAATTTTGGGTAAACTCTCGGTGATTATTTATCTAACGAAAAATATGCAGGCGCTTTCAAATAGATGTGACTGAACAGTTTACACTAATTTTCTAATATTTATTTCATTACTAATTAGGTTGGTTTCATTCGGCTTGTATCTAACGCTTTATTATCTGTTTAAGGGAACTGATGGATTTAGAAAACACCCACATAAAATTGTAAAATAGGAAGTAAACTTTTGAGATTTGTTTAGCACATTCCGGATACTTAATAAGTATTTGTCCCATAAAAAAACGTTCAAGAATATCACTGCCAAGGTGTTAAAAAATTCCTTATTTTTTAACCTTGATTTTATGTGCGAGCAATCCTTTAAGAGATCATCCCACAAATTTTTCCATTTCAGATTAGCAACCTTTAGAATTCAATGAAATGAAATATTTTCATCATGATGCTGAAGAGTGTGTCCGGTAAGTACTAATAAAAGTACAACCGTAGGTTGTATGAATGAAAAACCTGGGAATTTTATTTGATAAATTACTAGGGCGAATCAAATATGCACCGGAATTTTGCTTTAAAAAGTAATTAATCAATTAGAAATAATTTATACATTATTACATCTTATTATCCTACGGAATCTCCTCTTTTATTACCACAAATTTCCCAGTTTTTTAATTCCGTTATGATACAATAAATTTAGTCGTGTCTGTAACCAATTGCGAACAAACGTTTCCACACCTTCGTAGTCGTTTTGTAGTGATGACCTCCTAGTTCTTCTTCGAGTGGCCTTAACATGTGATGGTTACATGGCGATAAATCAGGACTGTAGGGTGGTTGTTCTAAAGTATTTTCCAATGCATTTTGCTGAACGTTGCCGAACGTTGCCATGGATCAAAATCGCACTTCGAATATCCTTGTCCTACATTTTTCGTCATTCATGGAGAAAATCTATGAGCAACATGCGCCCTGCAATCCCAAAAACCCGTTGCAAGAACTTTCCCAGCAGAAAGACGAATCTTGGCTTGTCCAGGTTTTCACAAATTTCTTTTTGCCAATCGTGGACATGGATCATTTGCGACGCAAAATTTTAGCAAATTTTATGCTGATGGACATGATGGTACAAACAGCTAATCGGCTCTAATGAGCCGACCTGACTTACCTTAACTTTACATCCACATGCAACATCATATCAATACTTACTCACTTCACCTAGGTAGCGTTAAAAAGAAAATTCCGGTTCATATTTGATTTGTCCTCGTACTATAATACATTTCCTAATCTTTTTGAAGTATTTATTTTTGAGGAATCCAGTTCTTAGGTCAACTGTAGCCCTTAGGCCAGCTAATTATCTATTCAAAAAGCGTACATGAACCGTACAGTGGGTTCAACAGCCACTTTCTTCGACCTTAACATTACTACTCGTATAGTTTCGATTTCGTCGGTATTCTACGAATCATTTACGTACAACGAAATGAAAATTTATTTCGCCTGGAAAGCTCCTTTAATTGTATCGACCATTTTAGTTTATTTGTCCTACGTGTGAGTAGAATTATTTATTTGAATTCTTCTACTGAAAGACATCCAATATTGTATATTTTTCATTTTGTTAACTCTATTAAAACCCCTAGTTTATACTACTTTTTTTTTTCTTGATTATAAAACATTTATGGCCAATGTTATTGATACAAATTCTAAAGGCACACGCATTTCAGTGAATTAGCATCGGCGAGAAAGTAAAAACCAATCATTCCTTTTAACGATTAAATTAAAAGAAATAAAACGTTTATGCGCAACCGTTTCATTACGGGAATTTGCCAGCGAGAATTATTTTTATTAACCACGAAGAGTGAAAGCCGGTACGCCAAAATATTTATTTATACGCGTGCGAATTTCAGTTTTGCCATTCAATATCGATGATTTATTATACTGAATTGTTGGACAATAGGCCGAACCTTTCATTGTACCTCAGGCTCTGATTGTATGATGATTGTGCTGGTTGGATTGAACTCTAATTGATTACAGATAAAAAAATGTGTGTTTAATCTGGACAAGCAAAGGTTTTGTTTCAGTTGCATCAATCTTTTTGTTCGAATTTGCATTTATTAGGTTTGTTCCTAATGAGTATTTGACCTGTACACAAAATAGTGATTACACAGCAGAAAAATTTCAATACAAAACTTCTATTGCCCAATAATTAATTGAGAACAATGTATTAGAAATTAGAACTTAACAGGGTAAAGGTGCAAATTTTGTTTGAATTTACAACCATTAAGAATTAAGACTGTTCAGAGCTCTTGGAAGACTCTTATAAATTATTAATATGGAATATTATATTGTTTTCCTGGAATTATTTTACTTGGAAAACAATCTTCCTAAATTGATAAAAAATAAGTTTTATATTCCGGGTTCATATTTTTTTAAGTAATCAGCCTTGATGCAACTCTTCCTGTATTTTACAATTATTTATTGCGCTTCGCCATCCTTGAGTTTATCTGAATTAGCATCTTTATCGATGCAAAAAATGAGCAAATAACGACTACTCTTTTTAAACTTCTTTCCCTTCCGTACCCCTTTCTACCACTTTTTTGAAAATTTGTCCGCGCACTAAACAAGAAAATCCGTTTTTTAATCGGCTATTGTCAAGTTTACATTTGAGACATGCCGTATACTTTCACTATTGTCAAAGCAGCACCGACAGACTTAGGATTCTCGACACTGGCATGAAGCTTGGGAGGTCAAGGTAAGGAAGACCGTAGGTTACCACAGTTAATTGGTGTTTGTCTTCTTCGATTTTACCCCACCTTTGTATATATACACGAGATGGCCCGTTTTATATGTTAGTGTATGATCGAAAGTGGTTTTATGAGTGATAAAATTGTGGTCTACTGAAATTTGACGAAGTATTTGAAAGAGGTAAGCAACGGTATTGTGTTATTTTATTATGTCATATGATAATTGGGTTTATAAACGATACATATTAAAATATTGTCCTTAAATGGTTTATTTCAGGGAGCTTTTTTAATTTTTAATGATAGTAGTTATACTCCTTATATTTTTTAAATTGTATGAATTAATTTTTGAATAATAAATTATTGTTTTTATTGAATTTTTAAATTTTAGAAACAATCGAACGTTATTTAGAATGCTTTCTTAGAATAATTACTTTCTTAAAAATTGTATAGCTAAAAATATTCATTGTTTAAATAAAACCTATTGTTATTAATTTGAGAAAAAGAAATAAAATTTCTCCAGATGTGGAAAATGACTAAATATAAACAATACGTAGGTACATAAAATAATAACAGGTGAATTTTTACTTTCTCTTCGCAAGAGAAAAATTAGTCAAAACGTAACTACCTGAAATAAGTATTTTTTTAATTATACAGATTTCAGAGCAATATTATACAATTACAAATTTGTTCATATCTTATTTTGTGATAGATTTTAGAATTGTAGGTAGATTGTAATTAGATTGTAAACCCAATTAAAAAAGAAAGAAATAATTGGAAAAATTGTAAACCTTTAATTCAAATAACGTCTAATTACATAAGTGAAAATTTATTAGATTATGTATTAAATGAACACTTATATTAATTAAAATTAATTCAGTTTTAAAAAAATATTTATTTTAAATAATTATACCATTAAAAGTAACTTTCATTGCGAATAAAATGTATGTACCTAGTGTCTATTTTTTACATTACACTACACATTATGAAAATATCTAACAATTTCAGGTAGACAATGATTAGATTCGCGATATTCTTTATTGGTGTTTTGGAATTTTCTTTCGCTCAAAACAATAATCGAATCTTGGAAGCACCAGTTCCAGGATTATGTGCCCAAAGAACTATTCACGAAAGGACTCCTGATGGTAAGATTCTATACTATCTAGTTTTGGAGTGACTGGAATATTTTTTTGACTAGTAATTATTAATTATTAATTATTAATTAATTATTAATTAAACTGAAAACGCACCTTACATTTCATAGGCAAAGGTTACTTCTTTAGTTGGAAAGACGCGAACACTAAAGGAGTTGAACAAGACTGGTTGACCACAAGGAATTACTGCAGGAAGCGCTGTATGGACTTAGTTTCCTTAGAAACGAGCGCTGAAAATGAATGGATCAAGAGGCATATTGTTGAAGATAAGGTAAGATATACCCGCTATTTCAATATTATTTTTAACCGCAACATTAAACAACAATTAACTTGTCAATTTTATATCTATTTATATACACATATGTGTATATCACCAGGAACTTCTTTCTTGAATATTAATATTATAGGCATAAAAACTTCATTTATAATGCTCAATAACGCATTTAAAACAACTGGGACAGGAAATTAAATTTACATGCAGCCAATTAGTAGATATTAATAAAATCATCTTACTTCAATTTACTAAGTACCATTCAATTAGCAATTATTAATTATTTAATATGCAGATGATTTAAAATACCGATAAATCGTATCTAAAGATTTATCAGATGACGACATGAATTCCTGCTCTTGCAGGATTTAATCGTAAAAATAAACAATCACATATTTCATTGGATGTAACCTTTACATTGAATTAGTTATTCTCAGTATATGTTGTAACAAACTGCAATTCAATCGATTATGATAAGATGTTATTTATAAATTGATTTTTTAAGAACTTGTTATAAATTTAATGCATTGATTGTTTTGATAAATTTAATAGAATTTCTAGTTAACAAAATTGGATTACTTGCCATTTATTTTGCACGATAATCAAAAAAAGGGTTAGGAAAAAAAAACATATTAAGCCTTTGAATTTAAATATATCTAAAATTTCAGAAATATCAAAATTCCTTCAAAAATTTTAGTAAAGAAAGTCGCCTACGCAATTAGTTGCTGAATTTTGGGACATACTGTATTTGCCACCAAAAAATAAATCGGGTATCCGCACAATGAAACTTTCCTACTTCTTGTATCTCAAACAGTCATTAACAATTGTAATTTTTCTCAAAAATTGTGAAACATGTACGGAATGTTTGAATATGTATATTTTCCAAAGAAAAACGAATTGTGTCATCATATACAGCATGCGTGTACGTCAATTATGCAACAATGGCATTACACAAAAACCTTCGCCTTCATGTGATAATAAACATGTTAAGTTTAACAATTATGAAGGAATTCTTCGAGTAAATATTCAAAGCATACAGTACACAATAGAAAATCATTGACCCATTATAGATTAATCGGAGGTAATAAAGAAACTTGCGAAATAATTCATCACCTTGTAATTTCACGAGCGCAAAGTTCGAGAATGCAGGATATTTTTCAACAAATATAACACACCGCCAATTTTGTTCTAAAAACATATGTGAGACGATTTATGCAACGATTTCAAAAATCTTGAAATAGCTATAAAAATCATTTCTTCGATTTGCATAAATATTTTCAAAAACTAACTAAATTATCCGTTTCGTTTCGCGAAATTAAACATTCCTAATTTATTATGCGCAAATTAAAGTCTAGATACCTACTTTTGCGGTCATATACAGGGTGGCACATTCGTAGATATGGAAATGCTCAAAATATTTAGATATTTAGATAACTCAATAGATTCGATTTTTGAATAAAATCCGTCGGTGTTCTATGTAAAAAAAGTATAAGTTTGGTCTACCAAGGGAAAACGGGATTCGACCCTCTGAATAATTTTATACTAATAGTTATATTAGTTATACTAATTTTAAAATATGCAACACAAAACTATATCTACAACTTTTTTGAAGAATTTTTTTATACAACCTACAATAACAGATATATTGAGCTTTCCAAACGTATGTGCCCCTTATGATTATTAAAGAAAGTCAAGCAACTGCACATATCCTATTGATTTAAGAAATTAAATAAATTAAAATTAAGAAATCAACAGATTAAGAAGGACCATTTGAAACCAAGTCAAGGTGGAAGTTTTTGAGCAATTTCTTGTATAAATTACCCCCCAAAACATTGGAATGGACTATACCCAAATATCATTAATATGTTATAGATAAAATACATTTGGACTTCGGGCCGCCTTTGCGACTTCCAGGGCTGCGATCGCCCGGATTTGCTGCCCAACAACGTGAACGGATGGTTCTGGACGGCGGTTCTGCAGAAGCTGGCACCGACCACGCAAAGGGACCAGAACGACTGGTCCGAATCGGGCGGCATCGGCAAACCCCAACCGGACAACAGGGAAGCGATACAAGGAGGCGCTACTGAAAATTGTTTGGCCATTTTGAACCAGTTTTACAACGATGGTGTCAATTGGCACGACGTCGCTTGCCATCACGTCAAGCCTTGGGTGTGCGAGGAAAACGAAGATCTCTTGAAATACGTTAGATACACTAACCCGAATTTGTTGATTTAAAAAAAATGTGTTTTTCTGCAGAATTGGTTTTATGGTTCACTTCAGATCGTTTTTTAGATTTGAGTATACCCATACGCAACATACTTTAACAGAAACTTTTTACCAGAAATATAGCTATAAGTTTTGTAGCATTGTATATAGACTAGATCTTGTCTATATACTTTAATTATTGTAATTACTTTACATGTTTGTAAAAACTCGTTTTTCATATATACAACGTTAAAAACTCAATTATTCAAAATGCAGTAAGCACTTTTGTAATAGATTATTTTTAAGTATTTATTTATTACACTTAATATAAATAAATTATTTATACTGATTGGATTAACTTACAATTTCTGTGACCTCTTAATATTTGTATGATTTGTAGGTATATTTGCCAAAAAACTTTGACATAGTAATTTGCGCTTAATTAATCAAAACTCATAGGATCAACCTTATCGAATAATTGATGAAACGAGCAAATATTTATATTCATCAATAGTGACTATGTAAATCTTCAATACAAACCAATGCCTACAGGCAAAAGAAAGAAAAAGAATTCTCATGATTATGCTTATTTACACTTTTTTTCATAAAATTCAACAGTGGTCTAACATTTGTAATTCTTTAATAACCAGCAAGATACAAATTGATAAAAAAAGCAATATCACTTAAACAAAAAAGTTTCAGTCCAATTACATTCACATTTCATATATCTCTGCTTATTTTTTACCTTCCACCATGATAATGTGATAACCGAATTTGGTTTTAATCGGAGGGTCAGTATACACCGGATTGTTTACAGTTGAAATAGGTAAAGCAAAGGCAGCATCTTGAAAAGGTCCTACCATCGAACCCCTTGTCATCCAACCTAAATCACCGCCCGATCTGGCCTTGTCTTCGCTATAGGCAGCAGCTACTTCCGGAAACTTTTGACCCGCTTTTAATTTTTCTAGGGCTTCTAAACATTTGCCTTGTTTCTCGCATAAAATGTGCCTTACTTTAATTGATGTACCACTACCTTTTTTCTCTTTTCCACCTTAAAAAATCGGTTTGTAAAATATTTATCGTTATTTTCTTCTATTACCTTTATCGCCGGAGTCGTCGCTTTTGGATGGTTTGGCCGATTTCGAGTTTCCTTTTTTTGGTGGCATTGCTTTTTATATAAGTTTTATATAAGTTTCTTAAAATATTTATGTTACAGTTAATAAAAAAATGTAGAAAAGTTGAGGATATCTTATGTTTATCAAATATTGCAAGAATTGAATTATTTATAGGTTATATTATGACAGCTATTATTGATAGGTTGACATACGTCTATTTCTTGTGATCCTCGATGTGATAAGTATTCAGATACATTTTGAGGCAACACGTGGTAAATGACATTGAATTTGACTTTTATATTATACTCACGTGGTTCGAATTTAACCTTCAAATTTCGTTTGTTATGGTTATGGAATCGACTGTATTAAGCGAAATGTAACGTTTACAAGCGTTGAATTCGTTGAATTGAGTGGTTGTTCGTACATAATACGGTTTCCAATGTTTACCATGTACGCGAAAAATCGCTCAATTGTATACTACAGAAAATAGTTCATTTGAACCTAGCTTACATAATACAGCAATATGAAAAGTTGGTTGAAAATTTCCCTTGGACTCAGTGTTTTCGGATTTTTAAAAGAAATAAGGCCATCGGAACCGTTTATCTATGAATTTTTAATTGATAAACGATGGAGAAATGTTACAGAAGACGAAGTCACGTCGAAAGTATATCCCGTAGGAACGTACAGTTACCTTGCTCATTTGGTACTGATATTTTTAATTACTGATTTATGCCGTTACAAGCCACTAATTGTGTTACTGGGAGCTTCTGGTGTTGCTATATGGAGCATGTTATTATGGACCAATACATTACTAGATCTTCAAATACTAGAAGTAAGTTAAATTTTTGTTATGCGTTACAATGTTCATTAAGCAAAGCAACAAAAGGGAATTATTTATGAAATATGCAACTGCTTAACAGGCATAATCGTGCATTCTGTATAATTAGCAGGTATTTGATTTTTAATTCATTGTTTATTATTACAACACCTTGCATTTCTTCGTTTAATTATATTACTTTTATTACATTACTTGTGGTAATAATGAATATAAATAACTCAAAAACTGGAATGAATAATAATCAGTTCGCATAAGTTTAACGTCCTTTAAAGTACCTAACTTTTTGCCTATTTAACCTGTATCTCTTTTTTATTTCTAAACTCTCTATGCTGTTCATCCTTGTCCTGCACACAGTGTACTGTGTACACAATTGTTACATCATATATTATAAAATAATATATAATATTTTATACAGCTCTACTTAGGTGCTAATATAAACCTTTATGATTTATTTAGCTTTATATAAACCATTTTTAGTAACATACTCCTAATAATATTATTTTCTAATACATTTTAAACGAGTTTTTGATTGAATTCTGAATGTTCACATTTGTGCCACTAATGTACAATGATACCAAGTCACGATAATGATATCGACTTTTTTGAAATTTTAATAGTAATAAGTTAGCTTATTAGGTACATAATCCATTATTAATGGTAGTATTAATAGTGGATTAAGTAGTAATGCTCAGTACGCATAGTATTAATGCTCGTTAATTAGTATATGTTTAACAAAACTTATTAAGAATTATTGAAATTTATTAAATCAGCCAAGTTCTATGGAAAACTAGAATAAAACGTAGTTTCCATTCTAATTGCTTCTTAAAAATGAAACGACCAACTTTTGATTCATCTAATCAGAAATTCAATAACGCTCTATTAAAATTAATACAAAAAACTCGCGTCTGTGACATTACATCCAATAGAATTTAAACTATCATCAATCGCCAAAGTTCGTATTCCTCATAGGAATTGTTTTGTCTTTAAAGACTAATTAAACCGTCTCTAAAAATAACCTTGGCCTTTCAATATTTTTGTTCAACTCGCAATAGTTTTTAAGTGGATCTCTGGTATTATTGGAATAACAAGGTTATTTTTTATTTGGGAGTTGTAGGTCGGTTGATGTTATAGATTGTTCTCTATTTATTCAGATGAATAGGACGTTACGTGATAATTACAGGCGTGTGTTGGAATAATTGTTTTCATTGAAAAATCTGCCAAAATAAACAATAGAATGAAACAAAGTCAGTTATACTGATTATTTTAATCAAACGAAATATAATCTAGCAAATAGCGGTATTAAGTAACTATTATATGTATTTAATTTTAGTAAAATGTGAGTACTTATATTGGAATTTACGTGATTACTAATAATTTAGTAACGTATGTAATTTTGTAGAATTACCTTTTTTTACATAATTGAAACCAATATTATTATTTTTTTTAAATGATGATCTAATTTAGCTAATAATCTAATCTTATATAACTACTTATCTTTAATCGGTAGATTAATTTTAATGCAAGTATAAACAATGCTTGAGTTGCCAAATACTTGGTGATTTTTTGAAAAGTTTCCATCTCCGATAATTACCTGGAAGTTTTTCCTGCAAAAACTCCAAAACACGTCAATTTTGTTTTTGAGGGGACATTTAAACAGAATATTTTCAATGTTTTATCACCCCAGGAAGGGTAGCTACCCTTTTCAAAACCTTTAATTCAAAATTTCAATTTTGTTCCAGGTGATCTATGGCACATTTTGTGCAACAGAAGTGGCATACTACAGTTACATTTATACTAAAGTTTCAACAGAGCGTTATCAACAAGTTACCTCACACACAAGAGCTGCCATTTTGGCCGGACGAGCTATATCCGGCATCTTAGCTCAATTGCTCATATCATTCAAACTGATGAATTACAGAGATCTCAATTACATTACATTTTCAGGTAATTAATCATTTATAGAAATCTTAACGTTGTTTTTAATTGCGGTTGATCAACAATTGGTTTTTGAAATAGTAATGGTTTTATAACGTTTTGTCTAGGTATGATTGTATTACATTGTTAAAAATGATTCAATTAACAAACATATGAATGCCACAAATACCAAAACTTCTCTCTTATCATACATTTTCCAATTTCATTACCAATAATCATTACCAATTTAACAATAAAAGAATGCAAACAGGAACATAATTCAATTGCAGTATAATTTCCTATTAACATGTGTTTTTCAGCCATGATAGCTGCAACGGTATGGAGTTTGTTCCTTCCTTCCGTGCAAAAAAGCATTTATTTCCATCCCGAAGACGACATGGTGAAACCTTTGAACGCCAAACTATCCGGAGCATTCCATTTGATGGTCTCGCACTTTAAGTACTCTTTCACCAATATGTACGTTCTGAAATGGTCCTTGTGGTACGCCTTATCCACGTGCGGGTTCATTCAAGTCCAAACGTACATGCAACCACTATGGACAGTCATTGTAAATGATCCCAACAAATCGATTTACAATGGTGCTGTGGAAGCTGTACTCACTGTAGTCGGTTTCGTGGGGGCTTTAATAGCTGGCATATTCAAAACCGATTGGAAAGTTAAAGGTAAGTTGTTGTGGGTAATTATTGGTTCGGAATAACATTAAGTAATTGTTTATTGACGCCACGCAATTTTCCTGAAATATTCGAGATAATATTTAATTAATAGATGCAATTATTGCTCTGCAATAACAGGAAATTTAAAACCTTGAAGTTTTTAAATTTTAATGAGACTGTTTGTTGTTTAGCTTCTGCATACTCGAGATACGGAAAATTACCGTGTTTTCACAATTTTGTTGGTATGCATGCTGTTAACCGAAATTTAGAATTTACTTCCTTATTCATGAATACCTTCTCTATTGAAATGCTTTGAACTTATTTTACATTCTGACAAAAATGTACCCGGAATTTCTGAATTAAGATTATTACCCGCATTTCATATTATTAATTATTTCAAGTTATTGTATGTAGGTAACACTGTTTTTAATTAGCACGCAAACAACTACAGAGATTTCTCAGAGAGGTCAGTTTGGTTGTAGCAGCTGATTGAATCAATTCATCTCAGTAGTGCTCTACGAATATTGAAATGGACAAAAATAATGAACAAAGAGTTTGTCCCATATTTTGGGTTTTGAACGGAATTTCGTGGGCCGAATCAATGGAAATGCCTAAGGACTTAAGGAATTTGAAAGACAGTCGGGAGATCGCTAGCCTTGCCTCGAGAAAATTGAGGAAATTGAGTACGATTCGTTGATCCCGTTTTGACTTCATAAATGCCATTAAAGAAAATTCGCAAAAGAAGCTCAAAGCCGTACCAAAAAGGGCCTATAAAAATGAGCATATTTTGAAGAGCACTCGAGAAAAATTTAAGAAGATTAGGAATTTTGCCTTTTATTCCAATTTTCCGGGTACTTTTTTGTCACTGTGTATGTCGCAAAAATAACATGAACGTAGCATTACGAATAGCTTCCTTTGTTCTTGTTCCAGGTGAACTGACTTTAACTTTATGTTCTCTATTCCAAGGTTTTATTATGCTCTATTCCTCCAGGACTCACGAGGTTATGTGGAGTTACGTTTGTTACGTTATTTTTGGTGGGTTCTATCATTTGATGATTACAGTGGCTTGCAGCGAGGTAGCGCAGCACATCAAAGACGACAGTTACGGTTTAGTGTTGGGCGTTAATACTTTCGTTGCTTTGGTTTTTCAAACTATCCTAACGGCCGTTGTGGTGACGGAAGGAGTCGGGTTTGCTTTGAAACCTAGAGATCAGTATTTCGTGTATGGGTGTTATCACATTTTCATAGCGGTGCTGTTTATTTTAATTGGATTTATAGTTTGGTTGAATAGGTCCAAAGAGTACCGGAAAACTAGTATTATTTAAATATCTATTAGATATTTTGATCGGAGATTGAAGTGAAGACTTTTATTCAGTTTATACTGAATTCTTGCACTTGAACTGTACATTTTTGTAGTTTTGTAGTTCTACTTTAATGAAGCTGTGATAAACTGAACTAATGACATAACTTATAACTCGTTGTACTAGAATATTTTAATTTCTCTATACAATGATCAATTGTGACTATCTATCAGTTGCAATTTTCGATTAATTTTACTTGTTTTTATAGTAAACATATTTTATCCACCATTTCATTGAAAAGGATTCCGCAATTTTGGATATAAATTCAGCTATGATTTAGGCAATAATGCAGTAAAATTATTCACAAAGAAAATACGATATTGCCTATTAAAATATGTCACTGTTTTAAACATGATTGCTAAGCAGTAACATGGCATTTTCAGCAGATTATACACAAAATAATGTTTTAATCCATTTGTAGATTTCTAAAATATAGCTTTTTAAATAAATAAATTTTTGTTTATCCAACATTTTTTCTTAGTATCAGAATAGTTACCATAAGCATGTATATGAGGATATTTATATTGAAAGTATGCAATACAAGTCATTTAGATGTACGTACCTACATAAGATTGACAAGTAAAAATATTAGTAAAACATACATTTATTTAACAATGTATAATAATAATGAGATGCAGTCGAATTTTAAATATTCCCTATTCCCTATTTTTAACATATGTATAAATTTATCAAGTATTACAAAATGGACCTACTTTGAGCTTATTTTTTTTACTTCTTTAAAAATCCAATTTTTCTTAAATACCTCACAATGAACGGAACAGATACAAGAGTAATTCCGATACGTACTGGCGCAAAAACTTTGTGAACTGCATAACTGATTGCAAATGTTCCTGCACTTGAAGCTATCTCGTTGTTGCTAAACCAGTCTTTAAGCCCAAAGTATGTAAATAACGCTGGTACATCCAATCCTCTGCAAATAATATAATGTATGTTCTACCTTTTTTCTACATGGGGCATATACAGGGTGTCCCGCATAAGAACCGACACAGCAGGCACTATCGATTAATGATCTTAATATACTCGTGAAGTACACCAAATTTAGTTGTTTTAAGTTTGGAAATTATCAGGAATTTGTTACTCCATTTTGAAGGCCTGTAGCTTCTCAGGAAAGTAACTTTGTGTTAAGTTAAGTTGTGTTAAACAACATACTTTGGGCTCTCCTAGTTGCCCCTGATATGTGTCGGTTTTTATGTGGGACACCCTATATAATAAAATTATAATTGAATACTTACGCAGAAACTAATAAGTAGCAGGTTCCGAGAGAAATCAAAGAAATTCCAACATGAAAAACAATTACTATCGAACCATATTCTTTTACAGCTTTCTTTAATTTCTCTCTCAACGATAATGGTGCTGGTTGGGTTGTTTTCATAGGCTCACTAATTTTCCCCTTTTCTAAAGGCACATCAATAGGTTTTTTAATTTTGTCCCCTAAAACTCCAGGAGGTATACCTAGGTTTTTGGCTGTCGATTTTTGTTTATGCTCCGTTTTTTCTTGATGGGAATATCTTAATTGTGTTACGTGTGAATAATTTATGTACGAAGGATAGGATTTATGTAGTAAAACAGTCGAAGTTATGCAGTTAATTTTGAAATACTGGCCATAACATCTATATATTTTGCTATAAGTTGCATTAAGTCCTAAAACAAATAAATTTGTTAATTGTATAATAAGTTTTGATAGAATTGATACCATTGGACTCATTATAGTAATAACTGTTTTTATCTACTTATACTTTAGAAAGTAAAATTGCTTGCATATTTTACAACAATTTGATAATTCTGATAAAATTGAGTTCGTAGTCCAATTATTACGATTACTTTAATTTAATTAAAAAATACTTACCAAAATTTTTTAACGAATTAGTACATATCTGATTTACAATCATTTTAATATAACAAACGTCCAACAATTAATTTCTACACATTTCAAACACAAACCTGCCACTTCATTGTTATTTTTGTCAATGTCAAAAAATCAAAACATTGAAAAATTAATTGAATTTGGCCTTCAACTTAGTAGGCATCTCGATCCTATTCCGAGTAAAATAATGTTGGTATTCCTGAAGTCAACAATTTTGTAGACAATTTTGACATGACATATTGTGTTTTGTTTCCAAACGTCAAAAAACAAACAATAGAATAAATTATTTAAAATATTACTACAAATAAGAAACAAGGGAATTGTAAAGCATGGATCCGATCGTGGGATTGGAAAAACAAATCGAAGCGCTGGAACTGCAAGCTTTACAAAACGAAGATCAATCTCAAATCAAAAGTAAAATCCAAGCAATTACCGGGCTACTGCTGCAGACTCGAATGATGATAAATTCGGCTCTCAGTTGTCGAGAAGCGTTAACTTCAATGTTGCAACCTCTAACGACCGTTAACGATTATTTGAATCCTTCGACTAGTGGCAATGACGTTGAAGCGGAAGCGAAAAGGCTGTATTTACTTGAATCATATCCTGAATTAATAGGTACCGTACAAACGATAGGAACCTTCGAATCGCTCTTACCGTTTCTTGGATCGATTAACATTTCCAAAGTGGTGGAATTTTGCGAGATTTTAGAAGAGCTGGCTTTAAACAACACTGAACTTTACGGAGAATGTAGGGATGTTATAAAGGAAGTTCTTGCTGCGTTACAAGACTATAATGATATATCAAATTCAATTAAAGCGTTACTTTCACAGTGGGATTTTACCATATCTAATCTTGAGCATGCTTTGCAACCTAAATTTCTAGATGTACCGTGAAAAAATTGAGGGAATTTTTTGGATTTTTTTAAGCATGATGGTAATGTAATGGTATAGAATGGTAATTTGATATATTAGATTGGCTCGATACTTTTGATTGAAGTGTATCTAAATATTTAATAATATGAATTAAGATTATGCTGATTATACATAATTCATAAAAAATACCTTATTCCCCAACATGTAACTGCATGAATAATAGGTGGTTTTACAATGTACACATAAATGAATTACTTATGTGGTTACAATTGAATAAATGCATTATCTAAGTTTGCTTTTAATTGCAAGTACCCCTTGGTTCTAATTGACAATATACAGTTTTTAGGTTTTCAAATTTTTATTGTTAAAATTACAAATTTTACTATAACGAACAAATACATAATTTAGGAAGTTTATTACATTTGTCCAGAAATTACAACTATTTAAAATTTTACACCAATCAATACTTAAGTAAAATCAGTCAGATAACTTAAAATTAATGAGTATTATTTACACTGTACATAATATACATTGCCAGTTTGTACCAATATTTGGTATTAAAAAAATAATTTTCGTTTTTTGTGCAATTCTTTGGAAGCGAACGTAATTGACAAAATGATACAAGAAAGCTTTATTGCATTTGAAGCTTTTTAAATTAATAAAAGGCACATATATTTTTACTCTTAATTTTTATTTGTTTGATAAGGGTGTGCGCCGGTGTAATTGTTTAAATAGATAGTATTTATTGAGTAAATTCACAACACGTTTTCATTATGAAAGGAGCTTTTATGGTATTCAAAAAATATTTCTACCATTACTATTTTGTATTAAATATTAATTAATTGACTACTGATTTATGAGCATTATTTGTCCTATCAGTCTTCACCCTTTGTCGTTTATTGTATTTAAAAATATATGTATTTGCCAGAAGTTCACAATATATCGCAAGCATCGTATTATTTAGAATATACAGAGGTAGAAAACACTTTAAAGTTTAATCTGCTAAACACATATGAGTTAGGAAAATATTTTATATACATGTTAATTTAATACTACTTATTATTTATTTTCCAATACTGGCAGATTAGAATAAACACAGATGAGTAAAATTTTATAAAACAATACAACTTTTGAACTACAAAGCTGTATAAATTTACCTAATCAAATTTCGATAACATAAAATATTTTCCAACTGCAATAATACTTCCATTTTATAAAAAAAACATAAATTATTATTCATTAATTACGCTGTATATTTTGATTAAAGACGGCAGCACTTACGTATGATCGTAGGAAAATAATTCCTTAGCACAGAACAAAACAGTGTTTTACCATTTCTATCATACATGGCACTCAAATCTATTTTTTGGTAACATTTAGTTTGTTGTTCATTTAAAAAATGATAATCTGAATATTTCATCGTGAGAAGCATAAAAAACAGTGCATCTCACAAAATATAAAACATTAGGTTTGTTCCGTGCTGTCAGTAAATCCCCGATTTAAGATTTTTAAGTAAAATGTCTCACGCAACAATCTTTACTTACAGTTCCACTGCAGTCACCTTCTTAGTTACTAATTTTTTAATGTACAAATTTTACAGCAAGTTTATGCTTTTGACGATAGATTCATTAAGTAAACATAATAAAAACAAGTAATGAAGCTTAATTAAACGACACGTTATTCGTAAACGTCAAATGAATTAATCCTGTAAAATTATTCTTTGGACGGAAAAAGATTGTAAAAAAATTGAACGCAGTTAACCTCCGCATAAAAGAAATATTTTATAAAAAACAATAATCGATTTAGTAATATTTGCGAATGAATATTATTGAAAGGATGTTTCTGAGTTGCATTTTTCCAGATACTTTGCATCTTCATTAGAGCAAAGCAAAATGCGATAATAAAACTTAACGCGGAGGTCGTCCACTTTCTATACTTCACGCATGAATCCTATCCTCAAATTTACACACAAGTCCACAATCATTCCGGTAACGCTTTACTTTCACACATACGCCTCCACTTGCCGCCCCCGCATCTTATTCAGGAAAACCTTCCAACTGTGCACCGTCTTCCCCGACCAAATCCACACGCTGGAAGTGATCCCCACGATCATCGTCATCAGGTATTTTATCATAAACACCTCAAAACTCGGCTGGGCCCGCTCCTTCAGGTTCTTCGGGCACGGTATGGCGTACTTCTTTACCTCGCACATATCTTGATTCCACGTTAACATCCAATCGTCGAAGTACGTGTGCTCGTAGATGAGGCATGATATGACGATTAGAGCTGGCAATGTGTACAGCACCGAGAAAACTCCTATCCTGGAAACGTAAACATAATTAGTTTGATATGATTAGTTGAATAAAATGGTCCATATACAATGGAATAATAGAGAGGGTTGTAAAGTGTCTGGAAGATCATGGTTTTCTCTTGGCATCCACTAAGTAGCATTATCCCCAGTCAACTCAAACGAGACTACTTTGATAAGAACCATATTCAAAAACAAAACTTCCAGGAAAAAATTGGCACTTTTGGAAATTGTTATTTTCTGACGAGCATCCCCTGATTAAAACTGAAATCTCCCCCAAAATTTAAACTGAAGATGCAACCAAGCCTATGGACGATTTTAAGGGGTTTTCACCACCTGCTTGAGTTTTCAAACCTCGTACCTTCGACGTGGTACCACAGAAGCGCCTTCAATTCTGATATATGTATGTTGTATATGTTCTTCATTTTCTTGATAAACGTGTAATGAAAATATACTCTTGTATAAGTGTCATTTAACAAGTTTATCAAAAACATTATCGTTATCGTTACCTGATCATGAGTTTCTCCAGTTTGTCGGTCTTCGTGCCATCGTGTTTCATAACAGTGCGGATCCGAAAGAGCGATACGAAACCGGAAGACAGGAAGATCGTGCCGATAACCAGATAAACGACGAGGGGGATCAGAACGAACATCCTCATGGCGTCGGCGTTCCAGATGCCGACGTAACAGACGCCGCTTAGGATGTCTCCTATAAAAGGAAAAAAAATACCTTGTGTAAATAAACGTGTTAACCTGCTGCTACAGGAAATGGGGGAAATACTGTCAGTAGATAAAGTTTGAATAGTGTTTTAAATTCCCTTAAAGGACCTCCAAATATGCTAAATTATTTTACCACGTTCCACGAAAGGATTTGCTTCAATAAATAATGCTTCATTGTTGCTGGGTATATAAAAATGCGCCTTTAATATTTATAGCTTCGTTTCGATTAATTTTTGAAGCAGAAGCAACGAAACGCGTGACGCCGCGGTGCGTTTTATCGGAATACTTTTCTGGCGCGGACAGGCAATTAAAATTCCCTATCATTAAGAATAAAGACGTAAGTAATCCGTGGAGGTACAGAAAAAATGTAAAGGCACAGTGATGCTGCGCCATAGCTCTCGATGGCGCGTCCGTTCGTTCTTCATTACGGCTGTTTAAATTAAAGCAACGTCACGATTTTCACGAACGTTATAAATTAAGTGGACTTTTTTCGAAGTTCGAATTGCGATCGTGGATCGTTTGCGATGCCGGGGATCCGATTATAATTAGGCTAATATTGAGTTTCTTAATACAGATAAAATTGCCTATATCTATCTAGTTGTACAGAATAGACATTATGAGGCCAATTTAAAAAAATATAATAATTAATGCTGCTACTCGTACATTCCGTTGGAACAGATTTGGAATATGATTAGGTACCTTCGAGTTATTCAATTATATTAATGACAATTTGAAAGAATTGCCCTTAGGCCGAATGCTTTACTAATAGGCAATGCAGATTTCAGTGACTGGTTCATTAACTTTCTCTTTAAAAATAACTATAATAGATTGCTGATAGAGCCAAAAATTTATTCCACTGTCCATAATAACAGCAACTGATGATTAAAAAAAACAAAACAAATAGGCAGATAAAAGGAATTTTAAAAGAACACTTTATTAATTCAAAATCATTATAAGACTAACGGGTTAATTTGAAATGAACAACCGCTAACATGTTTGAAATAACAATAATTTTAAATTAAAGGATTTTTAAAGACGTGCTACTTATACTGGATAGATACGGCTATATTTAGCGTGGTAAACCAAATGTAAATTTTAAGTAATCAATCCGCATTTCGCTAGTTAAGTCGCCGTATCGAAGCTATTTACTATTTTAACCAACTTAACGCCGCAAGTTGCTCGAGACGGTGTGCCTTTCGCATTTCTTGTTGCGACTCGTATCTTCTCATGCATTAAATACCGCCTTGGGTATAAATTTTATAAAGATTAAACGTATTAACAGCCGGTATAATGATGATTTCTTTGAGATGATTTAAATTCTTCTCAGTTTTCCGATGTCACAATGATGGCGAAAAGTTATACGGGCGATAAAAATAAATAGAATAATAAGAGGATTAATGAACGGTACTACCTAATTGGTTTCTTTCACTTCGCTGGTGTGTACGCATACGAGTAGAAGAAGAATTATTAGAATATTATCTGAGATATGTGTCATATAAATGGGGTTTTAGTGTATTGCTGGATAAAAATTATCGCCAGTTCCTTTATAGAAAAACAAAGTAGAGGATGTTCTTCTATAAAATATAGGCTGAAATATGAGGTGCACTCAATGTAACATGTAATTACTTTTTTTACAATTCAAAAAGATCCCAAGTAAATAATTCTCTGCAGGGTATATCTAAGTCACCGAAAAATTTTAAGGGGTGATTCTGTGATGAAAATTAAAATAATTGGTATAATTTAAAGTTGGTATATTTTTTTAAGTGTACAAATAATTATTATTCCTTTTGTCTCTGCTCTAGGAATAAATTTCCTTTTCATGGCCTTAGCCATAGAAGACAACCTTTCAATAATAAAATGTATGGTTATAATTTAAGATACTCGATTATTAAAAAATTAATCAATTGAAACAATATACAGCTTGCTTTGTATAATCTCTTAGATCAGTAACTTGATCAAATAAGTGTTTACCCTGTAAATCGTAATAAATCCTTCCATTCGGAGCATATACATTGAGGCGCTGTTAATTTGAATAAAATATTGTATTATGTTTACGCACGCCATGATATAACGTTTCTCAGAAATCGTATATCCAGTTATGTAGGTGTAAATTTATATTTATTTTTTATGATAATTGTATTGTGATAGTTATAAACTTTCTCAAAAAGGATTAAAATCATTGTACGTGATGTGTGACGACAACGAAACGTATATGAAGCAAGTTACATTTTCCTAATAAGAATTATAATTGGAAAACCAATATCAAAATTAAGATAGTGCATTGAATTATTAAATCAAGGTGGGTATAATAATGGCATAGAGGACAAAAGAGATGGCAGATATTATATTCCATTAAGGAATTAACTGTTTTCAAAATTTTCTGGTCTAACTAGCCGCCACATAAATATAGATTTAACCGTGCAATAAAAGAATCGAAGAGATGCAATATTAATTGCTTTTCAGACAGATATGTTAGATATTGTGCTTTGTGCATTGCATTGCATTGTATATCACGACTGTTGTGTACGCGAATAAATGCCTGATGTCAACAATATTGACGTTGTTGACAGATGACAGCGGCAACACACTTAACCCTGAGGTATGAAAGCGCCATGTCGTTACAATGAAATAAATCGTTTATTCCAAGTCATCTGTGTATAAATTGATGTAAAATCAAGGTGTCCGTCCCTCCATATTCAGAACACAATATTGGCGACGAGATTTTCGAATCCACAAGTCTGTGAGTCTTAAATTAATCAAATAAATAAGTGGTCACGTCTTAGAAAACAGAAGCATGGCGGAAGGTCAACAGCAACACGAACAACTAGTAGTCTGGTCGACAGGGTTTAAAGGAAATCTGGAAAGTTATGACATCGAGATTGAAACGTTCTCTTCGTGGTTCGAAAGGTTCGAATTATATTGTGAATTAAACGCGTTAAACGCTACACAAGAAGAAGTCCAGAAGAAAAACCTTTTTTTGACAACGGTTGGTAGTAAGCACTACAGTGTAATTAGAAGATGCTGTCTGCCAGATAAGCCTAGAGACAAAACTTTAGAGCAGTTGAAGGAGGTCCTTATTAATAAATACGAGCCCCAGGGTCTAGTCACTACCAACAGATATGCATTCAGTCAGAGAAATCAGTTACCGGCAGAGTCATTGAAAGAATTCATCGAAGTCGTGCAAGAGCTTTCGATGAAGTGCAATTTTGGAGATAATTTGGAAGATCAGTGCAGAGACAGGTTAGTCGGTGGCATGAGAAGTGATAATTTGCGAAGGAAATTGCTCTCCGAATACAATTTAACGTTCCAAAGAGCTAAGGAAATAGTGCAGAGAGAAGAAGCAATTACTGAATATGCTAAAGTGTTGCAGCAGTCGAGTCATATAAACAAAGTGTCGAATACAAACGAGCCTAAAGTAAAAAAGTTCAGTCGTTATTTAAATCAGTCCAGTCCATGTTGTCAATGCAGCTGTCGGAGTCATCAGTCAAGTCGGGAACAAGACAATCGAGGTCAAGGTTACCAGAGTCAGTCCAGGTTCAATAAGTCAGCGTCGTCAAGTCATATTCAACGCAAAGAGGGTCAGTCCAGCGAATGTTACCGTTGTGGAAGGAAACACAATCCAACTTCATGTCCAGCGAAATTTTGGGAGTGCTATAAATGCCACAGGAAGGGTCACATCGCACCGTTATGTAAAAGTCGAGTCCGGGTTGCAGAAAATGCAATTTCCAGTCCAGAAGAGGAGTGCAACTCAGTTACGGAAGACAGTGAAGAGGTCGAAGAAGAGGAGCAGTTAGAGGAGATCTTCGGTAATGTAAAAATTTGTCAGGTAAAAGTCATGAAGTCTTTAAATATCAGAAAAAAAGGAAGTCCAGAGTCAGAACAAGTAGTTTTAGAATCCTTAAATGGTAATAAATCAAGAATTGTACAGAAAAATATTTATAAGTCAGAGTCTATAAATAAAAAGTCTTTGAGTAACAGTCTGACAGAAAGTAGAGTTACGGTTAAGTCAAATGAGCAGGGAATTAATAAAATAAGCCATAAGCCAGAATTAGTCACGTTAGAGATAGAAAGTAAGAATGTTCAAATGGAAATAGACTGCGGTGCAGCTCTATCTATTATGTCATATAGTCAATTTAAAGCGTTATTTCCCAATAAACCAATAGATCAAACCGGTCTTAAACTATCATCGGTATCAGGTAAAATCAGAGTGAAAGGAGAGGTTAGAGTGAATGTGGGAGTGAAAGGTCAGTTTTACACATTGCCTCTTATAATTTGCCTCGAAGATGGATTTGTACCATTGTTGGGTCGAAATTGGTTAGATACGCTCTCACCAGATTGGAGAAGTATTAGTGACAGGCTTAAAGTTCATAAAAATAGCATGAGTGGAGGTTCCGAGACAGTGGTTCGGGATGCCTTGGTCGCATTTAAGAGGTCATACACGAAGTCTTTTAGGGAGAGTGCAGTCGGATTTATAGAAGGGTTCACAGCAAACTTAGTGCTGAAGGAGCAAGCCATCCCGGTTTTTCATAAGTCGTATCAGTTACCGCATGGGTTAGAAGAAACAGTCAAATTAGAGTTATTAAGAATGGAACGTGAAGGAAAATTAAAACGTGTAATGTTCTCCGAGTGGGCATCACCCATTTGGCCAGTTAGGAAAAAAGATGGTGGTATTAGAATTTGCGCAGACGTAAGTAGAACGCTTAATCCGAACCTGAAGATCGATATTTATCCTTTACCGAGGATAGAGTCAATTTTACAAGAAGTGTCAGGTAAAGCTTGTTACGTAGTTATAGATTTGTCAGAAGCGTATTTACAGCTCAAAGTTAACCCGAAATGTCAGGAATTATTAACGATTAATACACCATTGGGGTTATTCCAGTTCAACGCATTAATATTCGGAGTAGCTAGCGCGCCATCTATTTTTCAGTCAATAATAGATCAGATTTTGTCGGGTATTAAATCAGTTAAATGTTATCTAGATGATATCAT